AAAGTGCATAAGCATTTTGTGTTCCTATTTGGTTTTGTTATATACCTCAGAAGACTGATTCAGTGTAATTAGCCTCGTTTAAACGAGGGACGAATTAGACAATCGATACAATACACGAACTTTGCGATATAAGTTTTGGTTGTGTTCCAATTGAATCCTTCATACTATAGTGGGAATTTAACTAAAGTAATTGATGGTCTGACTAACCGATAAACTAACTTGAAATTGATCATAAAGTACAAAGTGTCAGAGAAATAACAAAATAATATACAACTTATGTGGAATGTTCGTCACTAAATATTTCTGAGGTTGTGATAAAATCTACATCTAGTAATAGATGGTTAAGTAGAGACAATATTGATGAATGAATGAATGAGATGATAGGCAACACTAAGTAATGATAAAACCCGCACTTAGTAATGATAGGCCTAAAAAGTTTGTCATGTAGGGTATGTTATTCTTTTGGCACGAAATGAATGAATGGATGCGCTCTTCAAAAGTTGTGTCTGCTCTGGCATAATAAATGAGTTATTGGTTTTGTTATTCCACCCTTTGGAATTAAATAGTAGTGCTACATCCAATACTATGCAAGTCTTAAGATATCTAACTATCAATTATCACATCATGTAGTCTACAAAATATTGTCTAAAAACATATTCTCCATAGCATCTTCCTTAAAATTTTAGTTTGTCAACCAAAAAGTAATTAAATTTTTAGTTTTACGTGCTAGTGGAATGCACGTAGCATGAGTAGAAATGAAAAGGTTAAAATAAGAAGGTTGCTAACACTCCCCTTCATATTTTAGCAAAGCTCAATAATCATTTCATATCCTAACATCGTTAACTGAAACAATTATTCTATTCAACTTAGGTCAATAAATTTTTTCTCTTAACACACTTGCTAAAATTTATAGAAAATTCAATTTAAGTGCTATTTTATATATCTTTTTTTTTTAATGAACCGATCCCTTTCAAAAGAAAATAAATAAAAACCAGTGACTCTGAAACAATTAGTTAAGGTAAATTTTGTTGGTTTGGCTGACAATTTGACTAGCAATTTCCTGGTAGTTGGTTTGGCTGGTGTGAGAGTGTGGGTCGCCCGGCAATTCCTGCTGTCCGTTGATAATTTGACATTAGAAGTCGTGTTGGGATTTTGCTCTTGGGCTCGATCACCCAATTAATTAAGACTATGATTGGAATCTTATGTTGATTATGTTATCATGTCATCATCCATCTGAATACAGACCTGATTAATCAATATATTGGAGTTCGACAAAATATATATATATATATATTGGAGTTATATTACAAGTTGCTATACTCATAAATGGAAGGGATCTCTTATTTTTTCATCCCTTGCCAGGTCTTATAATTGGGTTGTATAATACGGGAACTGCAACTCGAGTCCAAGCAGGCAACAAGCCTTTCATCAAAATTTTGTCCTCCAAGGGCACCCAGTAATCCCTTCTTCTGGTTGTCCACCCATTTTTTGATTGGTTACCAATTTCTTCTTTTGCAGTCTGTCGAGATTAAAATGAATAAAAGTGATTTAAATTAGTATCATGCTTCGTACAAAGACATATTCAGAACGATAATTACAATAAAGGATGTTATCAGTACTATGCTTCAACATCAAACAACAAATATATCGTTGAAAACAAACAACAAGATAATGCATCTACATATCATATTTTTCAAAGTTTATTGCCTTCCTCGTGAGATGATGACTCCAGTTTCTTCGCTCTTTTTTTTTTTTTCTTTGAAGCAAGAAAATATATTAAAAGGAAAACCCCCGAGAACAACCGTTTCTTACAGAGTTATACTGGAGAGCATGAAGAGCAAAGAAAGGAATACAGTTTCTATAAATTTTGAGCAATATAGATAATCTGATGAATGAAAAAAAATGGAAAGCCAAAAAATAGCAATGTTCCGAGACTTATGAAACACCAAAGTTTTAAACATGAAGGTCTAAAAGATACTTCTGACAAAAAGATTTTTTTGGCATTTTAGCTAGAATGGTCTTTAAGATTTACATAATTCATTACTTTGGTCTCTGAGATTTGAAATTAATAGAGTGGTCCCTAAATTTGTCTAGCATCAATTATTTTGATAATTCTATGAAAGATCTATGTTACATAAAAACTAAAATGACAAAAAAAAAAAAAACGTTAATTTAATAAAATGTGACCCATAATGATTTGACAAAATTAAGAATATTTTTATCGTTTTATCTTTATATAACGAAGATTTTTCATAGAATAATCAAAATGGTTGATGGTGGATAAACTCAGCTCATGGACCAATTTTATTGATTTTAAATCTCAATTAAATTGAGAAGTTATGACAATTTTAGTTTTAGCTGAGTGAATACTAAGTTTTTTTTTCGGCCGGAACAAGTCCATGAACTCGTCAGAACAATCTTGTAGCACAGCCACTGGATGGAAGAGGAGAGAAAAGCCCATCCGATCAAAGCTCTTGCTATTTTCTAACACCTAACACCTTTTTTTTTTTTTTTTTTTTTTTTGTGTCCTTCAAAGAAAGTGTTGAGGTGAGGAGGTGAGGAGGTGAGGAAGACCAAGAGACGACTTGACACACTTTTGGTCAATATTTGAGTGGACCCCACACGTTTATCATAGTCTCTTTTTTTTTTTTTTTTTTTTTTCAAACATATCATGGAGTCTTAATCCTTATAATTTAACTGACAATGACGATTGGTCAAAATTTGAGTGGACCCCACACGTTAATAAAGTCTCTCTTTTTTTTTTTCCTTTTTTTTTTAAAACATATCATAGAGTCTTAATCCTTATAATTTAACTGACAATGATGATTGGTCAATATTTGAGTGGACCCCACACGTTAATCATAATCTCTCTTTCTTTTGTTTTCTTTTTTTTTTTAATTTATTTTTAAACATATCATAGAGTCTTAATCCTTATAATTTAACTGACAATGACGATTTCCTAATATTTGGTGGATCAGGATCCTCTCCTGAGCTAATGGTGAGGATCCTCCTGAGCAAGTCCATCGAGTCGTTCAAATTTTATCCAATAGCTACAAGCAGGGGAGCCATTCTAAAAATTGTAACCATTAGATAAATTTTGAACGGCCTGATGGGTTTACTCAGGAGAGAATCTTGATCATTTTTTTGGCCCCCAGAGTCGGCATCGTGCTCCCTCGGAGTGGGTGTCGGCCGGAATTGGCACCGTGGGCTCCCTGGAGCTAGTTATCAGCAACGTCGTAGTAGTCATCGCCGACTGTGCGGTCTTGAAGGTTTCCGATAACTAGCTCTAGGGAGCCCATGACGCCGACTCCAACTGATGTCCACTCCAGGGCAGCACGACGCCAACTTCGGGGGTTGAAAACCTGCAAAGAAATAAGAGGAAGGAGGAGGTTCCAGAGGCTCCGGTGGAACCGGCTCCGGAGAGGTTCCTCTTCCTTTGGTTGGTGTGAGAGTGACATAGTGTGGTATGGGTGCGTTTCAGTGGATCCCACACGTTAATCATGCATGCAAGTAGCAATTACATTGACCTGTTTAATTAATAGATTGCAATTGGATTATGAAAATAAGAGAAAATTTTCTTTGTGTTTGGAATATGAGTGGTATACCGCATGTCATTATATAAGTGAATACAAATTTTATTTTTTTTAAGTTGTTAATCTTTTAATATAAGTATCCCTCCACCTGTATAGTTACATGTGATGTATCACCCGTGTTATAGTCGCATTGAAAAATCTCTCACTTGTCAGTCTTATCACAGGGTCTACGGGGAGATCAAATTGTCTATGCCCAAAATGGGTTAGGTCTTTGCCTTTAATTATTGTTTGACACACATTAAATTTATAAAAACAAAGTTAAGAAAAATTAAGTTTATAAACAAATGTCAATCAATAATTAAAGCCAGATAAGCCACACTCATCTTAGAGACAGAAAATTTGATCACGTATTAGAGATCTCAATGGGTTATATATCTATACACCATTTTTTTACTTCTAGCATATTCCTGAGTAATTTCTATTATATGATATTTTTTAATTTATTCAATCTGACAGTTTAAAATTAAAAAAATGTATGAAAAGTAAAAAAAATGTACGCATAACACATCCTATTGTAAAATAAGGGAACTTCAACTCGATTCCAAGCAAAGCAACAGAACAGATTAACGTGTGGATCCACTGAAACTCACCCACACCACACTCTGTCACTCTCACACCAACCAAATATTAGGAAATTGTCATTGTCAGTTAAATTATGGAATCTAACAATTGTGTTCGTTTATCGATTCTTTTAACGTGTGGGATCGATCCTTTTCTTAGGGATCCTAAGAATCTAATAATTATGTTCGTTTATCGTATATTATGCTTATTAAGTACTATTTATATTTGAATTTTAACTTTTAAATAATTTTTTATCGCACAATGTACAATGAATGAATACGATAGAAGGATAGTGACTCAGCATTTGTACTTAACACTCCTGTCTGTAGTGACGGATGTGGGCATATTAAAAGACCTGGCAAGGGATGAAAAAAATAAGACCTGGCAAGGGATAGAAGGATAGTGACCCAGCATTTGTCATTTTTCCTCTCTCTGCATTTCTATCTCTTGGAGCCGCTGGAACTTACCAAATTATAAGACCTGGCAAGGGATGAAAAAAAATAAGAAATCCCTTCCATTTATGAGTTTAACAACTTGTAATGTAGCAGTCCAAGAGAAATATATTGATTAACCAGATCAGTGTTCACATGGATGATGACATGATAACATAATCAACAAAAGATTACAATTTTAATCTTAATTTAATTAGGTGAACACTTTAAAGATCCTGTGATGTATCCGTCCAAGAGAAAAATTCCAACGTAATCAACATAAGATTCCAATCTTAGCCTTAATTAATTAGGTGACACCAGCCAAGGCAACTACCAGGAAATTGCCAGTCAAATAAGCCTCTATGATTAACGTGTGAGGTCCACTGAATAATTGACCAAAATACATCAAGTCGTCTCTTTCCGAAACGAAATTAAGATCATAGGTAATAAGACTCTTCGTCTTCCTCACCTCAACACTTCTTTGAAGAGAAAAATAAAAAACAGAGAGAAAGAGAGAAAAATGGCAGGAGCTTTGATTGGAGAGGCTTTTCTGTCCGCTTCCATTCAGACGTTGTGCGACAAGATTGCTTCTGGGAGTTCATGGACTTCTTACGGGGAAAAAAGCTTGACCATTCACTCTTGGAGAAACTGAAGCTGACTTTTCTGGCCCTCGATGCAGTGCTCGATGATGCAGAGGAGAAGCAAATTGAGAAACCTCGTGTGAAAAAGTGGCTTGACGAGCTCAAACATGCCGTCTTCGATGCCGAGGACCTGCTGGCTGAGATCGATGCTGAAGCTTTGCAAAACAAGGTGGAAGCAGAGGAATATCAAACCAAAACGACGTCCCAGGTGTGGCACTTTTTCTCTACTTCTCTTAATCCTTTTCATCAAGGCATGAATGGTAGGATACAAGAGTTGTTTCAAAAGGTGGAACACCTTGCGAAACAAAAAGATCTCCTTGGTCTTATAGGAGGAGGCGTTAAGGAGAAGGTTTCTCAAAAAACTCCCACAACGCCCTTTGTTGGGCATGACTTTAGTGCTTGTGGTAGGGATGGAGATAAAAAGGAGTTGAAGAGAATGTTGCTATCGGATGATGCAAGTAGCAGCCACATATCAGTAATCCCCATAGTTGGAATGGGCGGGGTCGGTAAGACAACCCTTGCTCAGCTCCTTTACAATGATAAAAATATAAAAGAGCATTTTGATGTTACAGCTTGGGCTTGTGTTTCCGAAGATTTTGATGCTATGAGGGTAACTAAAACCCTTATTGAATCAATTATCTCAAAACCTTGCCGTCTTCAAGATAGCTTGCTTCAAGTTGAACTTAGGGAAAAAGTGAGGGAGAAAAAGTTCTTATTTGTGTTGGATGACCTTTGGAATGACAACTATAGTGATTGGGATCTTGTTCGGGCTCCTTTTACTTATGGGGCGAGGGGAAGTAAGGTCATAGTGACAACAAGGAACAAAAGTGTCGCATCCATTGTGCATACTGGTCCTATTCACTCTTTGGAACAATTATCGCATGAAGATTGTTGGTTTTTACTCGCAAAACATGCATTTAGAAATGAAAATCCTAGTGCGCATCCAGACTTGGAAGAAATTGGTAAGCAAATTGCACGCAAGTGCAATGGTCTTCCTTTAGCTGCAAAAGCACTTGGGGGTCTCTTAAGTTGTAATGTAGGTTACAAGGAATGGAGTCACATATTGAACAACAATCTTTGGGAGATGTTGCATACTGATAAAAGTGTTCTTCCATCTTTAAGATTGAGTTATCATTATCTCCCTACTTATTTAAAACAATGCTTTGCTTATCTCTCAATTTTTCCAAAGGACTATGAATTTGCAAAGGAAGATATAATTCTACTTTGGATGGCAGTGGGTTTAATTCCACAAAATGAGAGCGGTAAAGGATTGGAAGAGCTCGGTGAGAGTTACTTTGATGAACTATTGTCACGATCATTACTTCAAAGATCATTAATTGGGAAATCATCAAGTTTCACAATGCATGATCTCATTAACGACTTGGCTATGTTTGTGTCTGGAGAATTTTGTTTTAGGTTGGATGAGGGAAAGTCGCACGAAGTTCCTAAAAGAGTTCGGCATTTGTCATATATGAGAGGAAACTTTGATACCGCAGCAAAATTGAAGTCATTGGATGAAATTAAGTGTTTGCGCACCTTATTTCCTATGTCTTTAAGACCATACACTAAGTGGGATAAGAGCCTATATGTAAGCATAAAGGTTTTAGATGATTTGTTAGCATCAGGAAAATGTTTACGGGTGTTGTCATTGTCAAGATATAAAAATATCACGCAATTACCTGATAACATTGGTAAACACTTAAACTTGCGCTACATTGATCTGTCTTACACTGCAGTAAAAAAGTTACCAGAAACGATGTGTACTCTCTACAATTTACAAACTCTATTGTTGGTCGGTTGTTCCTCTCTTGTTGAATTGCCTGCGGACATGAGGAAATTGATTAATTTGCGTCATCTTGACATGAGTGGAAGTTGTGTAAAAGAGATGCCGGTGCAAATGGGTAGACTAAAAAGTTTGAGAACATTGACTGCTTTTGTGTTGGGGAAATCTACTGGGTCAGGTGGCATTGGAGAACTGGGGCAATTGTCCAAGCTTCGAGGAAAACTATCTATCTTGAATCTGCAAAATGTCGTCAATCCTATGGATGCCTTGGGGGCCAATTTGAAGGATAAGAAAGATCTCAACGAAGTAGAGTTGGCATGGGGTCGTGAGGAAGCAGATGATTCCATGAAAGAGAGACGAGTACTTGAAAGCCTACAGCCTTCTGTAAATCTGGTGAAGCTGACCATCAGATTTTATGGTGGAACCAGCTTTCCGGATTGGTTGGGAGACTCTTCCTTCTCCAACATACAAGTCATGTGTCTTAGTGATTGTAGTACTTGCTTCTCATTGCCACCAGTTGGGCGGTTACCTGCTCTAAGAGAGCTCTATATAAAAAGGATGAAAACTGTTGTGAGTATCGGTGTCGAGTTCTACGGGGGTAATGGAGCTTCTGTAAGTCAACCATTTCAATCTCTCGAGAAGCTAAGGTTCAAAGAGATGCCGGAGTGGGAGGAATGGCTGTCGAGTCCAGGTAGAGGTCAATCTATAGACTTTCCTCGTCTTGAGGAGCTCATTTTAGAGAATTGTCCGAAGCTGAGGGGAAACTTGCCTGATCATCTTCCTTCATTGAAAACGCTTTGGGTGTCCGACTGCGGGGTTCTACATGAAAGGGCTACCAGAACAAGATGGATACCCTGGTCTCTCATCGTTAACACGGAGTCCTTGCGACAATCTCTTCAACGACTGATGATAGTTAGATGCCCTGGTCTTTCTTCGTTACTAGAGACGGAGTCGCTGTCTTCGCTTCGGAATCTTGAGGTTCAAATTTTTAGTAGCACAGATTGCTTGCAGCCGCACTTGAGCAGTTGTCTTCGACGTTTGAGTCTCGTTAACTGCGCGTCACTCTTGTCGTTCCCGAGAAATGGTCTACCCACTTCGTTGACATTTCTTAGAATAGAAAATTGCAGGAGATTAGAATTCCTATCTCATGACATGATGGCCAAATTGACATCCCTTCGAAATTTGGATTTGGGGGGACAGCTGTCATTCGCTGAGGTCCTTCCCGCTGGGCGTTTTCCCCAAACTTTCATCTCTTCAGATCTGGGGCAGTAAAAATCTAGAATCCCTTGCCATTGGAGAAGGAGCTGATGACGAAAATCTCACTCATCTCGACCATCTCTATATCTCTGATTGTCCAAATCTGGTCTCTTTTCCCCACGGGGGATTGCGCACTCCCAAACTGGCTCGATTTGTAGTCCAGGGATGCGACAATTTGAAGTTATTGCCCGACCGAATACACACCCTCACCGGCCTTCGACATTTGGTTATAAGCGAACTTCCAAATGTTGAGTCATTTGCAGAAGGGGGTTTGCCTCCCAACCTACAATCATTTTTAATCAGTGGTTGTGAGAAACTGAGGCCTTCAGTGGAGTACTGGGGTTTGCAACGACTTGTCTCCCTTCGAACATTTCAGATCTGGGGGAGCGAGGATCTGTTGGAGACGGTGCTCAAGGAACAGCTGCTCCCTACCACTCTTCACTCTCTCGAAATCGGTGGAATGAAAAATCTGAAATCTTTGGAGGGAAAGGGACTTCAACACCTCACTTTTCTTCAAGAGCTCAAAATTACAAGATGTGATAGTCTCGAATTCCTGCCAAAAGAGGGTTTGCCGGCATCGCTTTCGTTTCTGAGCATCATCAGGTGTTCTTCCCTGGAGACGAGGTGTCAGAAGAAGACGGGACAAGAGTGGAGCAAGATAGCTCACATTCCTTTGATCAAGATAGATGATCAATTCATCATTTGAGGCCTCAAGTCAAAGGCAGGTACGTGCATAGCGCCATGTTCATTCCATAGGCAAGATTCAAATTCTGTAAAAGTTTCTCTTCAATTGTTTACTGTCATCTATACTTTTACTTAGTTTAATTAATTAGTCAATCAGTCAGTTTTTAATTGTTTAATTCAACTACGCTACTCATACAAAAACATGGCCCTTTAAATTTCAGGACAATATCATCCAAGTGCAACATGTGTTTGCTTACATAAATTACTAGTTGTCGAATCGTGCCATGGCTGTTGGAGTGAGAACGGGTGACGATGACCACAGAACAAAAATGAGAGCCAGGTTTTTTTGGAGCACTGCCCTCACGCTTGCGCTTGTTGGAAGTCAGTAAATTATGTTACTTGAGCAGGAAGAGCTGTTTTCTGCATTTCAAGTTACAAGATCTTTTCGGTCTTTCCTCCAGGACATCGAGGGGATGGATTGGGGAGCAAAATGAAAGATTGACCAACGTAAAGGGGACGCGATAGCAAAAACTTCATATTGGAGCTGGGGATCGATAATATGAAGTTATTGCCCAAACATATGCACACCCGCACCACCCTTCAAAAATTGAGCACCTGGGATCTTCCAAATCTTGTGTCATTTGGTGAAAGGGGTTTTCCTCCTAACCTAGAAACATTTCATAACAGGGATTGTGAGAAACTGAGGCCTTCAGTGGAGAACTGGGGTTTGCAACTACTTGTCTCCCTGCGAAGATTTCAGATCAGCAGCGAGGATGTGTTGAAGACGTTGCTCAAGGAACAGCTGCTTCGTACCACTCTTCACACTCTTGCAATCTCTTATCTATCAAGTCTGATATCTTTTGACAGAAATGGACTTCAACACCTCACTTCTCTTCAAAAGCTATATAATGGAAAGTGTGATAGTCTCGACTTCCTGCCAAAACAGGGTTTTCCTGCAGCTTTTTCTTTCCTGAACATCACCAGATGCCCCTCTCTGAAGAAGAGGTATGAGAACAAGAAGGGAAAAGAATGGAGAAAGATAGCTCATATTCCTTGCATAAAGATAGATGACAAAGTCATCATGATATGATCTCTCTCTCTCTCACACCAAAACTTTTGCTTCTCATTGCACTCTCAACTCTCTAATGTCAGGTACTTTATCTTTTATTTGTTATACTGATTGTGTCAACTTTTCTACATAAAATCTACATAGAGATTTTTCCTTCATTTTTATAGTTATCCATTTTTAGTTGTTTCGCCATATTTTTTGTTGCACAACACACACACACACACACACACACATAAATGGTGCTGGTTCATAACTTTAATGATGTAAAGCGGAGGAGTATCCTGTTTCATCGCCCTATCTAAGATTTAAAGAGAGTGGGCGATCCCGTTGAATTCTTTTCAAAGTTTCAGAGTTCAATTACTAAAATAAAAGGAACAGGGCAGAGGAGTAAAATTTTTTCACATGGATCTGCAGAAATTTCTATTGAATTGTTTAGGCCCAGCATACTGCATCGCTTTCTTGTTCTGTTTTCTTTTTCCTTTAAAGAAAAATGTTTCTTGAAATTTTCAGGAGAATGTGATGGGCGTGACTTATTTATGTGCATTCTGTGGAAATGGAAAGACATGATTATCTGAGGAAACCAAAATTACAACAAATTGTAGTCCTTGAATGCCACTCAGTGGCTCTGCCTCTGCCCATCCGGCATGAATATGATTCTGCTGCATCGGAAAAGGTAACCCCACCTGAGTATGATGGTTTTCACATGCTGGTGTGGTTTGAACATGGCGGCATGATTTTCTCATCTTTCAATTAAACTTTAATCTTCAGGTGGACACAGCACGGATGTGTTGAAGAGTGTGTGGGTTCGTTGCGTGTTGCCTCATGGCTGTGCTTGCTTGTAATGTATACAGCTGGTTTGCATACCTGTACATTATGTTTACTAGACTAGGTAGCTTGCTGTTGTAGCAACAGATTTCATTCCATAGCCAAGATTCAGATTCTGTAAAAGTGTCTCTTCAATTGTTGACTGTCATCTATACTGTGAGTTTCTAATTGTTTAATTCAACTACGCTACCCTTTAAAAAATATGCTTCTTTATATTTCAGGACAATAGCATCCCAAAGCAACACGTGTTTGCTTAAATGAATTACTAGTCGTCGAATCGTGCAATGGCTATCTGTCATCATGAATATGATTCTCCTGCATGGGCGATGAGGTAACCCTGGATGATGTTTTTTTTCCCATTCTCATAGACTCATACTGATGTGATTTGAGTGTGGTAGAATGCATATTCATCTTATGATAAGGAAAAGATTCAGATTGTCAAACTTGGAATGCGTAACAACTGGAATTAATTTGAAGAAGTGCTTATTAGGTTCGACTGAGACATATTGTTTTCTTAGATCACTCATTAATTTATAGTATCTTCAACTTTGAATTTAAGGTATCTTTCTGAGACAAGTTATGAAAAAGGAATGCGCTCGAGTTGACATTTGCATTCAATATCACTGAGAAGAAACAAACATTTTTTCAATTTGATGATGAATGGAAGCGGGTAAAACTCCACGAGATCTTTTCTTTGCCCCTAATTCTTGGACTTTGATATATTTTTCTTTCATCACAATGTTAAATTTGAATTTCTATGCGGGAGTTGTTTGCTCAATATTTAAGGAATAAGCAATTCAGGAAAACTGGTTCCAAAATTTTGTTCCCACTTTCAGAGTTTGATTGGGATGATAAAATGGGAAAAGTAGGGAAAAATGTGAAGGCATTATTCCTAATGCTTTTGTAAATATGTTGCACCTTATCTGTAGAATTTGTCTTTAATCATCTAGGCTTATATACTAGTCAAATGTTAACACTGAAATTCAACTATGCTTTCAGGGCAAAATTATGTCACTAGCGTGTTCGTCAGCTTTGCTGATGCAGATAGCAAACTGTGGAACTGTAGAGATTGGATTATCTAAGGCCAATGATTTTGACGTCTATCAATTAGTTGTCCATGAATGGTTGTCCCGCAGTGTGGCATGAATATGATTCTCCTTCAATTGGATAGGTAACCCCAGGAATGATGTTTTACTCATATATTGCTTTATTTTCAATACAAGCAGCATTCCTTTTCATCTTCTCTTCATGTTGCTGCCATCTTCGGGTGGGTGCTGATATGTTTTTGTACATACATATCTCTGTTGAAGTGAGAATGGGTGACGATGACCACAAAACATAATGAGAGCCACGTTTCTATGGAGCACCGCCCTCATGCTTGCCATCGTTGGAATTCTGTCCATTATGTTACTAGAGCAGGTGGGTGGTTGCTGCACTACACATTTCACAGGAATGATATTTCAGATGATAAAAATTGAGTTCCATTTCACTTTTGTTTCTGAAAAGTTCATAAATAACCAACTTTTTTTCCTTTTTAATTGAGATAAAGAGAGACGGTGTAGTCAGAGACGCGCTGATTACATTCATCAATATAAAGAAAAAGTCCACTTGTTAACTGTGACGTCATTTAATGCTAATTCAATCTATTTATTAGTTGGAATTATTTAAGAAGCTGCACCAATTAGGTTTCATTTTAAGAACCATTTGCTTGTTTTCTAAGATGAATTCGATCGTTTATAATTTCACCATATTTGAATTTAGCAGTATTCATACATGTTGAGCTGGGGTATGAAAAAGAAAAGCACTTGTGTTGGCACTTGTGTTGGCATCCTATCAATTCATCATTTGAGGCCTCAAGTCAAAGGCAGGTACGTGCATAGCGCCATGTTCATTCCATAGGCAAGATTCAAATTCTGTAAAAGTTTCTCTTCAATTGTATACTGTCATCTATACTTTTACTTCAACTACGCTACTCTAACAAAAACATGGTGCTGGTTCATAACTTAAATGATGTAAAGCAGACGATCCCGCTGAATTCTTTTAAAGAGAGAGTGGGCAGAGGAGTAAAATCTGTCACATGTATCTGCAGAAATTTGTATTGAATTGTTTAGGCCCAGCATACTGCATCGCTTTCTTTTTCCGTTTTCTTTTTCCTTTAAAGAAAAATGTCACTAACGTGTTCGTCGGCTTTGCTGATGCAGATACCAAACTGTGGAACTGTAAAGATTGGATTATCTAGGGCCAATGATTTTAACGTCCATCAATTAGCTGTCCATGAATGGTTGTCCCGCAGTGTGGCATGAATATGATTCTCCTTCAAATGGATAGGTAACCCCAGGAATGATGTTTTACTCATATATTGCTTTATTTTCAATACAAGCAGCATTCCTTTTCATCTTCTCTTCATGTTGCTGCCATCTTTGGGTGGGTGCAGATATGTTTTTGTACACACACATCTCTGTTGAAGTGAGAACGGGGTGACGATGACCACAAAACAATTTTAGAGCCAGGTTTCTATGGAGCACCACCCTCATGCTTGCCCTCGTTGGAATTCTGTCCATTATGTTACTAGAGCAGGTGGGTGGTTGCTGCACTACACATTTCACAGGAATGATATTTCTTATGTTGAACATGGCAGATGATAAAAATTGAGTTCCATTTCACTTTTGTTTCTGAAAAGTTCATAAATAAACAACTTTTTTTCCTTTTTAATTGAGATAAAGAGAGACGGTGTAGTCAGAGACACGCTGATTACATTCATCAATATAAAGAAAAAGTCCACTAGTTAACTGCGACATAATATAACGAATAGCTCATGTATAAGTTGATGCTAATTCAATCTTTTTATTATCTGGAATTATTTAAGAAGCTGCACCAATTAGGTTTCATTTTAAGAACCATTTGCTTGTTTTCTAAGATGAATTTGATCGTTTATAATTTCACCATATTTGAATTTAGCAGTATTGAGCTGGGGTATGAAAAAGAAAAGCAAAGCACTTGTGTTGGCATCCTATCGAAACAGATATGAGAAGAAACAGGATTTTCACATCTTGATGTGGAAATGAAGTGGGAGAACGCATCGATCTGAAGGTAAAGCTGTCTTCTTTCACTGCATTAACTGTGCACATACCCTCCATGAATTTTTGTTGGAATGCCTACTTACTCTCCTTAAAGAAAACGATTTTAATCTGGGATTGTGCCCATTGTCACAGCCTATGAAGTGATCCAAAGGAACTGAGAAATTATAGCATTTTGCTCTATCATTGGGGATGTTATGAGCTATCCCTTGAGTTGTATCAGGACAAAAAGGTATGTTTTCTATATGTGTGGTGACATGCGACTACAATTGGAATCTAATAAAATATGAGCAATCCCTTCAAGTATGTTCAAGCTGAAGAAACAAGGGGAGATGGATGTCAAAAGCAAGGATGGTTTGCCGCAAAAAACGTATGGATTCAAACAAGGTTTTAGTGACGTTCAAGTGGGTTTATGCCCTCGAGTTTTGATAGGTAACCGGTGTTGGTTCACCAAGAAAACGAGGGATGGAGAAGTCTCTTGGTGGAAGCAAAGATATGAACTTGGATGCATCTCCGAATCTGATGAGCAGGAAACTATGAAAACAAAGCAGGAAGAGTTTATGGAAATTTGCGGCAGAGATGGTGCTGCTGCTTTGAGCAATAAGGATGTCAATGCCAAGGCGTTCAGAAAGCATTGTAAAGTCAAGGAATGGCCCGGGACTATTGAGACTCAAGAGGTTGTTTTTGGCAGCAGAGATGGTGCTATTGATTATAGTTTTTTCTTTGAGAATGCATATTGATATTGTTGTTGGTTGGTTTTAATTCTGTTTAGGAGGGCTTATGGTCTCAAGTTTTGGCAGGCAATGTGTGTTGATTCACCTAGCAAACGAGGGAAGGAGAACGCCCTTGATCAGAGCAATGATGTGAAGTACTGGGATGCGGCAAAGCAGGACGAGTTGATGGAAACTTGTAATCAGCAGGGATGGTGCTGCTGCTGTGAATAAGAATAATGCCAAGGGCAAGAGCAAGGGCAAGGCTGCAGGAGGGTGTCGCAGGGTCAAGGAACGCCACATTGAGAGCAGAGAGGGAAATGCTCTCCAATTTTTTAAGTCCAGTGAAACTTTTAGAGGTAATTGTTACTTTTGTTCTATTATATATTTGATTAAAAAGGTTGCTCAAAACTTATTTTAATTGATTTTGTGCACCCTTTTTTTGGATGCTAAAACATTCTTGAACTTCCAATTCACTCGAAATCTCATTTTTTATTTTCTTGTTTCTTTTTACTCTAGTTTTTTAAAATTGAAAACTCCCAAGCGGAATCTGTCTTCGACAACACGTGGACAGTTTGTGATGGGATGACTTATTTCTGTGCATTCTGTGGAATTGTAAAGACGTGGCTATCTGAGGCAACCAAAATTACAAGTAGTAGTCCTTGAATGCCGCTCTGTGGCTCTGCCTATCCGGCATGGATATGATTCTCCTGCATCAAAAAAGGTAACCCCACCCAACCCGAGGATGATGGTTTTCACATACTGGTGTGGTTTGAATACGGCGGCATGATTTTCTCATCTTCTACTTTCACTTTAATCTTCAGGTAGACAGCGCGGATGCGTTGAAGAGTGTGGGTTCGTTGCGTACTGCCTCATGGCCGTGCTTGCTTAAATACCTGTACATTACGTTTCCTAGACACTGCACAATGTAAAATTATGAAGCGAGAAATTGGGTCACTTTGTCGCAATCCCCTACTCGGATGTATGTTGCAGCCCATGAATCAGCACACTATAGCTTCACTTGGCATGCCTTGTAAAGCACCGGATATGACTAATAATACGAAGCCCGTTATTTGGTGCACTAGGACACTGGGCTTTGCACTCATCACTTGCTTGGAGCTTCTTCATAGAATAATTGTTTCAGTTGATCTGTGTTAGGATATGACATTATTATTAAGCTTTGATTAAATACAGAGGGGAGTGCTTGCACTTGTCACTTGCCTTCTTATTTTAATCTTTTCACTTTTACTCATGTTACATGTATTCCACTAGCACGTAAAACTAAAAATTTAATTACTTTTTGGTTGATAAACTAAAATTTTATAGAAAATGCTGTGGAGACTGGTTTTGAATCATATGTTTGTTGACTTCGTGATATAGCAATTGATGGTTGGTTACCTTCTTTAATGATTTAAGACTTGCATAGCATAGTATGTAACATCAATAACTCATTTATTATGCCCGAGTAAACACAATTTTTCGTGTCAAAAGAATAACATGCTTTGACAGTAGTACCATGACACCTTTTAGGCCTATCATTACTAGGTATGGGGTTTATCATTACTAGGTGTTGCCTACCATCTATTACTAGGTGTAAATTTTTTTTTTTTTTTTTTTTTTTTTGAAAATTACTAGGTGTAAATTTTATCACAAAAGAACTCGATGATATTTAATGGTTCACCTCCTACATATAATTCGTATATTATTTTTGGTCGATTTCAAGTTGGTATGAAGGATTCAATCTGAACACAATCAAAACTTATGTGGTAAAATTTATGTATTGGATCGATTGTCAAATTCTTCTCTCTTGTAAACAAGTCTAATTACACCGAATGAATCTTAAGGTACAACAAAACAAAAGAGGAATATAAGCCTAGCACGACAAAGTTATAAACCCAATCCTTCGGATAGCAAACAATGAACAAAGATCTCCTATACTTGATGGATCAATGCTGCTGCCCCAATATGCAAAGAGAGGGATAAAGAAGACAGCCAGACTTTGCCACAATGTGTCACCGATGGTTAACCAAAATAATTTTGAGTTGTAGCATTCTTGTCTCTGACCAGCTCCGTATAGCTGCGGATCTCTCCCCTCATTATAAAGGCTCCAACTCACTGTCAATTTTGTTGAGAGAACTTGTCCCACTAACTTGGACAGAAGGAATACTGCACATAGTTTCAGACTTTTGTGCTTTCAGCTTGCAGTGAGCACGCCACCTTTACAACCTGTGCTTGGAATGATGCATGTGGATGCCACACCCTAGACAGCAGGGATTTGCACGTGGTTGCTGCATCATGGATTCACGGGCTTGGTTGCTGCATCGTGGGCAGCAAGGATGCCATCTGTTTTTGTATTGTTTAATGCATGCGTGTGTGTATATGTATATATGAAAGCTGCTTCCATTTGTAGCAAAACTAATCAATAATACAACAAAACATTAAACTTTATATGGTATCAGAGCTTAGGCAATCCTTTGCTCTGCTCTGCCTTCACTCTTCCGCTGCTATACTGTGATCTGTTACTGCAGCAACCAGTGCACTGCAAGCTGCACACTCGCTGCCTTGCCGTCGCAAAGCTGCTACGCAGCCATCGTCGCTGCTCTACCTGTCACAGCCATTAAGCACAGCCGCAGAGCACAGCCAGTCACAGCCACTGCACACTGCCTGCCGACATGGCAACTGACTCTTCCAGCAAACACACCAAATACGAAGATCCCAACGATCCTCTTTATCTTCATCACTCTGATCAGCCTGGAGCGATCCTCGTCACACACCCTTTGAATGACGAAAATTACTCCACTTGGAACCGAGCCATGGCCATGGCCCTCAATGCAAAGAACAAGGAAAGATTCATCAATGGATCCATTAAAAGGCCCGAGTCTGCATCCACAAGTGAATTCCAACAGTGGACTCGTTGCAACAACCTCGTGAAATCCTGGCTGCTCAACTCTGTCTTGAAAGATATCGGAGCAAGTGTCATCTACAACAATGTTGCAGCTGATATTTGGAATGAGTTGAAGGAACGTTTCTCTCACACAAACAGTGTACATCTCTTTCATATTGAACAAGAGATACATGGAAGTGTTCAAGGAAATTTGAACATTGGTGCATATTATACCAAACTGAAAAGTTTTTGGGATGAACGTGATGCCATGTGCATTCTCCCAACCTGTACATGTGGAGCTGCAAAAGAATTAATGCAGTTTCAGCAAAGTCAGAAAACCATGAAGTTTCTCATGGGCCTCAATGAATCCTACGCTGCGGTTCGTGGGCAACTTTTACTTATGGATCCCCTCCCTGTTGTCAACAAAGTTTTTTCACTTATTATTCAAGATGAGAAGCAAAGAACAGTTTTAATACATGCTCCTGGAAGGTCCTCAGTCACCGATACCGCAGCTTTCGCCGTGCGGGATAACTTGGTAGGAATTTTTCTCCAAGAAATTCCCATCTAAAATGTGGTCGTTGTGATGCAACTGGACACACTTCAGATACCTGTCGTGCACACCTCAAGTGCGACTACTGTAATTGGAAAGGTCACACCATTGATTAATGCCGCAAACTGAAAAAGGAGAAAGACAACAGCAATAGGGGAGATTATCAGGATCGCAGGGGTTCCAATTCCAAGGCTAATCATGTTGATACCCAGCCAACGCCTCCAGCAACATTTCCTTCGTCCTACAGCCTCACTTCCGAGCAATATCACAATCTGCTTGCACTCCTTGATAAGAGTTAATCCAACTCCACATCTAATCATGTCGGTACCACCTCTACTATGAATAACTTGTCAGGTAGAGTTTTTTGTGCTTCTGCTCTCAATAAGGGAAGGGACTGGATTTTTGATACAGGCGCCACAGACCACATGGTATGCTCACCAAGCTTAATGACCACAAGTGTTCCGGTATACAATCGACAAGTACACTTACCCAATCATGCACTTGCCGATGTCACACATATTGGCACAGTTCATCTCTCGAATGATCTCACCCTTCACAACGTGCTTTGTGTTCCATCATTTAAACTGAATTTAATTTTTGTCAGCAAACTCACTAATACCTCATCTTGCTTTGTCATCTTCACTGATAAAATGTGTCTACTTCAGGGCCAACGATCGGGGAAGATGATTGGGACGGGAACTGAACGAGAAGGACTCTACTACCTTGATAATGTGATGAAAACCAGGTGCAATTCAACGTCAATTGTTGCCTCTTCTTCTTCTCAGCTTTGGCATCAACGCCTTGGCCATCTTTCCAACAAGACCTTACGGCATCTCTCTACTTGCATTAAAAATTTGAATTTTTGTAGCATTGATGATTGTTTGATTTGTCCATTAGCCAAACAAACACGTGCTCCTTTTCCTTTGAGTTCTATCACCACAAAGGCTCCTTTTGAGTTAATTCATGTTGACATTTGGGGAGGTTACCATGTTCCCACTATCACAGGGGCACAATATTTCTTAACTATTGTGGATGATTTCTCAACTATTGTGGATGATTTCTCAAGATGCACATGGGTTTATTTAATGAATCACAAATTAGATGCACGATCTTATCTCATCACTTTCATCCACCTTGTTGAAACACAATTTTCCACACGAGTCAAGGTTCTTCGTAGTGATAACGGTCCAGAATTTTTTATGACCCAATTTTTTTTAGATAAGGGGATTCTCTATGAAACAAGTTGTGTCTCTACTCCCCAACAAAACGAGGTAGCAGAGCGCAAACACCGCCACTTACTCAATGTTGCTAGAGCCTTACTTTTTCAATCTCATCTTCCTAAGAAATTTTGGGGTGATGCAATCCTCACTGCCACTTATCTCATAAATCGGACTCCCACTCCTCTTCTTCAAGGCAAATCACCCTATGAAATACTTCACCACAAACAGCCAGCGTATGCACATTTGCGAGTGTTTGGTTGCTTATGTTTTTCTTCCACCCACCACCATCGTCCCACAAAATTTGATGCAAGAGCCACACGGTGTCTTTTTCTTGGGTATCCATATGGCACAAAGGGATATCGAGTTTACGACCTTCACACGGGTAAAATCTTTATCTCCCGTGATGTTATTTTCCATGAACATGTGTTCCCTTTTTCATCTTCTGCTGCAGTTTCACCACTTATGTTTCCACATACTCAAGATACTGCCTGTGATGATCCCATCATTCATCCGTCCATTCTACTGGAGCAGGATTCCGTCGATCCATCCTCTTCTTCGCCGGTGAGTCCTGTTTCGGTTTCATCTCCTTTTCTTTCCACCTCATCACCTCGTCTTAAACGACCCACTCATGCACCTGGTTATCTTCAACAATATCACATCGACATCAACCTCCCTTCTCGGTCAGTCCCTTCATCTCACTCGGCATTGACCAAAGTACCAGGTACTCCTTACCCTTTGTCTGATGTCCTCACATACGATCGTTTATCTGCTCGACATCGTGCTTTCACCACTTCCATTTCAGCTGCCATAGAACCCAGCTCATTCTCACAGGCTATACGCGACCCTCACTGGCGTTTCGCTATGGAAGAAGAACTGGCAGCCCTTGCTGCGAATAGGACATGGTCTCTGCAACCATTGCCCCCTGGCAAGAAGCCGGTTGGATGTAAATGGGTTTACAAAATCAAATTTCGATCCGATGGATCCATTGAGAGATATAAAGCACGCTTGGTTGCCAAAGGTTATAGCCAAATTAAAGGCTTAGACTATCGAGAGACCTTTGCTCCGGTTGCAAAATTGACTACAGTTCGCCTACTCCTTGCTGTTGCCTCGGTCCAACAATGACACCTCCACCAGCTTGATGTTAATAACGCTTTCCTCCATGGTGATCTTGAAGAAGATGTCTACATGTCCTTGCTTCCTGGTTTCGGACAAAAGGGGGAGACACGAGTTTGTAAACTTCATAAATCTTTGTATGGACTTAAGCAAGCCTCTCGTCAATGGTTTATCAAACTCTCTTGTGCTCTTAGAAAGGCCGGTTATCAACAATCCAAGGTAGATTATTCATTGTTCGTCCGAAACCATGATGGTAAATTCACTGCCCTCCTTGTCTATGTTGATGATATTATCTTGGCAGGAAATAACATACAAGCAATTGAAGATACCAAGTCTTTTCTTATGAAGCAATTCAAGTTGAAAGACCTTGGCCAATTAAGATATTTCTTGGGCATTGAAATTGCTTGCTCTAGCAAGGGGATCACTCTCTCACAGCGAAAATATGCCCTTGAAATACTTGAGGATGCAGGTCATCTTGGCGCAAAACCAGCCACCTCTCATATGGAGCAAAATTTATCACTCAGAAAGGATGAAGGACAATGGGTTACTGATCCTTCCTCTTATCGACGACTTGTTGGGAGACTAATCTACCTGACAATCACGCGCCCTGATTTGGTGTATGTTGTCCATATTCTTAGTCAATTTATGGAAAAGCCTCGAACTCCACACTTGGAGGCAGCCCAGCGAGTCTTACGATACGTTAAGCACACACCAGGGCAATGTATTTTTCTTTCTGCAAGAAGTCCAATTCAATTGAATGCTTTTTGTGATGCGGATTGGGCCAGATGTCGAGACACACGACGTTCTACCACCGGATACTGTGTATTTCTTGGAGAATCCTTGATCTCCTGGAAAAGCAAGAAACAAAATACTGTGTCACGTTCTAGTGCAGAGGCGGAGTATCGTTAAATGGCAGCAACTTGTTGTGAAGTCACTTGGTTGAAATCTGTTCTACAAGACTTGGGTATCAAACATAAACGTCCAGTCAAGTTATATTGTGATAATCAAGCGGCACTTCACATCGCTTCAAATCCGGTCTTTCACGAAAGAACCAAACACATAGAAATTGACTGCCATCTTGTACGAGAAAGGGTTCAAAGTGGAATGATCGAGACATCTCACATCTCAACCATGAAACAACCAGCCGACATCTTCACAAAGCCACTGAGCTTATACCAGTTTACGACTTTGCTTTGCAAGTTAGGAATAATCAACATTCATTCCAAACTTGAGGGGGAGTGTTGAGAGAACTTGTCCCACTAACTTGGACAGAAGGAATACTGCACATGGTTTCAGACTTTTGTGCTTTCAGCTTGCAGTGAGCACGCCACCTTTACAACCTGTGCTTGGAATGATGCATGTGGATGCCACACCCTAGACAACAGGGATTTGCACGTGGTTGCTGCATCATGGATTCACGGGCTTGGTTGCTGCATCGTGGGCAGCAAGGATGCCATCTGTTTTTGTATTGTTTAATGCATGCGTGTGTGTATATGTATATATGAAAGCTGCTTCCATTTGTAGCAAAACTAATCAATAATACAACAAAACATTAAACTTTATAAATTTACTCCTTAACTTTAGTTTAATCCAATTAGATTGTATATTTTTGTTTATGACTAAATTCCCCTTGCCGTTAAATCCCTTCACTTTTCATCCATGATTCCATTAATTTATGGAAATTTAAATCACAAAAAATCAATTTAAAAAAATAAAAAATTCAAATTTAAAAATAATTAAAGAGACCACATCTAAGCTCTCTTTCTGTTAACCAAAAAACAAAAAAACTCTCTCTACCTCTTCCCGATTATAACTTCCTTCCCAATCCCAGATCATTATGTTTTCTTAAAAGAATTGTTTTTGTTTGAAAAAACTTTTAGGAGATGCCCATTTGTAATTATCGTTTGTGTAACTATGAACGATGAATAACTATCTATCGGTTGAGTAATTGTATAAACAAGTATATCTATATTTATAATTGTATATATACAAATAATTGTATTTATAATCGCATAACTATTTAAACGTAACTGTATACCACTTACTCATTTTTTTTAACAGGTTGAAAATATTTACCGTCCAAATTTTTTTTTTCCCAGTTACAAAAACTCACTTCCTTAATTTGTCATATTTCATGAGCCATTTGTTTGCAAGTCATCTGCTCGGAAATTTACGATAAAAATGCACCAACATCATCAAAGCTAAGCAAAAGGCCAAATCATGATTGCAAGAAGTCAAATCATGGCTGGATTCGTTGATCCCATGTAGGGGTGGAAAAAATTCCCGAAAATCCTGAACTGAACAGAAAAAATCCCGATCCCAAACCAAAAATTTCTCATACCGAAATTTCCGAAATTTTCGGGATGCTATCCCGAACCGATCCCAAAATTTCGGTATGGGATTCAGAATTGGCTTCTCGATATTTCGGGAATCCCATACCGAATCGAAAATATATAATATTAATTATTATATATATATATTTATACATATATATATTATTCTTTTATAATTGATGCTAGTAGTTTCTAATTCATGCTCTGCAACCTGGAATGCCCTACACCTTATATATTTTTCATGTTCTGTTTGATATTCATGTGGATTTTATTATTACTGCTACCATGACTGATGATTTCAGAAGACTTGATTCTTTTGTCTCTCAACAGATTGTAAAAAGGGTTTAATTAATTTGAATTTTGACTATGATAAAAACAGTCAGACATGCCAGTGTTCAATTAAATGCTAGTGTGAATGAAATGAAATTCCTAGTTCATGACTGTGTTCCTGAATTATATATTTGAAGAACAATTCATAATTTCATATTTCAATTTGGGGTTCCCGATTTGTCCCAAAATCCCGAAAATATTTCGGGATTCCCGAAAATTTGGTTTGGGATTGGTCTTCAAATTTCCGTCTCGAAAAATTTTGGTTTGGGATTCAGGATACTAGTTTCGGTTTGGTATCCCATACCTAACCACCCCTAATCCCATGTGCAAACTATGGATAATGACATAATATGAAACGAGTTTCACGTTATTGTGATGTTACGGTTTAATAATACAATTTTACATGTAAGTTGTTCGATGTTCATACGACATTGAAGTGTTATACTAAAATCAAGATGTCACGCAGTGAATGAGTCTGTTCCATGCAAATTACTTTTTCAACTTATGGCTAGGCTAATCAACTGTTGTTTTGCTTGAGTTCAACCGCATCTGCAACATCTTCCACAACACTGCACTTGAAGAGCAAAATCCCAACGCGATTTCTAGTATTAACAGACAACAGTCATGTTACGGTTAATTACTGGGAAATTGTCACCCCACCCAAATTCTCACACCAAATGCTAGTGCTAGGAAATTGTTATAGGGAATACGACCCTATGATTAACTCGTGGGGTTCAATATTGAATTATTGACCAAAATTAATCAAAGCCATCTCTACAATTAAAGTGTGGGGTCCACTTAATTATTGACATAAAAAATATATCAAGTTATCCCTCTCCGAAACGAAATCAAGCTTATATTCATAAGTCTCTTATTCTTCCTCACCTCAACACTTCTTTGAAGGAAAAAAAAAAAGGGGGGGGGGGGTTTTAACCAGTACTTGCAAAAGATTAAAATTAAAAAAAAAACTAGTGTTAGATTATATATTTAATTTAATCTCTTGAAGTGTACTTTTATCAAAATTTATATTCAATTGTTGTTATTTAATGTGTATTTTTATTTAATCTCTCCACATTAAATTTTAATTTTATTAATATACACATATTTAGTTCTTTAATTATAAATGAACATAAATGAGAAAATATTAAAAGAAATTTGTGATACAAAATATATAAATACATGATTGTACTGTGCCGAAATATATTATAATAAACATAAATGTATGTACCGAAATGTATTATATTGAATTAATATACCTAAGTGCAAGTAAACAACCATTCATGGACGGATTAAGAAAGATATATATATATATATATATATATATATCTGTTTGTGGAGTTATGCTTCTGATTTGTCTTAGGGTTTGTGGGGTTTGTAGGGACAGTTTTCTGATTTCATCCCCTGCCAGTGCCTCCCCTTCTATGTTTGATTAGTTTTTTCTTGGTTGTGTTACAACATCATTTGTTCTTGTTTTATTATATATGTGTATATATACAAATCATTAGTTGGTATCGATGGCAAAGAAGGGGGCGTCTTCTTCAATATCATTTGTTCTTGTTTTTTTGGGAGATAGCCTTATATTCTTATATTTCAATTTTATATTTGAGTTTTTGCACTGGAGGAGAAAAGATTGGACTCAAATCTCACATTTTGACTTTTACAATTGGGCTTCTATTTACTCTAAATAGTACTTGCCTTTTTACAACTCCACCTGTTGGGTAGGGGCAATGGGAAGGGTGATACTATTCACAATTTTTATAATTTTATTTTATTTTTATGCTTTGTAAGTTTGTTCTTTGAAAATAAAATGATCGTCTAATTTAAATAAGATGTTGAGTATTTATAGAATAATAAAATGGTTGGGTGTTTATAGAATAATAAAATGTGGGGAATGGTTGGGTATTTATAAAAAAAATCCTATTTTTCCCTATGTTTTGTAATTTTTATTGCTGGGTTAATCCTTGCACTTGATTTTCAAAATCATTTAAAATTAAACGCATTAGAACGTGTTGCATGTCACAATGGTATTTCTTTTATACTGTTGGAAATCCAACAGCCTGAGATGTGCCATGTCATAGAGTCTTTGGGCTCTTTTGTTGCAACAGGGCTCACTGTTGCAGTTTATATCGGCTCACTATCCCTTTTACGTGTGCAATGCACGCGTCATGCACATAAAAAAATTAAAGACCGTGGCTGACCTCATGTTGACATTAACCTTGCTATTTGACGTCATGTTGACGTTAGCTTTGCTAGTTGACACAAGGTTGGGCCGGCATAAGTAACGTTAGCCTTGCCAGTTGATGCAAGGCGCAAAGCCGAGCTTATCTTGCTCGGTCTTTTGAGCGAGCATTGCATGGCCCACTACTTGCCCTCTTCCATTTCGGCCGCTGAAGTTATTTTTGTGTTGAAGGGCATGTATGTTTCAAGCACTTGTCCTTGGCATCCCTTTATGGTGGTTGGATTTGCTAAATACCTACTAATAGCCCAGCCCATACCCCAAAAAAAAAAAAAAAAAAAAAACCTCCAGCGCTTCCTAGTACTCTGACTACTCTCTGCTCGGCACCTCAATCACTTCACTCGACTCGACCAGGAAGGAGTAGGCGCGTCTTCTGTGTCCAACTCTCCCTCCCTCCCTCTCCGACTCCTCCACTGTGACTCCTATCATTGACTGAACATCTTCACTTGTTCTTTTACATGAGATGCCCTCAGAACTGAAACCCCCAAATCGAAACCAGGCTGCCTCTTGTTTTGGTCCGCCTTCATTGTTTGGATTTGGATTTTTCAGCGGGTACTCTCTCTCTCTCTCTCTCTCAACAATACCTAATACCTGGCCATGGAATTCTGTTATGCTCAAGCAATTTTCGCTGTTGAGTTGCTTTTGAGTAATTTATATCTTTCCACTGCACTTGTTTATATCTTGGTCTTGGAATAATATTGTGTGCGTATTTTACTATGAATATTGTGAATCATAGCGTAGTATCACACGCTGAGAAACACAATTGGTATTTGATAATGCAGATTTATGCAATGGAATGAAAAACATTATCAATTTAGATTTTTATTCAGTGTGACTGTGTGAGTACCGAGTGTAGTGGTATTATAAGATTCATACGGCCGACCTCACTTAGTGGGATAAGGCCTTGTTGTTGTTGTATTCAGTACGAGATTAACACATTTTAGTGTTATTATTGCCCAAAAAGTTATTTCTAGCTCTAGCTGGTGGACTTTTTAGTTTGCGGGACTTGTCATCACAGCCGATATATGTTTAGGTTCCTTATTATAGAATTGTTGCCTAAAGCTAAAAGTTTCCCCTACACATTTGCGAATACATTGGAGGGGAAGTGATTTCATTAATGATTGCTGCTATAAGGGGAACAAAGCTTCAAGATTGACATGTTTTAGTAACAGTCTTATACAATATTTGGTTTTGTACTGATAAGAAATAGGAGTGTATGTTAACACATTGTATTTTGACATATTGCAGGCTTGGTTTTCTCTTGGGAAGTCAGTATGTTTGATGTGAATGATGGTTTCTGGATTATCGACTAGGTTGTTGAACATATGTATAGCTTCGTATTGTAAGTCCCGGCTACTGGAGAGAGCAGAAGCCGTTATAATTGATGGCATAAGATTGGGGGTGATTCCAGATGTGGTAACTTACAATACTTTGCTCAATGCCTATTCTCGGTTTGTTAGCTTGGATTCAGCTTATTCTGTTGTTCATAGAATGAAAGAGGCTGGGATTAGTCCAGATGTCATTACATACAATTCTTTGTTATCCGGGGCCACCAGGAATTGCCTATTATCACAATCTCTGGATCTGTTTGAGGAAATGTTACAAGCGGGCATACATCCTAATGTATGGAGTTACAATATTCTGATGCATTGTTTCTTTAAGTTGGGAAAACCTGATGAAGCCAACAGAGTTTTTCAGGATATTTTACTTCGCAATCTCACTCCTCACCCAGCTACGTTTAACATAATGATTAATGGCCTTTGTAAAAATGAATACATTGATAATGCCCTTATGTTATTTAGGAATTTGCAACGTCATGGATTTGTTCCCCGATTAGTGACGTACAATATTCTTATCCATGGGCTATGCAAGGCACGCAGATTGGGGCAAGCAAGAAAGATGCTAAAGGAACTGGGGGAATCAGGTTATGAGCCAAATGCCATAACCTACACTACAGTTATGAAATGCTGCTTTAAGTTTAAGCAGTATGACGAAGCGCTCGAGATTATGTCAGAGATGAAGAGTAAAGGGTATACCTTTGATGGCTTTGCAAACTGCACAGTTGTTGCTGCTTTAGTTAAGACTGGGAGGATAGAAGAGGCAAATGCTTGCATGGAACAGACAATGAGAAATGGCATTGAACTTGATTTAGCGGCTTATAACACTTTACTTAATATGTATTGTAGAGAAGGTAAGTTTGAAGCTGCCTATAAGTTGATGGATGAAATAGAGAATGGAGGTCTGCAGTGTGACAAGTATACCCACACAATTATAATTGATGGATTGTGTAAGGCTGGTAATATTATCGGGGCTGAACAACATTTACAATATATGAAAATGATTGGCTTCCGTGAAAATTTGGTTGCCTTCAACTGCATGATTGATGGCTTGTGTAAAGCTGGTCAAATCGATCGTGCGATGGACTTGTATAAATCAATGGAGACTAAAGATTCCTTTACCTACACCTCTTTGGTGCACAATCTTTGCAAGGCTGGAAGGTTCCGTTGTGCGTCCAAGCTTATGATGAAATGTCTAAGAGATGGCAAGAAAATACTCAAGGCTACCCAACGAGCTGTCCTTGATGGTCTTCGTAGTACAGGGTATACAGATGAAGCAAGGAAGCTTCGGTGGAAAATTCAAGTGGCTCGAATATTACGTTAAAAATTGGCCGTGCTTTTGCTGCTGAAAATTAGTTTCATCATATTTGCATTGGCATTTTGGACAGCACCATTTAAAATCCCTCTTTTAGTCATATGCCGTAAACATAAGTTGTTTTGGGTGGTAAGCTTGTTCTACACAGCACTGATTATTAACGGTGAAGAGTAATGTTGAATCCGAATGTAAGGCGACTAACTACCCTGCCACTGCCTTGCATTGCTAATCTGACAGTGGTTCTGCCGGTGTGCATAACAGAAAGACACTACTTGTAGCAAATACACTACTTCCCATATTCATGTATGACTGGAAACATTTCTCAAATTCATCTGTCAGTCATGCTGGTTCTTCACTTGATGGACCCACTGTGAGTTTCTGTTCTTATTCCAACTGATTTAATAGATCTTCTTTGAGTTGTTAAATAAACTAATGCTCTTCAAAAGTTACTCAAAGAGCACCAGCACTTTTTTTATATTAATTTTCATTTTTTACTTCCTCTGGAAACAAATTATGAAATATGTGTTACTTTTGGCAGGGTAACTGGTTAGCATTATTGAGAGCAGTTTAGTTAGAACTCAGGACAACTACTAACTTCTCCTGAGAGGTAAACTTGTGTATTACAGCCTACTTTTCGTGTAAGTGATTTTTGACATCAAATTTTGATAATTTGGTTTCTTAGATACATTTAATGGTTGTATGACAGAGGAATAAGAGAGCTTTGATTCTCAGACCGAGAAAAAGGATGGTTTACTATACAATGTGTGCATCCAAAAGTTAAGAATTGCAAACTCTTGCATGTTTTATAAAAGAATAATTCTGAGGGAACCCTTGATTCTCTTTCATATTTGTTGGTCTATTTCTTAACCTGTAATAGCAATGATGTTTTACAATTCTTCAAGGTCTGAGATATTATATTTTTAAATAATATTCTTTGTAAGCAAAGTACTCCAAATTTTTACTATAAAAGGTTGATTGTTTACTTTTGTTTATGTGTTTTCCTATATCTTTGCTCTCTACCTGACTATCTTTTCACATTCTTAATATGCTGATAAAGAAATGTTAGATCAATATTTGATTTTGTTCTTTTCATTTTAAAGGAGTTTTTATGATTGAGAGGCCTCATTTATTTCGTGCTTCTGTGTGTGCGTGCTTATAACTTGGCTCAGAACTCAGAAGGAGATGCATTGACAAAATAAATAGTTTTCAGAGCATGGGATAAAAACTAAGGTGTATCATAATGTGCGCGGAGGTCCAGATTTTAAGCTCAGCAATTCAATTCACGTATGTCATTATGCAGATGTAGTGGTCTAAACCAAAGCAAGGTGACAGGGTAAGTAGAATAAAGAAAGAAAAAGACAGAAATATGAATTGCTGGTTTACTTCATATTACTGTATTTTATGTATTTAAAAATATTGCCTGTAGCTCCAAAGAGGATGGTTACTCGTTCGGCATAAAGGGTTTCTTCCCTTGATATCCTGGATGTTTAGGTGATCTAGTTTACTGAAAGTAAATTCCCAAAATTTCAGTCTAGCGAATAAGAATATTAGATAACTGCATAAAACATCTGTCCCGGTCCTAAATAAAATTTCGTATATGACTGCACAAACAGCAATTCAAGAAAGGCTCATACTCTATCAGAATAAAGCTGTTTGAATTATTCGAACAATAAACAAAAATCATACAAAAATATAGGGGAAAGATTGAAATGTATCGAGAAGAGATAACAGAGCTGGTTTTATGAGCTGGGACAGCGAAACAAAAAACCAGCTGCTCAACTTCTTTGGGCTGGAACAGAGAAAGGAGAGAAGGATTGAGGTATGTAGGTGGGAGCCTGATTCATGTCTGCTGGAAGGAGAAATAGGATATCAAAGAGGTTGATGGGGGATTAGGCTTCTCTGTTGGGTGGGAGGAGAAGAAGATGGTGAGGCCTTAAGCGAATACACACAATGGCAGCAGTTTTTGTTTAAAAGAAAAAAACATTATCTAACAGATGACACAAATCCTTACGTTAAAAGTAAGGAATCACCAATGACCAAAAGGTGCCATTGCCTCTAAGACTTTTGAAAGCAAAAGTAGGTTTACTGGTCGTCTTTCTTCTGGGGCTTTCGATGATTCTCCCATTCTTGCCCCAAAGTGCAACTAGACGACTTTGAAAACACTGATGAACATGGTATTTTTTTATTCTTGCCTCATTGTTTTTCCTTATTTCTTTGTAACATGTTCATTGATTTAACATGTACCACTGTTATGAAGAATGATGAAGGTGGTAACTCTGTATCCACTGTGCTTCTCGAGGGTATAGTGACAGTATATTGGATGATATTGAAGGAGCATGTGGATGGCAGAGTGAACACGGACAAGGTAATTTACAAGGAACATTCAGAATTTTATATTGCTAGGCTTGTTTTGTTTGACCTCTGCAATAAATGCAAGTGTATGTATAACTTTTAAAAAACTTAGGTGTCTGAACCATTGAATTTATATCTTCGCTATCATGATCGCTTTCATTTCAGGCAACAGCTGCTAGTGTATGTATACTGTTCTTGGAGCTGCAGCTACTGAATTGAGTGAGCTAGGAGAGTAAAGGAGTTATATTTTACAGAAACGGGAAACATTGTCATTTTCAGGCAGTGTGCATTGGATGGCTGTGTTTCACATTCAGGTAATGTGCACAGACGTCGTATTTTGTTCACTTTCAGTGATTTCATATGCAATATGCCTGTTTAGTTTAAAATAAAAAATAAAATAAAATAAATTAAAAAAATGTGCAATATTCCTGTTGAGGCTTGGGTTGGCCATGAGTGAAATAACGAACTAAAGAATCAATGATGTTGCAGATTGTACCAGTATACTGTAGCAAAATTTGCCGAAAGCTTTGACACTATGCCAAAATTTCTTGAGAAAAATGCTGGGCTTAATGCAACGGAGATCATATCTTCTATATGTGCTGAACATGCATCAGGAAATACCAAAGTTTGCCTTGACTAAGTAGGCTGTTCCTTGCCTTGTAGCAGTTCATGTTTTGTATGAGAGTTTCCATTGCATTGTATGTTGTTACAGCTGTGATGCTTGTAGACATCGAAATTTCAGTAAAACAAATGTTCACCAATGCATTAAAGTTTTGACGTGTCAAGGCATACATGGCATACGCCACGTGTTGTACAAATTATACATGTGGCGTGTGACTCAACAAAATAGGGAGAAATACCCTTGAAGGATTAAACAAGTTTTTCTTCTCATTTTGGGCAATGACAAGGCAAGTACATTTCAATCCATTGAGGATCAAAACAAGTTTTTCTTCTCATGTTGGGCAATGACAAGGCAAGCATACTTCAATCCATTACGGATCAAAGCAAGTTTTTCTCATTTGGGCAATGACAAAGCATACACATTTCAAGTTTAAAATGGTGTTAAGTGGGAAATTAAGCCATAAGTTACACCACTTCAAGTTTAAAATGGTATTAAGTGGGAAATTAGGCCATAAGTTACACCACTTCAAGTTTAAAATGGTATTAAATGGGAAATTAGGCCATAAATTACACCACTTCAAGTTTTAAATGGTATTAAGTGGGAAATTAGGCAATAAGTTACACCACTTCAATTTCAATATTGCATTAAGTGGGAAAATTAGGCAATGGTGCTTGGAAAAGAAAAAAATATTTTGTGGTGGTGATTCATTCTCAAAGCCTATAAATAGGCTTCTCCATCAAGGTATCAAGCATCAACCAATTCACAAATACATTTCTCCACACACCAAAACCTTGAAGCCTTAGAGTTCTAAAGCTCTCAAGAAAATCCCGAAGGATCAAGAAAGCACTCTTTGTTCTTCATCAAATCCTCCTTCAAGATCAAGCCCCAACGGCCCTTGAAGAACTTCCACCATTATTCAAGATCAAGCCCCAACGGCCCTTGAAGAAAGCGTTCATCATTCATCATCCGTTCATCCTAAGCTCAAGCCCCAACGGCCCTTTGGATCAACAATCTCAACAAATCCACACATCCAATCGTTCTTCAAGATTATGCCCAAAAGCCCTTGAAGATCCACTCATCCATCAACCTTAAAGATCAAGCCCAAAAGCCCTTGAAGAAATCCACACAACCATTATTCAAGATCAAGCCCCGACGGCCCTTGAAGAAAGTGTTCATCCGTTCATCAATTGTTCATCCTTAGATCAAGCCCCTGACAACCCTTTGGATCAACAACTCATCCACAAACCTACACCCTACGAAGATAGAATCAGAGGACCAAATTTGAGAGAGATCGTAACCCCAAAATCATTAAACACAAAAATATTATTTTGTACACGTTATTCCTGTTTCTTGTTTCAAGGAATTTTTCGTGTTCACAATGCTTTTATGTGATATTGGTTCTGAAGATTATTTTTTGTGCGTTAAATTTTGGTCTAGGATTTGTCCGTATGTTGTTACGCTGTGGTGTGTGCTTGCTGGTAAATGATTCTTGAAGCGTCGGTGGTAATTTGTTGGAGTGCTAGAGCCTTCTTTTCACCAAACGGGTGGCTGTATTGGGAGTTTGTTTTGCGTATTGTGCTGCTTCGTTTTGCTCGGTGCTGCCTTTTATTTGTTTTTAATTTTTGTGGCTTAGATTGTTGCTGCTTCTCAGTTCATACAATCACAAGGTTGTGATAAGTATTTATGAATCAAGTTTACAATCTCTTGCCAAAGGGAGTTGTGTATACTCTCTCGCTCTCACGTTTCGTAGTAACTTTGATATCGCATACATAGCATCGATCAAGTGCAGCTTGAAATCCACATCCTTTGCCTGCTTCTTCAAGATATCCTCGAGGCGGCCGAATTCGCCGGCAAGATGGTATTCATACTTAGAAACATTATGCTTAGTGAAGTGACAACCTAGTGCTTCACCAGGTCCTTGTTTGCTTGTGCTTTGGTACGAAACTGATTCTACCTTCTCAAGAACGATTTCGTAGCTGGGAATTGATGCTCACCACTGTAACTATATGTTAGCTGAAATTGTAGGAGAGTTTGTTGAGGATGAGGATATGCAGTGAGGTTTGTAAACACGAAAAATTCCTGAAACAAAAAACAAGAATACGTGTACAAAATATATTTTTGTATTAATGATTTTTGGGGTTACAATCTCTTTGTAATTTGATCCTCTGATTCTATCTTCGTAAGGGGTAGGTTTGTGGATGAGCTGTTGATCCAAAGGGCCGTCGGGGCTTGATCTAGGGATGAACAGTTGATGAATGGATCTTCAAGGGCGTTGGGCTTGATCTTGAAGAATGGGTGTATGGGTTTGTTGAGGTTGTTGATCCAAATGGTCGTTGGGGCTTGATCTTAGGATGAACGGATGATGAATGATGAACATTTTATATATTGCACATTCTATAATATGTTAATATGTGTACGGTTAGATGTTCAAATAATCTATAATATGTTTACATGTGTAAAATAAGAATAATGATAATTAAAAAATAATGGTTCATTTCAGTTTGATTTTAATCAGTTTCAAAAGTATCAAAATCGAACCAAACTGACATAAAATCGGATGATTTTAAATTAATTGACTTTTTGTTAGTCACTATCAAACCAAACCGATCAAAACAGTTCGAATTTGTCGGTTTGAACAGTTCGGTCGGTATGAGACTCACCCCAAAAGAAACAAGTTCAAAAATTCAAATAAAAATTCTATATGAACCAATTTATTTGCTAAACATACCCACCCGATTTTATTATGTTAAAGAAAAAATAAAATAAAATTGCTAAACATACCCCTTTCCTTTCCCCCTCGTGCGGCAACTGAAAGCCGTCTCCTTCCTACCTCTTTTCGCAGTCTCACTCTTCGTTGGCTTCCCCTCCCGCCCTCCGCCAGCAAGGTATCAGGTAAAATTTGGAACTCCATTTTCTTGTCTAATTTTCTCGGGAAAATCTGGGTCCTTTCCCAAGAAAGTTTTTGAATTGCTCTGTTTGCAAGTGTTTTAGGTTTGATAGACTTTGATTTACGTTGGATAAGGATAAACTCAAATCCATATACACTCATCAATTTGAACATTACTATTCGACACAGACAGAAGATGGCATTAAGGCAAATGCTATTCAACACCAGATCAGTGTTTTCTCCACCGGGGTTGGCCAGATTCTCCACCAAATCAAACCCATACCTAGGTAACCCCAAATTTTAGTCGAGTTTTCCATTTTTTTTCTTGGCTTCCAGAAAATGGATAGGAAAGAAATTTCTGGGTTATGTGCATTTGTTGATTTGCACTTGTTTAAATGTTAAAGAAAATTTTTAGTCAAGTAGCTATGTTAGTGTTTGATGCCGGAAAAAGTGGAAAGAAATGGGAAAATACTAGGGTTAGTTTTTGTAATGCTTTTAATTTAGGTTTTGATAGAAATAAATATGCTTTTTTTATTTGATTAGTGCTTGTTGGGTGGTTTCGAAGGAGCCGTTGAGTGAGAAGTTTAGAATACTGGATGGTGGTAAAAAGAAGTTTAGAATACTGGATGGTGGTAAAAATGGGTACGTCTGGTGCTGCGTATTATTTGGGGTATTTGGTCATAAGGGAATCAACAGATATTTGAAGATGCTGGGGGATTGGAAATGGCAGAGGTGTGGGAAATAGTCAAGTTTTGGGAACTCTATGGACTTCTGTATTTCCTATTTATAAGATACACATCTATCGACCATTATACTACCCTAAACCCTAAACTCTAAACCCATACAGGTATTTGAAGATTGTAGGGGATTGGAAATGGCGGCAGTGTGGGAAAAAGGTCAAGTATTGGGCAACGTTATGGGCTTTTGTATGTCTTATTTTTAGGAATATACCTCTATCCAGCATTATACTAGCTTGGATGCTAGGCTGCAGTGTCTTGATGTTTTAGTTTACTTATAGGTCACTTGTGCATTACGTGTTCGCTTTGATGTACAGCTTTTCTTTTGAAATAAATCTTTTCTTTTCGAAAAAAATATATAGAAGTGAAAAACTTTATTGGTCACTTCTCCACAGACAGTAAAAGGAATGGTTAATGAGGTTTGTTATGCTTGTGTTGCCACAGTTGTCTGGTTGCCGGGAAAGTTGGGGGATGTAAACAGTGTCAAGTCAAATGTTGAGTTTTGTTATTCAATGTTTCTTCTTTGTAACTATCTATTTTTGTGAAGAAATTTTCTCTACTCCTGGAAATTGAACTTGTGTTGTGTTCCTTATTTTCGCTTTGCAAGTGCATTATCTATTTGCTTTGCTCTCATCTGGTGCTAAAAGATTGAGAATGTTGAATGGAATGAAAAGTGAATATTTTTTGCGTATAGCTTAGTCTATAACTAGCTGTGTTAGGGCTAAAATAGGCGCTCTACATTCTCGTGTCAGAATATCAAGCACTTCTGTGAAATTGAGGCTCTGTTAAATAGTGGATTTAATTTAGTGGGAAACATCAAGATTGGGTTTGCGTGGCTTTTTTATTTTTTATTTTTCTTGCAGTGAAAGTTGGGATACCAGAGTTTTTGAATGGCATTGGCAATGGAGTGGAATCCCATGTGACCAAGCTTGAGTCTGAGATCGGAGACTTCCAAAAGTTGCTTGTCATTCGTACTCTCAGGCTGAAGAAACTTGGCGTCCCTTGCAAGCATGTAAGCAATCTCTTAGTCTAACACTCATTGTACGGTATTAATAACTGTATTATTCAGCACCCGCTGGGCATTAACACAGAAAAGTATTTGGGTTTTTTTTTATCAATTCTCGTAATTTAGGAATGTATAGCTGTATTACCTACTTAGCAGCAGTAAAGTTTTGTCTTGCTGATTAATGAGTGTGGAACGAAAACGGTGTCTGCCTTCCTTTAAAAAAGGAATAAATTTCAAGGATTTGAAAGTTGCAAACTTGGTGTTCATTTCATGGTGAAAATAATTTCACTACTTCACCTGGACTTGTATTTTAAAAATTGATAGCTGGATTCTTTTGCAGAGGAAGCTCATCTTGAAACACACTCACAAGTATAGGCTAGGACTCTGGAGGCCTCGAGCTCAGCCCGTCAAACCCTAGTTAGTTTAGGAGTAGCGCGTCCTTTACACAGATTTTGCCTGCCGCAAAATGTGACTGTCGGACACTTGATGTTATGAGATTTGAAAGAAGAGTTTTACTTGTTTGTTAGTCGTCTGTCTCCTGTATTTAATTTATAATGAAGTTTAGTGCTTTAGTGTCTGATATACTGGATGTTCAGTTTCATAATGTACCTAGCCAGTTGAATTTAACAATAATTTTTTAGCAAATTTAATTACGTATTGCTCTTCACATCTCTCATTCGTGTGGAACTCGTACGTAGAATCCCATTCGTATGTGTAAGAGATGTGATCTACCAATTTTCGGTAAATGTATCATGAATATCTGCATGACTGAAAATTAAGCTCCGAGTGTTCTTCAATGTGAAGCGATGCAGTTGGACCATGTTTTACGATACTGAGGCAGTTGGAGCATGTCTCGTAGTATCAACGTAGCATTCAAAACTGGACATTAAAGTATAAGAACATATTGACACTCATATGTTTCGATGCCCACGCCGTTCGATTGATTGTAACGAGTCTTAACTGAAACGGTCACAACCAATCTCACAAGCTTGCAAACTTATAAATTTTCATATCTTTAAACTCTCAAGGAAGGAGAGCCCCCAAAAACCCTACAGATGGTGACAAATTCTCGATTTAAACCCTAATCCCCCTAACAAAACCCTACTAGGATAAGTACTCCAAAAGCTTGTACACCAAGGAAACCAAAACAGGAAACATCACACTTGAGCGACCAAAACACAATGTTTCACATGACAGTGTACTTGAGCTCTCAACATGACAGATTGAGAAACTAGAAATTTTATACGGTAGTAGACTTCCACCAAAAAACCGTAAATTTTGAGCTCTTATTTCCAACAATCTCCAACTTGACGAAAAATGTATTGGCTGCCACTTCAAATCGAGAAGTCGAGTTAATCAAGAAGCTCATGAGGATAATCGGCTAAAATTAAGGTTCATGGGAGAAATTGGCCAATTATAAAAGTTCAGGGTAGCAATCGGTTAACATTAAAGTTTTGGGAGGGGACGGGGAAATTGACAACTCCTTAGAAGTTGCGAGAGGGAGAATCGACGAATACCTCATCATATAGCAACCCCAAAAATAGAAGGCAAGTTCAGAAAAACCAAACCCTAGCTACATTTTTAAGAGCAGTTCACTCTTTTTAGGAGGGCCATTGTAAGGCAAGGGTAAGACATGTAAATTGCCTTTGTGCAACTCCATCCGTTGGGCAAGGGTAAAGGCAAGAGCGGTTCCTATTTACATATATATATATATATATTTTTTTTTTTTTTTTCTCTATGCCTTGTAAGTGTGTTTAAGTGTGAACTTTGTAAGTTTGTTTATTGAAATAAAACTCCCAAAAATGTAACTCTTACCATATTTTCTATATCATGTTTGTATCATCTCTCCAAATAAGGTGAGACTCACATGTGTTGGTGGGCTCTACCTTTATTAGAGAGATGATACAAATATAGTATGAACAATATGGTAAGTGTATCATTACTCTGAAACTTCATGTTTAACTCCAAGAATTTAATTGGGATGTGATATCCACACACCCCTTTTTACTTCTCCCACACCTTTTTTGTTTTTGGCCGTCGGATCGAATGAATTGAAGAAGATCAACAGACATAAATTAACAAGGGGTGTGTGAGAAGTAAAAATGGGTGTGTGGATAGCACACCCCATTTAATTTCTCATACAAAGCAAAGCATAGCATAGCATTACAACTAGTACAATATTAAAACAATATTATTCTCAGTAGCTTACAACCTAGGACATACAATGCGTAGTGCTAGGGCATCCAACGTATGGCATAATTTTGTATTTAAAGTATGCTTCACAATGTTCCAACATTTGTGTTTATGTGAATGATGTATTGTTGTTATGAAGATTAAATCACATTTGTGCTTTCTATTACCTCATTGGCTAGATTATCACTGCTTTGATAAATTGCTTCCGCTTTTGTGAGGACTTCTTGCCAATGCATCAACTATTTATGTAGATGTTTGTACCTATTCAACAAAGATTCCTTTGTTTGGGATGTGCCTTGAATCTGCTTGACAAATTGTGCATGAATCTTCTTTCACATTTGTTCCACCCTCATCTCATTTTTCATGATTAGTTCATGAATAACTCGTGCCTAACTTTCAAGCAAAGCAACGTCCCGATCGACCAAATTGCCTTATCACTCCTTTTGGTAAAAAAATGATTTGGAAAGTGGAAAAAAAAATCGAAATTTGTAGTAAAAATAAATGTTGAGTTTGTGATGTGCTGGAATAAAGAAGATGGTTGGGTATTTATAGTATTTTCACTCCCCAATCCTGACATACGTCCAAGATCTACACGTGACGCCACCACATCTCTGTTTATCCATCATGTCTTGCCTCCAATACAACCAAAACACAATCAATGATTCAACCACGTAGTCATTTTCTTTTATTCATGGTTGCATCTAACCTTAGTGTTAGATTGCCTACATACCCTATGTCACATCCCGACTCGGGTGGGACCACTTCCCGGGCCCAACTCTACTGTAGCACGATATTGTCCGCTTTGGGCCCCCAGCATACTCTCATGATTTTGTTTCTGGGAACTCACACGAGAACTTTCCGGTGGGTCATCCATCATGAGAGTGCTTTCGCGCGTTACTCGCTTAACTTTGGAGTTCCCATGGAACCCAAAGCCAATGAGCTCCCAAAAGGCCTCATGCTAGGTAGGGATGAGAATATACATATCACTTCCCTGGGCGATGTGGGATGTCACAATCCACCCCCCTTAGGGGCCCGACGTCCTCGTCGACACACCACGACCAGGGTTAGGCTTTGATACCAAATTGTCACATCCCGGCCCGACTTCACCGTAGCACGATATTGTTCGCTTTGGGCCCCCAGCACACCCTCACGGTTTTATTTCTAGGAACTCACACGAGAACTTCCTAGTGGGTCACCCATCATGGGAGTGCTCCTCGCCCGAACTCGCTTAACTTCGGAGTTCCAATGGAACTTGAAGCCAGTGAGCTCCCAAAATACCTCATGCTAGGTAGGGATGAGAATATACATATAAGGATCATTCCCCTGGGCAATGTGGGATGTCACACCCTAAGAAGGGATCAAGCCTTTCGTAGTTCACCCTTCACTACACTCCTACGTTTATCCCAGTACATTCTAACAGAAAGACATAACATTTCAATCAATTATTGGGACTTGATAAGCATGAATTATTTGATTCAGGCTACATAACGAACCCACATGACATTCAAGATTTCCATTTCATCAATCATATAAATCACTATGTTTTCAGTATAATACCGCAATCCATAGCATGTAACATATCTAAGAATCAATAAAGCACATTATTATTCTCTAGTCACATTGATCAACTAATCTAATTATATTAATAACAATCATATCCAACATTATTCCACAATCACTTCAATTAACCAATTCCATAAATAAAAGATACACGATATTAACATTTAACCATGTTAATCAATCAACAAGAGCACATATCATTTCACAAAATATAATAAAAGAACTCTACACAATTCCCTTGGATTATAAATAAAAACATGGTAAATCTAGTTTATACTCACAAGTTCTACTGTGGGGTAATTCCCATTTATCCGAATCTAGTGGTCGGGTACTCCATTGCTCCTGGAAGCCGGGTACGCTGCTTTCTTTCGAAATTTTATGTTTTGATACTTCTGGAATTGATTGTGTCGGTAAAGTTTGAGTTATTAAGTTGTTGGTAATGTCGAAATCGTTATTGTTTTACGGTACTGCGAAGCGGATGCTTATACAAATTAGGAAGATGATGATTGAGTAGGCGTGCGTTTTGGAAACCATGGAAGGGGCAACGACATGAGGGATGTAATCCCAAAATTGTAAAAGTTTTGTAGGAAGTGAAAAAGACGGAGCGGGTTTCTTTCGGAAGAGAAATGTGAAAGCAGAATTCAATTTTTTTTAGTTGGAGATAGTCAATTTTAAACTAATTTGAACACTTGATTCTAATATAAGTAGAAATGAAATAGAATTTTAATTTGATGTAGTTTAGATGACCCAAAAATGATTCCTTTCATTGATAAACTAGCATTGGGGCTGTACTATTTGTTACACGAGTAAACAGAATGAGCTACTGTATCTTGAAGGGGATGACCGTCTTGAATGTACTTTTATGCACCATAATAACTTAACATAAGCACATGAAAGTGCTTCCTCTGAAAGTCTTAAATAAGGAGAAATTTGAGGTGGTTTTTGAGTTAGAGAAATAATTGTGTTGGAAATTGGATGCACATGGGATTTTCTCCGTTTGGAAGTTCTGAAGTTTTTCGGTGTTAGGAGATGTGCTATGATGGTAATTTTCTTGGTGGTTTGGGAAGAAGGGAATATGAGGAATTTTGAGATGTTATCGCTGATGAGATGGAGTACTTTTTTGGTTTGGGCATCTGTAGCTTTGGAGTCCAGAGATCTCTTTTTCTGTTATTTGATCAAATTTGAAGGCCTCTATATTGTAATTCTGTGTTTTGTCTTTTGTTTCTTGTTAAAGAAAGAAGTAGCATATGTTATGAGTATTGCGATTATATGATGGTTAGAGAAGAATCATGTCTATGAGATGATTATTCTTTAGATAAGTTAAATTTTGGAGTTCGAATTCTTGATTGGAATCAGCAAATTATTTTCATCTGCTTTTTGTAAATATAGTTTATTTCATATATGGTGCCTTTCCTAAGCTATTATTGGCTTCCTGTTTTTTAATGCAGTGAATTACTATCTAAAGAACAAAAAGACCATTTTTGGGACTTCATTGATGCCTGGCATCATAGTGAGAAGGATGATGCTGAATCTTATACTGCTAAGGGCTGCCTAAAAAAAATTGTAAAGCACGGACTCTCTATTTTAAACGAACCATTGGCATCTTTGTTTGAATTCTCCCTCATGCTGAGATCTACATCTCCAAGATTGGTTCTTTATCGGCAATTAGCTGAGGAGTCTCTGTCTTCTTTTCCTCTGGTTGATGAAACTAATTCAAGCAATGACAGTGGAATTTCTGAAATAACTGAGCTTATGGAAGGTAAAAGGTCAGATCTTTTGAACATTGGTCGAAACCCGAAGAGCCCTAATGGGAAATGTTGTTGGGTGGATACTGGAGGTGCACTATTCCTTGATCCAGCAGACTTGAAAATATGGCTTCAAAGTCCAAGAGATTCATGAGTACTCTCTTGAATTTTGCCTTGTTCTCTATCTCTAGAAAGAGTATCCATATTGGGAACACTTCCTTACTCTATTTTTCTTGCTTCTCAGTTCTGGAGATTCATTTCAGCAGCCTGAACATTTTGAATTTGATCACATCCATTTTGATTCAAGTGTTGGAAGTCCTGTTGCTGTTCCTTATGGAGCTCTTGGAACTGATTGCTTTAGGGAGTTTCATCTCACCCTAGTTGAAGCTGCAAAAGAGGTTCACATCATGTTATATACTTTATATCCTCTTGGACATTAGATTGATTAATCACACTACAGTAAAGTTTGATTACTCTTATTTGTTTGAGAAGTCTAAAAATTGGGTATAAATCATATTATAATCGAGGAATACATGAGGGGAGGTGAGTGGGTGAACCATAATAATAGGTGCAGCGAAGTACTGTTAATTCTAGATTGTTAGAAGTTTTTCTGGAAAGACATCCGCAATGGCTACACCTGTTGTTGAGTTGCTTCCAGGTCGTTTTGGGTGGATGCTATTAAGTTCTGGGAGGATGTTTGGGTGAGCTAAAATATTTGGATACAGTTCAAAGAAGACGGCCTTCTGTCTTTATTTCTGTCCCCTGGTGTTGTGTGTAGGAAGGATTCTGATTATAGATCACTTATTGCTTCATTGAGCTTTGATGTATTCTTTACGGTCACAACTACTCATGGAGACAGGCTTATAGTCTCCTCTAATATCATGCAGTGCTTTGTTGTGCGAGGAATTTAATTTTTTTGGGATAATATGGAGTTGGCTCGTTTATGGGGATAGGGTCCCTTTTTGGTCTTCTCTGTGGGCATCACTTTAGAAAGTTGTCAATTTTCTGTTATTTTATTCGATTGGGTGGCAGCTGTTACGTAATTTTTATGATGTATATTGCATCTCGGTTGCTTAAGATTGGTAGTTCTAGTTCATCGTTTCAGTCGTGGATTTCTTGTTCACATTTCCTGTACTCTGCGACTGTTAATAAAAACACTGTTTCTTATATACAAAAAAAGTAACTATGCCCAGATTCGGGGTAGTAAACAGAAGGGAGAGAATTTACTTAATTTGTCAGCTTTTGTTCTTTTTGTTCATTTTCTACTTTTTCCTTTTTAAGAGGATAGGTACTAACTTTTTGTCGTATGATCTCATGATGCTGCTTTATGTTTAGAGTCTTTGTACTGGTTATCTCTTTTATGTTCTGTTATACATGTATTTTTATATGTATTGCACATATGTAAGAAAGGTGAGTGTTGCATGCATAATTTTTTGCACACATTACAAATCTTTGTTTGCTTGATAATTCTTAGTGTGTGCTTGTATGTAATATATGCAAAATCTTTCTAAAAGATTGGTCCGAGACTTCCAGGGAAAAGCTAAGTATGTTGTTAGACAAGTATTACCTTCTGGCAGTGATGCCAAGATTGACCGTTGTGGTGCTGTTGGTACAAGAGATTCATTAAACTTGGGAGGCTATGGAGTAGAACTTGCTTTGAAAAATATGGAATATAAGGCTATGGATGATAGCGTTATAAAGAAAGGTTAGAATAATTGATTCTACCTGTTGCTTTTGATTCTTCTGTTGGTTTGTCTTCTCAAGCTTTTGAGGCATGTCCCAGTATCTTAAGGATGTTTGAATGCAAAAAACGAAATAGGTATTGAACTGTTTCTTGATTAATAATAGTATATATGAAAGAAGTGTGATGACAGTTAAATTGAAAACTTTATAAATCCCAAAATGTGTGAGGCATACACTATCCTTAGTCTTGAAAATCTTATATATGTTTCTGTTTCTAATAACTAAGTAAACCTGATAAACTCAGACCTGTAGTCTTAACAAAAAACGAGATTACGATGGAATGAGTGAATAAAAATGTCTATGAATCAAGCTTTTGAGATAGAATCATGTTTTCCGCTCAGTTTCGAAACCAGTGATACGTTTGCACTTTAAAGCATCGCTACTTTTCCATAAACTATGAGAGCGCAATTGGATTCCACTTGACCAAGTTATATGTAACCATTTTCTTATTTTGTTTCAAGATAGTCAACACTTACTCAGAAAAAATATAAAAACTTCCAACTACTTTAAACAAGTAATATCAATAATTACCAAAGATATAGAAAGTTTGTAAAGCTGCTTAGCCTCCTAAACATGCATGAATGGGTACCTAACTCATACTGCTGACCAACTTAACTGAGATTCAGAATTAGTTGCTTACACATGCACACAATATCTTGAGTAGCTAAAGCCTCAACACAACTTTAATATACTCTACTCTCTTTACTCTTCTTCCAAAAATAGGCTTGACTCTCTTTACAAAGAGTCGGTTAAGCTTGAAAATTGCAAATTTCCTGAAATATGAATTGGACACTTTTGAATATTTTATTTTTCTTCTTTTCTTCACATCTTCATGTTTTTTGTTATTTTTTTAATTGCAGGAAACAAAAATATGTTTAGTGCGTGTACTCATGTTTAATTGTTCATAAATTTTTTTTTTTTTTGGGTCAAAATATTCCTCAGAAGTTCCAGGTTTATGTTGCAGGTGTCACATTAGAAGATCCCAGGATTGAAGATCGCAGCCAAGAAGTCAGAGGGTTTATATTCTCCAAAATTCTGGTTTGTTTTCCTTGATATACTATAATAGCACAAGTTACAATAAATTTTATTATTAAAAAGATTCTGAGTTTTAAGCACACTCTTACTCTCTTTGGTTTTCGCTGGAAAGCTTAATTTTTTTTTTACATGATGCCATTGTATTTTCCCTTTCACTAATGACACAAATTGAGTGCAAGAATTTTCATTAGTCTTAGACTGGGAAAATATCAAAACAAATCCGGAAGAAGAATTTGAAACAGCTTTTGTTTCAATTTCTTTTGTTCTTTTGTTACATTGAAAAGCTATCGCTCCCTCTACGTCGACTTCCTCCTCGACTTCCCCAGCTCCAACACCGCGTCAGATTACGATATCATCCACATTTCCTTCAACATGACTATGTAGCAACTTAGTTTGTTAGTAGAAATGAAAAGCAATTCCACCAAAAGAAGGGAAAGGCAAGACAAAAGAAAAGCTTAAAGCAGAAAAAAGTAGTAAAAAATTAAAAAAATGAACATTGAAATAATGAGAAGAAGCAAGGGAAATGGAGAAGAAGACACGGGCAAAGGGATGAGACCTTGGGTCTTATTTTTTAAGGAAGGTGTGACACAAAAACAAAGCTTCGTTACTTTGATAACTTGGCCACTACCAAGACACCTCCCTTGGCAACTATCCTCACCCAAAGATTTGGTGGACTTCTACCATATACAACTACACCTTAGTACTCGAAAGTTTCGCGACTACTCAGTGACTTAGATTTTTCAAGTTCCTAATCGAGAAGTTTTGTTCACTCTGGATACTTATCCACACTAGTAACCGGAGCAATCTAGCGAAAGTCACAAACTTGACCAATGTCTCATCTCTTTGCACGTGTCTTCTTTCCCATTTACCTTGCTTTTTCTCATTATTTCACTGTTCATTTTTTAATTTTCTGCTACTTTTTTCTGCTTTTTGCTTTTCTTTTGTCTTGCCTTTCCCTTCTTTGGTGGAATTGCTTTTCATTTCCACTAACAAATTGAGTTGTTGCAAAGTCATATTGAAGGAATGTGGATGAGGTCCTGCTCTGACGCGGTGTTGGAGTTGAGGAAGTCAAGGAAGGAGTCGACGTAGAGGAAGTGATAGCTTTTCAACGTAACACCATCATCTGTAGCTCGAATCGCAAAGTCGTCTTCATGAAAGTTGTTCCTTAACTCGTGAATTACAACATATCCAAATTTGAGAATCATCGAAGCAGTACAACTCCAGAAATTTAGGTATAATAAGTGACTGTTCATTATTTTTCTGTCAACCCATTAAACTTGTTGTGAGCTTCAAAACTCCATTTTCTCTTGTTCAGATCAACATACTTTCTTCATCGAAGTTGTTCCTCATCCTTTCTTTTATAACATATAAAAAATTCAAAACAAACTAACGGTTAAATATTCCAGATCTTCAAAACACTATGGCAACTTTGAAGTCTGCAGAAATCCGACCATCGTGTTTGGAGCTTCAATACTCTTAACTTCCATCGCTTAAACAAAAACAGTTCCTTCTTGAAGTTATTCATCTGCTCAAGAACTATAAGATGTCCAAAATTCAGCTCCATTGAAGAAGAGCAAAAGTTACAGGAATTTGATAGATAGAAGGAGACGGAAGAGGGAGAGAGAGAGAGAGGTTGCTTGGGTTGGATTTCTAGTTTGGGGGAGATTCCAGTTTTTGTAGCACCTTCATTACTGATGAATTTCTTGTACTTTTGTTCACCATTAAATGTGGAACTTTAACTTGTTATTTACTCTATTATAATATGTTTGAAAACATATATAAGTAAATAGGTAAGGTGTATTGGTTGTGAATTTTTGTTTGGGTATATAGCTTGAACAGTTGAAGCTATTTTTAGGACACAAGAACTTGATTTTGCTTCACACTATTTTGATCAAGAGTGTGTGAAGCTTTGTAGGTGAAGTTTTGTGGTTGAAGGTTGAAGCTTTGTAGGTGAAGCTTTGTGGTTGAAACTTTGTAGGTAAAACTTTGTGGGTGAATCTTTATGTTGGTCACCATAAATTGGTTTTGCTTCACATTATCTTGATCAAGGGTGTGTGAGGCTTTTGACATTTGTCGTTGCCCTTCATTTGTTGAAGTTTTTGTTGGCACCATAAACTGGTTTTGCTTCACACTATCTTGATCAAGAGTGTATGAAGCTTTTGAGAATTGTAGTTGTTTTTCATTTATCGCTATCTTGTTGTTCTGAGCTTCTAGCTCATCGACTTTAGCCTGAAGAGCAAATTTATTTCGTTCCATTTTTCGTTGCTTCGCACTTAGTGCAAATGGGGTGTCGTTCTGCGTGATGTGGTTCCTTTCGCTTCCTATGTTGGAGATAGGTGCCTGGTCGAAAGAAAGCGTACGAATGGTGGAAACCAGCTTGACAAAGCTGGAGAGAGTAGAAATAAGTGCGATTCCCACAGACGGCGCCAAATGTTGATACACAAAATTGGCGAAGACTTTGGTACAAGAGAAAGTGTTAAGTTTGTGACCTTTGCTAGATTGCTCTGGTCACCAGTGTGGATAAGTATGCAAAGATATAGAGACAGGGAAACAAACACAAGATATATGTGGTTTACCCAGAATGGCTACGTCCACGGAGTAGATGAGTTTTCATTAGTTGTGAAGGGTTTACACAAATACATAGGTTCAAGCTCTCCTTTAGTGAGTTCTAGTGAATAGTTTAGTACAAATGACATTAAGCATTATTGTGGGAGAATGATCCCCTTTTATAGAAGAGAGTTTCTAGTTTTGTTCTGATCTTGACACGTGTCGTGCTGTGATTGGCCTATGATATTGACACATGTTGCGCTGTGATTGGCCTCTGATATCGACACGTGTCGCGTTATGATTGGTCTCCTGGTTGGAGGGAAAGTCTTGTGGGTCCTTGACGGTATATTGTTGATCGGTGCTCAGTAGTTTTGGGATTGGTCAAGTATGGTACAAACACACTGCAAAGATCTTAGGTGACGAACTAGACATCCAAGAGCCTGCACCACTTCCTAATGAATCAGAGAAATCATTGACCGGCAATCCGGAGGAGGATCTTGAATCTAAGGCAGAGTTGTGAATAGAACACACACCATGGTTCAATTCCAGTAGAGCAATTATTCAAAAGATCTGAGGTAATAGGTACACTTACACATAATGTGACCTCAAGGTGATGGCCCTTACAAACGGTGTACCTGTATGCTAAACAAGAGATTTCGGCTAATCAGCAGGAAGATAATGTAATATCGGTAAATAGAGGCTTTACAGGCCTTCTATGTCATTGGAATAGCAACTGAGACTCGTTCGGGCTTATTAATTATTAGCCCACGATACACTTGAGAAAAAGATATTTTGTCGAGCTAATTTACCAAGACTTCTTTTGTGAGTGTTTGAAATTGGATGGATGACAAGAAAAATGAAAGATGTCTACTTTAGAATGGCTTTTGCTTCTTTAACTAGCTTCAAGATGGTATTGGTAGATAACAAATTTGACATATTTAAGCATTAAACATGTTTATTTTTACTTTACAACTATATCAAATCGCTTTTTGCGCAATGCGCAATTCAAGTGCTTTTCCAAAAAAGAAAAACAAAACATTCAACAACGGTGATACAATTTTTACCACACGTGCAAAAGGGTTAAGAACACCTATAATACTTGCAAGAATGACAAAGATATTGTAGTATAAATGGTTCTAGCAAGGTTATTCTTCACAATGATTATTCAATAATTCATACCAAACCAAATTTTAGTTAATTATTGTAAAATAAAGATTTGGGATGATTGATTTTATGACCTAATTTAATAAAAACGAATTTAATTAAAGAGAGTAGAACAATTTGCAAACATTAGGGATCCATTGTCACCTTAACAATCATATATAGTTCTCCCAATTACTTATGACCTATACATGCATATTTCGTAGGTTAGGTTTTCCTAAAATATGCCTACTTGGACTCCCAATATAGAGCATATATTAAACATGCAATCCGTCTGTGGTATTTAGATCAAATCTAAACATGCATGACTCATTAAGTTTTGTGAAACCTTTTGGAAAAACCATGCAACCCTTAAGACGCGGTATTCATCGTGAGTGAACTTGCACATATTAACCAAAAGAAGCATTCGTCAATTTCATGGATCGGCTTTCGACCAAAATTGCATCAAATTACTTTTTTAAACATCCTAATGGTCGCGAATCATCGAGACACTTAGATAATTTGAACCGGTGATTTTCAAAAACCTGCATGCATATTATCACAAGCAACTTGAAAAGAAACTACATATTCTTGCTAAGGCTCGTGGCTTCACCCTAGCAAAAAGTGAAGTAGATACGTATATTCATAATAAAAATCACAAAGTTCTTTATTGAATTAATAAAAGATCGAAAACACCTTAAATGTAAAAGTCTGAAAGTCTCTGCACTTGGTCCAATTTCCTCTCCCAATATTGATCATGTTTTGCTTCAGAGGAAGTTGAAGGTCCTATATTGAAAATATAAAGTAAAGTATCAAAATTTTACCAAAATGAATAAGGTAAAATATATAATGTGAAATTGACTCATCAAACGGCAAGGGTTAGGGTGTGCCAATTTGCTAATATATAGAGAGGTGGATAATGACACCTCAATTCAACATCATATACACCAAAAGAGAAAAGTTACAAGTTAGTCATGTTAATTTTTCGTCAATAGAATAGACTACCAAGTAGTCTGATTATTCCAATTTTTATTCAAGAAATTGAGCAGGTCATGATTGAATTGAAAAAATACTTTTTTTTTTCTCTTTACCAATCCAATGGGTGAAAAGGCAGACTAACTTGATCGATATAACTTTGATTCTTGGTCATAGTAATGCAGTTATCAAATACGTAGATGCATAAATAATGACACTTCTTCGACTCAATTGAACTGTGTCGTTGCCTCAAGACTCACCGAAAAATTCTTGATGACTATTCACTTGAAACTAACATAATACTTGGCCTGCCAATGAGTCCATGTGTATCACATAGTCTAACTAACATAATTTTAAACCGAAGTCGACACAATAGACCATTGACTACACTTTATGAAATTCAAGAACTAAAATTGACCAAATTTTAATTCGGTTACTAAAACTAAACTAAGGTTATAGCATGGGACCAATTAAAAATTTTACTCTAAAAACTCTATAAAAATGGATAAAAAAGATCAAGTTGTGCACATTACGTGTGATGAAAGGCTAATATTGTTCTATGGCAACACTGAAAAGACATGAGAAAATTAAATAAGTGATGTCATTACTGTCTTGGACATCATATAAATACAAGACAACGTCTTATATGTTTAATAAGAAACAAAACACAATCAAAATAGTTAAAATTCAAATTAAACCTTGGAAGTAGCTAGACGCATGTTTATTTAATCTTCAACTTGTACCAAAACAAGTTGTTAATTGGGGAATAATTACATAATTATTTGACACAATTACAGCAGCCAAATTGTCCGGTTGGATCAGGAAGACAGACAACAGTTGTTGGAGGACGGCCGAACTTGGTGCATGGTCGGATGCAGTCTTCCTCTCTTTGCTTGGACTTGACCCAGCAGGATATTCACCACCTGGACCCTCACTCGGTCCTTGTCTGATGTCTACATATTTAGACACAAACACACACCAAAAAACACTCGAAAACGAAAGTGTTTTAGAAAACGAGATAAAAACAATATGCGAAAATCACAAAGAGATGTTTTTCCGAAGCATTGGCAATGAGAATAAGAGAAAGCAAAGAAAAGCGGACGACGGCAAGCTTCAACGACATTATCGTTATATTATCTTATCCCTTCCAAAAGTACTTAATTTACAATATTTGACAAAATTTTGAATGTAAACATGCACTTATTTATACCGTATTTCGGATGATCACAATTAATAATATTACATGAATTAATGTAAATATTGATATACATTTATCTCGTATTGACCATAAAATTATTATTATTTATTTATTGTAGGTAGAAATTTAATCTGCACTAGTAACACATGCATTGAACCAGATATGTATTTGGCACTTTGTTGATGATATTTTCTGCTATAAATTAATAAAATACATGCATTGAACCTGCTATAAATTAATATTTTCTGCACTTTGTTGATAATATTTGGCACTTTGTTGATGATTATTATTATTTTTTTTTTCTTGCCAAAAAAAAAAAATGGAGCTGGGCTGTTGTTAAAATGAATCAATCCAATTCATTAAAGTGGCAGCGGTAAGCCCGTCATTGAGCATTAACCACTTGGGTTACAAGTTGCCCACAAAAACGTATTACAAGCAAGGAAACGAAACAACAAAATTTCCCACCTCTACAGTTACAAGCTGATAGGTAGATACTACTTACCTTACTATTACTATACAAATATAAATCAAAATTTCACCAAAACCTATGTTCATACGCTCTTGAACTAAAACATGTTAAGAGTGGTAAGAGATTGTTGAGTGTGTTGAGAACACGACCCTACTTAAAAATTTCAACCTCTTATATTATTACAGTGGATAAATTAGGTCGAGTTTGAACAACTAGGTCGTGTTCCTGCTACACTGAAATTTTTTTCGAGTTTTACGAATCTCCCAAGGACTCAGACGGTCAGAGCCCATGAAGTGCTTCACTCTCTGCTAAACCTGTTGTGGGCATAGATATCAATGATGCTACTTCAATCGAAAAATTAAACAGTTAACGAATACATGATAAAAATATGTATTGCAGCTTGGTTACGAGAGAGAGAGAGAGAGAGAGAGAGAGAGAGAGAGAGAACGAAACACATAAAAGAAAGGAACCCGCGATGAGATAGAACGGAACAACACATGAAAGTATAGCTTCAACAAAGATTTGATTTCTCATTAGCTTGGGAATTCATGATGATTTCGACTCCAACTTCTTGAGTCATTCTGTTCTTCTGGAGTAGCTGGTTCAATTCAAACAATACTGTTTGCTTATACTGTTATCTACGTCTTCATTTGCGCCATTTATAATGTCAAGCTTCAAACCATATAGTTTGGTAAACATAATAACACCACAAGAAGTTGCAACTTCATAAAACACAAAGATCCTACACTAGCCGGTGCAATTCCTAGCCTCGGATTCATGGTATAGCCTTTAAATTTGTCTATGAGTTCCCATATGTCATATTTACAAGATTCTCAACCACATACCTTGAATGAACTCATGGACTGGAGGGTCTTCTATGAACATGCTTCTCACTCTTTGCAACCTTCGAGGCAATGGACAAACTAAAGAATCGCAAATCTTTCTACATTACCTGAGCATGTCTCCGCTGTGTAATTTTGGCCCGCTCAAAGCTGGTGAGATGCTGAACGTGTTACTGTTGCCATTGCCAAAATTTGAAGGATGACCAAGAGGCATCGGCCTATCTGGAATCTGTGGCACCTCAATATCTCCCTCCAGCATTTTCAGGGCTTCCAAAATGGTAGGCCGTAAAGCCACCATTACATGAGCACACAAAATGCCGACCAGCAAATTTCTCTCCATTATGCTCTTTGGATTCGAATTCGCATTATCCCCATCTCTCAGCAATGAGAAGTCTAAAGCTTGCTCAGCTTTTCCAGATTTCACTAATGACCAAGCCCAATCTGTGATCAAGAAAGCACGAGGGGAACCCGAAGACAACAAATCAAGTGCTTTTCTCCCACACATAATCTCCAAAATAGCCACTCCAAAGCTATAAACATTGCTCTTCTCGGTCAGCTGTCCATAAAGAGCATATTCAGGGGCTAAGTATCCATGAGTCCCTGCCACTCTAGTAGTGAGATGAGACTGGCCTTCCATGCTCTGTTTTGCAAGCCCAAAGTCCGCCATCCCTCGCTCTCATATCGGCATCCAATAGTATTTTTGGAGCCTTAATATCTCTGTGATATATCGCAGGCTTCACTCCATAGTGAAGATAAGCTAAACCCTTGGCTACATCCAAGATTATGCTCTTTCTTTGAGGCCAAGTCCAGGGTTTCCTTTCAATTCCGCTCTGACTACTAGGCTGAGAAATAAAGAGATGGTCATCTCGATTCCCATTCGGCATGTAATCGTAGACAAGATATCTGTGACTTCCTTTCTCCTCGTAACTGTCTTCCCCCTCGACCACACAACACCCTCTAAGCGGGACAAGATTCCGGTGCTTCAAATAATAATCTCAACCTCATTGCAAAATTCAGCATCCCCTTGAAAATCAGATTCTATAACTTTCTTAACAGCAACCATAGTTCCGTCCTGCAACACACCCTTGTAAACAACACCGAACCCACCTCGACTGATAAAATTCTTCTGCGAAAAGTTATTAGTTGCCTTCTCAAGATCCTGAATTTTAAACCAAATTGAACCGGTGTTTGGTCTCACTCTAATCCTAGCATCTCGTTCATCCAAGTCAAAACCGGATTCCATTCGAGACCCTATAATCCTTTTGTTCCTCCACCACCTATCATTACCAAAAGTACAACCCCAACAAACTAGACATGACAAACACCGCAACCCCAGCGCCAGTGAGGTCGAAAACAAGGGCAGTATTGCTCTTTTTCGACGATCGCGCATTGGAAGAAGACAACCCAAATATACAGTTCACAACACCATTGCTCTCAGGGCCAAACTCATTGACAATACCAGCAGCATAAAGAATAGTAAAGTACCAACAGTCTTCAGTGTGAGAAGAGTTACCATCGGCGGCAAGCAACATCTTCTGAATGGCAAAGCCGGCGTCGACACATCCCCCACAGGAGGAGAGATCGGAGAGGTCAGGGCGGCAGGCGGAGTCGAGGACGGTGGAGTTGCCAAGCTTGGAGACCCAATCACTGGTGGACTGAATGTTGGCGCAGATGTTGGGGGTGATGACAAACTGGAGAGGGTCAAAGCAGTAGGAGACAAGATTGGGAGAGAGGGAGAGGGAGGAGAGAAATACTGAAATGACTATAATTTAGTCTTTTGGAATTTGAATGATTTTTTATAAACATGACTTTTAGGGAAAATTAAAAATAGATAATTTGGATCGTTAAAATACATTATAAATGAGCTCTACAAAATGAGTGTCAGAATGTATGTCAAAACATGTGTCCCTCGATCCTCACCCTTTATTTACAATTTAGATGTAGTCTTCGATCAAGCCTTAATTAGCTAGTAATTCAATATGGTGCTAATTTCTCGTTTGAGCTTGCTTTACAAATTAAATCTCAGCACCGTAAGTGTTTGTTTTTGAGGTCTTCATTCATACATCTTTTTATAAAAATTCACTGAAATCAGAAATAATCTAGTGTTTTAACTATCAATGTGAATATTTCATGGTTAATCGGAAAAATTGTGATCATCTATATATCTTCAAGTCATAGTTAGATAATGAAGCATATTCTGGTTTCGATGAAATTTTGCGGGGATGATCTTTTATTGATAACATAACAAATAGTTGGTTCAGATTATGAAAAATATTGTCGAGGGGACTAGACAAATGATTAATGCCTTGTTAAGTTGCTAACTGATATCGCTTAAGCACTCACATCTATATTATTTAAATAAATAAAAAAGGAAATATGCTAGGGAGATCATTTTTAGACTACATTTGTAGACCATACGATGTGTCTCCAATAGAAAATAAGCTTGTTAATTAAGCATTTAGGTAATAATTCAATCTTTCCTTCCCCTCATTCCTCTTACAAAACCCTAAATCTACAAACTCCATAGCCACCGGCCCTTTGGTCCAGCTCAAGGCCATTGGCAGTCCCTTCTCCATTTTTTCTCTAGCCTTCCTCCTTTATCTTCTCATGGATTGTTGCTTCTCAATTTTTTGTCTTAGTAGCTCTCTAGTAAATGTCTCCTTAGTGAGGTTATCTCTGAGTCTTTCTTCGTGAGTATATAATTTTGTATTTATGTGATATCAAATCATTTGGATCCACTTTGTTGGAATCAGTATCTTTGTTGATCGTAAAATTCATGGTGGTATGGACACTAGTTGGTTTGCTGTCGTTGTTCATTGTATTAAGGCTTTGTGCATAGAAGCTTTCATAATAAATGGAGTTTATCTAGCTTTGGAGTGCCATCTCAATTCTCTTGAGTTTGGGTATGAATGATTTCAAGACTTGGATGTGTTTCTTTGCTTATTCTCAGGCATTTCTCGCCCTTAATCCACCAGTATGGTGACAATTAGATTGGCCAAGTTGGTCTTTTATTTTATGTTAAAGTTTCCTTGGATTAAATATTATCTCGAATGTCCTCCTTGATATTTGTAATGATTCTTAATTTGACAGTAAAACCGCTATCTAAAAAAAAAAAAAAAAATCAATCATCAACAATCATATATCATATTGTTTACAAAATATAATTTTAATAAATAGTCTCCCAGCATTACAAAACAAAAAAAAAAAAAACGCATTGGCAGATTGGCTACCTTTTCTAGGAAACTTCTTGTTATAACCATCTTCACAATGAAATAAAGAAAACCAAACTAATTAAAACTAGGATAAAACATTGATTACATATGCCTTAAAATATATAATATCAATTAGTCCAAAGTTGCCAGTTAGCTACGATAGTGTGTCCACTTTTTTTCTCCAAAAGTTAGACTAGTTTATAATACTAACTTGTATAATAAAAAACCAATTTAGTAAAAGTAAATAACTAGTTAGAATTAATTAGAAGAAAAAAAATCAACGTGGTTTTAAATAATTACACGTGCATTGAAGGAGGCGGCTTGGACGGATCTACCCCTCTCACACACGCGAGAATGATGAGCACGATTGAAGTGAACACACATTTCAAAATATGTATGGCTTCAATTGACGAGCTTGCAAAGGTACCTTAAGGCCATCTCCAACCGAGGGTTGGTCAGAGAACTCGTTTTAACCATCTGGTCTTCCAAGATATTAATAGTTTAATGAACAGTACAAGACTATATTTGCCTTCGTCTCCAACTAAGGGCCAAAGGGCCATAGGACTCATTTTAGCCCTGTCATAAAAAACCATCTCCAACTGAGAGTCAAAGGGGCAAACGTAATTTATTATTTAAATTTAAAAACTACAACAATTTAAATTCAAATCCAACAACTTAAACTTAAAAACTACAACTTATATTTTAAAACTACAACTTAAATTAAAAAACGACGAATTAAATTTAAAAACTACAAATTAAATTTAAAAACAACATTAACTTGAATTTAAAAACTACAACTTAAATTTAATATCCATAATCAACATCATCTTGATCATCAGCCATTGTATAATTTATATGTTGGTTAATGTTATTTATTGTTGTTGCATATTGTTTAATGTTGTTTCATGTTACTTAATTTAATTTAATGTTGTATAATGGCTTAGGAAGTTATAGGAAAAAAAATAATTTAAAATAAAATGAAACAAATTTTGTGAAATAGGAGTTATGGGAAAAAATGGAATTTAAAAAAAATATGAAACAAATTTTGTAAAATAAAAGTTATAGAAAAAAAATAGAATTTAAAAAAATATGAAAAATAGAAGTTATAGGAAAAATTTTGTAAATAAAAAATAATAATAATAAAACTGTAAAAAAAATAATAAAAAAAATCAAATGCAACGGCTAGCTGATGTCAGCTAGTCGTTGCATTTGAATTTTACCCGTTGGTTATAACCGATACGATTAATGTTTTTTCTAGCCATCCCTCCAACCCTTTGGCCCTTTCAGATTATGTGGGGCCCTCTCAGATTCCACGAGCTTTCTAGCCTAGCCCTCGGTTGGAGACGGTTTTCAGACAATTTTCAATCATCTAGACCCTTAGGTTGGAGATGGCCTAAAAACAACAAGGTCCCGAGGGCGCTTAATGATGTCCATAAATACGTCTACTCAAATCAAACGACTAAATGACTTAAAAGACGAGATAACAGTTTATAAATTAACATATTAAAGAACGCCACCCACATCTCTATGAGTTATTTTCATGTTCAAACTTCTCAGGTATAAAAGGACATGGTCTTTCACAGTGCGACAAGAAAACACCTCTATTTTCTTAGTTTGAATGATATAATCGGCTTTCGACACTTGCGTAGAATTCGTTTTGGAACAAACAAATTTTAATAACAAATTTACTTATTTAGTTAAAAAAAAATCGAGTTATTTCCTATACAACCATATTCTATACTAAGACAAGGTGATTTGACTAAGCCACACAATAAATAATCTGTAACTAGGTATCAAATTCTATTTTAATATTATATATCATCATTATTCAAGTAAGTCGAACTTAAGACTTTATGTCAGAACTGAATATGTCAACACTGCTAAACAAAGAAAAATTAAATATGTTTTTAATATTCTAAATCTTATAAATTGTTTGTATTAAAAAAATAATCTTTTAAATTAATGATACTGACTTCAGTGGAATATGTTGATGCTCGAATCTAAACAGGCGCGTGGGAAATAATTTTGCCAGCTTTGGATAAGAATGGGATAGAACGCTTAAAGATAAAAAGTCAGCAGGCTGCATGTAGCAATGCCCTATAATATAATGAATGAGGATCCACCTTAGATTCTCCTTGTGAGGATCCTGGAGATCCTCTAATCATGTCTGTTCATTATATATCATGAGGTAAAAAAATATTATAATTTTTAACATTTAAAATTGAATATAAATAGTACCAGACAAAAATTAACCGCACGATATATAATGAACGAATGTGATTGGAAGATCCCCCGGATCCTCACAAAGAGGATCCAGAAAGGATCCTCATTCTAATATAATATATCGGTGTGGTAGCAAAAAATCATCGTCTTCAGTTTTGACGAATGTGTACTTACAAAACAATACAAAACAATCAACATATTTGATCAAAGACCAAGGCCTCACGCCCAAGGGGGAATTTGGCCAATGGTTTGATGCTTAAGTCAGTAACTTTGAATAGAGTGAGTGTTTAGGTCTGTATCTGTAGCAAAAAGCTTCCCAAAATATGGTGAGATGAAGGTATTTATAGGAGTGGTTAGCCATAGGGTTAGGGTTTTTTTTGCCCTACACATATATTGGCCAAGATGGGTCATGGTTTGATGAATGAGGAAAGGATATTCCCAAAATATTAATTATGAGATAATATCTTGATACGAGGATGAACATCCATGATTGATTATGATAGGGATTCCTTACTGAATAGAGTTGATCTTCAATTGACAATGTATGAAATATAGGATTTAGTCGTAGTTAACTGTTTGGATCTTCAAGGGTGCTGAGCTGCGTAAGAGAATATTTGAGAGCCCTGCACATTTGATGAGGGCAATCTTGTCTTTCTAGAAAAGAAGTTCAAGCGTCGTCCTTTGATTTTTTGGGATTATTTTTGGCCCCACAAATGAAATGGACCCATGACACCACTTTTTTTACACAACTTTTGACGCGCCTTTTTGTAGTACACTTCGTAAACAATCTAAACCATCTTTTAGGTTTTTCTTTAAAGATCATGTCTACAAAAATACTCAAATTTGAAACCATACCATTTGATTTTTTTGGGATTATTTTTGGCTCTACAAATGAGATGGATCCATGAAATTTATCACAGAAAGCCTTAGCGATATTTAGCGGTGAACCTCCAACGTATAATTTGTTTATTTTTTGTTTATATCTTCGATGTAGAACTCTATCTTACATCTGTTCTCTAACACTTGAAACCCCTGTACTTTTTGGTCGATTTCAAGTTAGTATGAAGGATTCAATCCGAACACATCAAAACTTCTGTGGTAAAATTCATTTATTGTATCGACTGTCCAATTCTTCTCTCTTTTGAACAAGTCCAAGTACACCGAATGAATCTTAAGGTACAGCAAAAAAAAAAAGAGGAACACAAAATATAAGCCTGACACTACAAAGTTACAAACCCTATCCTTCGGATAGCAAACAATAAACAATGAGGCAACTAGGAGAGAGATACTCTGAAGCAGCCTAAAGAATAACATTTCTACAAAAGAAAACAAAAAGGAGATGTCGAAAGCAATAACATCACCTGCTCATCTCCTCGGCGGGTCCAAGATCGCATCCATTTCTATTTGTGCAGGGTTTGACGCGCTTGGATTGCCAAACTTCTCAAATTCTCTTGCGATCTGAACATCACAAGGTCTATAGTACTGATACAGAAACTTTACAACAAAGCGTGGAGCGATCGCAGCTGTGACGATTGCCAACAAACATAACCAAAACGATGCAGTCTTTGCAACTTGAAAAATGGCCCTGTCAAATTATATTGGAGTTGCAAAGATTAGCATATACAAATGCAAGTGCCATCTATCATAGAAAATTTCAGAAATGCATGTGGGGAGCTTCTCGAAGCACAATAAACTTGTTGGCATTTGTGACAATGACTTTTTTCAGTTCCAGTAAAAAAAAAATTACATTAATAAAATTGGTGATGGCGATTTCTTAGATGGCTGTTTCGCTATTTCTAGGAGAGGGGAAAAAGATAACGAATATCATGTTCTAACATGAGCTGCAGACAATGAAATTTAGCACTTAATGTAACCAGAGAAAAGGGTTCATGGATAGAAACGAAGATGTAATACTTACTAACAGAGTTTTTTCATTATGTAAAGCGACTTGAGACAGTTCGTTACTAGGAAAGTTTTGAAAGAGATTCAACAACCCCGATGCATTTCAGATCATTTTTTTCTTCTGGAAATGATGTTTATTTTGGGAATGGATTGCACAGGCATGAATTCTGCCTACATTAATATTTGGGATAGATATACTGTGCCTCCAATGCAAAGAAACACTTGCATTTAATTATTTGTTGAAATTAGTAAGCAATCATGAACTAACTTAACATCCAGTTTTGTGTTCTTTATTTGACTCAGTATTGTGAGCTATTCCACTTGCACTAATTGAATGAGTCTACGAGTTTGAGAGGACCTATATATCATGATATCGAATCTTTGATCATTGCATAACATGAAATGCAACATAAATGCTTGCCGCTGCTTCTTATAGGGTGTCATAGTTTAAACAAGTTAGACGCAATTATGTTTGTGCAAAAACAAAGATATACATGCAATACTACTAAGATTAGAGAGCATACCAGTAGCCAACCAGTGAAGGTATAGCATCAATGACAATGACACAAATCCAAGTCGCAATTACAGATCCCCAAATGGCTGCATGTGTAATCCAATTCCACCGGATAACATCCATAGCCAAATGCAAATTAACCAAAATTACCACTGCAAGTGTCCAAAGATCTCCTATACTCGATGTATCAATGCTGCTGCCCCAATACGCAAAGAGAGGGATATAGAAGACAGCCAGACTTTGCCACAATGTGTCAAGAATCGTTAACCAAAATAATTTTGAGTTGTAGCATTCTTGTCTCTGACCAGCTCCGTATAGCTGAGGATAATCTAGAAGGGTCCTTCTACTTAGGTCCTTGTCAAGAATCCCAACAACAATTGTAGGTGCTGCTGTGTAGATTATAGAATACAACATGCTGCTCCATTCAGTGATTGCAGTTGTCAAAGTAAAAGAAGTGAAGAGCACGTACCTACACAGATAACATGAAATATAATCAGCTAAATAATAAGCAAGACTTCATAGAGAATCTTCTTTCTTTTATTTTCCTTTACTGGTTAGCTCCATTCAGTCCTCCCTTCCAAACAAAAAATAAATAAAAAATACTCACAGCATGATCTCAATGTCAATTATAATTTGTAACACATTACACATCGGACACAGGGACCTACTTTGACGCAAATGTATCCAAATCTGACGAGCTTCAAACTTTTAGCATCAAGTTCAAATGTCATTTCCACAACATTTCAAGCTAGAAATTAGATGATGAATTTTTATAATGGAAGGTAGAGATTCTTCCACTCAATGACATTGATTTCTGACATAGACAACCATGTGTAATCCTCTCCCTAGTATTTTGTTAATTCAATTTTTAGAAGAAAAACAAAGTCCAAGTCAAAGTTCAGGCTCAAGGAAAACAATTGTAATCTGCAGAACAACCAGCGTGTGTAACTGAAAATTTATCCAACGAAGAATTACTCACCAAAACAAAATAAGAACAAACACTGCATTCCTATAGAAATTGTATAATATCATATAGCCCATCCGCTGGTAATTCCAATGGCCATGAACCAATAAAAGGGGAACTAAGAATCTGAACTGCCCCATTGCAAAATCTGATGCCATGACAGCTTGCCGACCTTCTTGGCCACTGATGCCAACTCCCACATCAGCCATTTGGATCATTGAAACATCATTAGCACCTATCAATATAACATAAGAACTTTCTACTGTCAACACCAACTGTAAATGAGAGTAGGCATAAGATACTAATTCTGGTATTGGAAACATAAGATATCTACATAAGTGAAATAAATAGAATAGTGTACCATCCCCAATGGCAAGTGTCATATCAGTCGTCCTGTTCTTCACAAGGGATACAATTCCAGCCTTTTGCAATGGAGCGACTCGGCAACAAAGCACCACAGCACAGTTACTTGCTAGTTCAAAGAGCTATGGCAAAAATATGTTAGATCAGCATATAAGACATCATCCCAAAATATATAAAAAAAATAAAAAAAAAAAAAAAAAAAAACCACATATGGCATTGTCTAGATACGTAAAAAACTAAATAGGTAGGTCTAAAAGCAATTACCTTTTCCTCAAGTTCACTGTCAAGAATGTACACAAGGCTGGTGCCGTCAATAATTAAAGCTACTTGAGTTCCACCATGTCCAGAGTTTCCTCCGTCGGTGTGTGTATCTGCGGACACTGTCACGAGCTTCCTAGACATTAGTATGGCATCCTCTAAACTCCTTCGACATGAATCCTTAGAGCTACTGTTAATTATAATCTGTGTCATTCTTCTTGTTAGAAGCTTTGAGGAGTAGCCGATTGATATGGCAGTTTCTTGCTTGTCCCCTGTCAAAACCCATACCTGAATCCCTGCTGTTCTTAGAGAGTCTATGGCTTCAGGCACCCCCAGTTGCAGTTTATCTTCAATGCCAGAGGCACCTAGTATAACGAGATTGTTTTCTATGTTGCCCGCAGCCTTGCGAAGTAGAGCAGCCCTACCAATTAAAGCAGTGCTTGCTTCCTCAAAAGACAAGTGCCACTGCTCGAATTCTGTACCACTCAGTTCTCGCATGCCCACCACAAGTGTTCTCAAACCCAAAGAGGAGTAAGCATGAATATGGGCTTCTGTTGCTCGTATTATATCCAAGTTCAATCGTTTGTCTATTACACTGAACATGGTTGTGTCAGCACCTTTTACAAAGACTTTGACAGCCTTATCAGGGCACCCCAATATAACAGACATTCTCTTTCGATCACTATCGAACTCGTGCATACCCAAGACATTGAACCTGCGCTGCCCAGGAATAGTAAGTTATGAACAAGAAATGAAGGGTCTTTACTCTCTAAAGGAAGTTCAGTATTAATTTACTAGATTGTAATCACAGGGATTACACAAGCATGATTACTCAAAGTCAAAAGTATCTATATATAAATTAATTAAAAGACATTGTCAAATTACCTTTTCCTATCACCTTGGATATCAATAATTATATGACCAGAGGTTCGTTCAATAAGCATAAAACCATAGGCAGCAGCAGCATAAACCAATGCTTGTTCATCTGGGGACTCCCCTTGGTAATCTAATAATCCCACATTTGGATCAGACGTGTCTACAACAAGAGGCACAATGGTATTACAAGCTGCCAATGCCAGGAAGAACTCGTACACATGTTTGCCTTCATTTGTGTTCTTTCCACTTCTGAGTAATTGCTGAAGTTCTGGGTCAGCCTTCACCTTCATCTTTGGCCTCAAAATTTTCCCATCAACTGATACCGAACAAGAAAAATAAGAAATTGCAAACTAGTAAAACAATTGGAAGTACTAATCAGAAGAAAACATAATCAAAAGAAAAACATTTATTACCTTCAACAGAGTACCCCACTTGCTCCAAACTGCTTCTCCCACCATTATAATCTACTCCCAAATGCTTGCACATTGAAATTCCATTTTATTTTCTGTCAGCGTACCAGTTTTGTCTGAGAATACATACTTAATTTGTCCTAAATCTTCGTTGATATTCAAAGCTCGGCACTGAAATCTTGAATTAGAGGCCTCATCATACATTTGACCATCCCTGATCATGAAGTAAGCCTGACCCACCCGGACAAGCTCCATCGAAATGTACAACGAGATGGGGATCATGACCTGGAACACGATGACAGACATAAGGAACGTGAAAAGAATCTCTAAACCCCATCCATAATAGTTATAATCGTCCACTTTCTCCTCCGAGTAGTCCTTCTTCCTGTAGAAAAGTATGTCATCCAACTTATCATTGTTGCGTCTCAACCAAACAGCAGCACATAATGAGACAACTGTACACAAAGTAACAAGAAACCCAGAGAGCACAATGATCTCAGAGTTCATACGGGTCTCAAGGCGACTCCTCTTGGATGGGGCTCCAGAGTTATTGAGCATAACTTTGGTCTCACGACCAGCATATACAGCAACTCCAAGTGCCCATTGAGTATTCTTAAGCTCACACCCTCGAAGTACAATGTTAGAGGGTCCCAGTGACAACCGCTTCCCATCAATTTCCATGAATGCGTGAAAACCGTATATGTTCCTGTTGGGAATTTCGCACTTAATCAACCCAGTAATCTTCTCCTTATCAGACAACTTGGAGAGGGTTTCTTGTTTTGCATACCGCGTCTTCAAATTTGACTCCCCATCTAAATTGATAGTCTGCACATAAGCAACCCCAGTTGGATCACTCGTTGAAAGCAGTACCATATCACAAGGTATAGCCTCATTTGCTTGAATTTTGATGATTTCACCAACTCGAACATCCTTCCACTTTTTCGACTGGAACTGGTTACCAACCAAGACTGATGCCAGACGATTGTTCTCAATTCTATCAGACCGATGCCGCCTGTAGTCCTCGTAGGCATCCTTAACAGCAGTAACAAGCAACACAAATGCCAATGGCAATATGGAAACTCCACGGCCAAAAACCGCCAGCTGGGGGAGCTGATTCAGCACAGCAATCACAAGAAAATATATGTATGCTACCCTATGAAACTGTTCAAACAAATTTCTAGGCAAAAATGTAAAAATTGAGTACTTTGCCGTCCTAATTGAATTACCAGAAAACGCAAACCTCTCATTTGTCTTAGCAACATCATCTATATAAACAACCCTTACATTCTCCTCGTTCAACTCCTTCTGGGACATGCTGAGCGCTTCGGAATCAGCTCCTCTCGAACCATAACGCACCGGCTTCGATCCGACATCGCCGAAACTCACTTCCCGAACAGAATTGTTCTGGTAAGCCTTGGATTGAAGGGAAGAAACGCTTCTACGGGAGGTAGAATTGAGGGTGGTGGGTTCAACGTTGATGGAATTGTCAGCTGCAGCTGGGTTTCTCGAACCCATGCCGGAAAACGACCCAGAGCCACCGGAAGTGGAATTTAAGAAATCGGAATAGATGGGTAGAGTAGGGAGGTGTTGGGTATTGGGGGTTCTTGGAGATGGGATCAGAAAAGGCCGCTTCGAGGTCATGATCCGAAAAAGATTCAGATCACAGAGGCCTCTCCCAACAGCATTCAGTCAACAATCATGAAATCCACGAAATACCCAGATGCCGAATCCGACCAAAGTCGCAAACTTTCACAAGAACAGCAACGAAATCTCGAAAACAAACGAACCCCAAAAAGAAAGCAAGCGAATAATCCAGTAGAGTCAGCTAAACATGCAAGAATCGTACATACAAATTAATACAGAAAGTTGGGAGTGAGAGAGAGAGCCTTCGGGTTGAGCTTAGTGGGTTAGCATTTAAGAGGAAATTGAGGAATTGCAGACAACAGTGGTGGCTGAAGGAAACGTGTGATGGATTGGAAATGGAGGATGAGGAAACGTAAAAGGTCAAAGGCAGGGATTATGGAGTCTGAGGAGGAAGGAGGCGGCTAATACAATAAATGTGGAAGAAGAACAAGTCGTAAAGGGTGGCGACGACAAACATAATCAAAATTCAAAAATATTCTTCTTCTTCTGTCTTTTTCTTTATTTTCAAATATTCTAGAAGGAAGGAAGGATGCTAGGAATCCAATTATATTAATTAAGCTGGAGATTATCATTAGTTTTTGTATTGAAGGTTATAACGTGCGTGGGTGTCTGAGTTTGACTGAACGGTCTTTTATTTCCATGTTGTTTCCTTTTCTGTGAGAAATTTTCAGTACTAGAAATACAATCTGATACGTCATGTATAATAATTTACATCGTTGAAATTTATTTTATAAATTTTTTAGTTAATTGTGTTATTGTTCTTAGTATATTGAATCATTCTCTTAGTACACTAAAAAATAAGGATGTGCTATCCATAAATCCTTTTTTATTTCTCACAAATCCTTTGTTAATTTATATTATTTAATTTTCTTCAATTCACCTGATCCAACGGTCGAAAATTAAAAAAAAAGTATAAGAAGTAAAAAATAATACGTGGATATCACATCCCAAAAAATATCTCATTTCCTACCGCTTAGGTAATAAATATGATAAATTTCTCAATTTTTTTTTCCATGCAACGAGCATTGGATAAATCGAAAAAAAGCTACTCATATGGTTATAAATCCGGAATATATAATATTACAAGATTTTTTTAAAAGAAGTGATATATTTATATATATATATATATATATATATTTTAATAAATGAGAAGGACAAAATGGTGAAACATTTGATAAACCCAATATAGTCATTTGCTTCCTTCACAATCAAAATCCAAAAAAGTTTAGAAAATGAGGATAAAATGGTAAAACCAGTATCACTACAGAGTAGAAAAGATGAACGTGGTTTGGTTTGGAACTGCTCTGAGCAATTACGTTCGGTTTCTCTCTTTCTTCCACCATCCACCATGCAAAAACTCAATTGTCTCAGTCTCTCACGTTTTTTTCTTTATTTTCTTCTCTTGCTCCTTTTGGCGTTGATTTCTCTCTCCATCATCTCTTATCAAGAATGAATTTGAAGTCTAAATTACGACCAAAAATATAGAGGAAATAATCTGGAAGGAATCCATCGGTGGATTCAGACGCGACTCTGAAATGGCAGTGATTGAGGTGAGATCAAAAGCAGGCTGCAGTGGGCAGTGAAACCCCGATTTCCAGAGCAGCAACAACCTTATTTGGTGGAGTTGAGCATGCGACTCCGACTCGAGTTGAATAATCTCTGCGACGGAGCAACTCGGTATGCAAATAACTTACAATGAACTAAAACCTTCCTCCCAATTCTACAGCCAACATCTCACCACACGCCTTAAGAACAAAGGGGTACGTAAAACTGTTTGCTTTATGTCCAAAACTAAGTATTTCATGGTACAAAAACCAGAGACTTGAACGGACATCCATTGCAGGCATATCCCCTGATCATGAAATTCCACATGAACAAGTTTTTCAGTAAAATGCCATAAAAAATTTGCTGCGCTTGGGGCATTTTACCGTAGTACGTAGAAAGGGCCGGTGAAGGTGATAGCGAGGAGGTTCTAGCCATTTGGTAAAGATTTGGTTTTGATGAGGGATCGGAAGATGGTATTTTTTTAGTTCTCCCTTTTCTTCAAATGTTGCAGATCCATAAGAAAGAGATGTTTCACTTCATTGGTTTGTATATTAGCAATTTTTATATATTTGTAGTTCGTAGCCATATGACAGGATTACAAATAGTAACGATATCACTAAATCTCCCTAGCTTTAATTCTTTGTTGTTTTATCCTTTTTGTGTGAGATTCTATCAAATTATTTATAATCTCTGCATTCTTATTCATGTGCTTATAACAACCATTTATTGATTATTATTTTTCTTGCAGTTCCAAACTTTTGATGAGTTAAGGCCAAATCTCTCGATCTCCCTCTTTATCCTGCTTTCTTTCAATTTCTTGGTATGCAATATTTCTTTGCCTGGATTTTTTATAATATTATTTACTATTATTATATTTTCCTCTTCTATATATATATATATATATATATATATATATATATAAATCCAGAAGGCAAAAATTTTAAAATAACCACAATCCAAAAATACTCTTATTTGATTCAGATTTAAAAAAAAAAAAAATTTTCAATCTGTAGTCTTCTAGCAAAACAAAACTACCATGTAGAGGGATAAAAAGGTAAAAACATGGGTATAGAATTTCTTTTCTTTCGTAGAATGGCTATAGAGTTTTGAACGTGGGAGAAGACAAGATGAGAGCAGTGAGTTTTCTTTGGTAGAATGCTTTTCGATTTAAGTTCGTAATATGCTTTTCAATTACTGAATGAATTATTTCTCCCTCTCCTTCTTCTTATAGGGAATTCTATATATGGAACGATTATTGTTGAACTTCATGCCTATTTCATTTGGAGAATAGTCATTCTGACTTTTCTCACTTTAATTCCTTTTTGCTATTCATATTCCTTTTCCATTCTCATTACATGTACGTAAATGTGGATCGATTTTAGTCATCGAAATTTATATGTTTTGCACGTTCTTGATCGCGATGAGAAGATTGAGTTGTTGGTGGATAAAACTGATAATCTTTGCTACCAAGTTAGTCCATAGTTTATGTGTATCAGAATAATATTTGATTTCTTAATCGGTGGCTTCATTGAAATGGAGTTTGTTTTTACATTGAGTTCTTACCAGGGGTGTGATATACACACACTCCTTTTTACTTCTCTCACACCTTTTTAGTTTTCGACTGTCGGATCAAATGAATTGAAGAAGATTAACGGACATAAATTAACAAGGATGTGTGAGAAGTAAAAATAGGTGTGTGGATAGCACACCCATTCTTACAATTGTGGCAGCATAAAATTGACAAAGCAATTTGCATGCGGAATGGGAAAGGGTAAGATACTTATCAAGAAATAATAGATAACATACTATGAAGCCAGAAACCCTATCAACTCCATCTTTATCAAATTTTAATAAGATAAATTGTTCAAACAAATGTGATAAAAGTCAATGTATTTTGTGGTACTGTAAGAAATATATATATATATATATATATGAATTCTTACTCTTCAACTTAATGTCATAGATTAATTGTTTAACTTATTCTCTTACATTATTTTTACCTTTATTTTTTTCTAATCTCTTTGAATGTGCTTCCGTGCGTATAAGGAGCATTTATTTTATCACACATTTTACACCCAACTTAATTATATTCCAACTGACACATTCCGATCCGGAAAGTCTACTTGGACTCCGAATTGAGTTGTGCTAGCCGACACCTGGAGGGTGACGAACCCATAAAGTATAGTGTGGTGGAAAAAGAACGTGAATAAATTTAAACCTAAAAGTGCCTAAACAAAAGAGTGCGCGGGTGAGCGGGATTACACCCATTTCACACGACCCATCCTGGGAAATTCTCGTGTGAATTCCCAGAAACAAAACCGTGAGGGCGTGGCCGGGGCCCAAAGCGAACAATATTGTGCTACAACGGAGCCGAGACTGGAATGTGACACCAATACCTTTTATTTGTAATTGTATGTTGTATTTTATTTTTAGGATGTCATATGAGAACGATTACAACTACCACAACACATCTATAGGGTAGCGCCCGTGATTAAAAAAAGTCTCTCGCATGCACGTGAGCGCGTGTGGAGAGGCTAATATATTAAGAAAGTGGGAGAGTGGATCAAGCCTCACATAGGCCAACCTTGATATTATCTACATTAAGAAAGTGGGAGAGTGGATCAAGCCTCATAATGGGCAAACCATATTAATATGGCTAAAATCCATCTTTAGCGAGAATCAAACTTAATACCTCTCACTTACAAGCGAAGATAAATACCACTAGACCGTAATACCAAGTGACATTTATATTCTAACTAGATTAAAGGAATATAAAGATTGAACTTGAAACACAGTAATTGTAACTTCCGTAGGGAGATTTTAGTCATCTGATCATATGTGCTAATCATATTTTAATTTTTTTAGTAGTCTATGTTGGTTTTCATCAATCTTCCTACAAGAGTTTGGGTGCAATGTAACCATTACAAACTTCATATCTAAACAAACATGCATCGACCCCATTGATCCAGCATATCTCAAATTGAGTTGGGCAACACAAAATATTTGAAAGCATGACAAGAAACAGATTAGAGGCAAAACCTCAATTATTCGATCCAAACAAAAGTTGATAATTTAGATCTGCAAACCTGTTACTTCATTAGAGGATCATAAAGCCGAAGTGATGGAAGTGCTTTGTCCTTGAGCTTTGCCTTGGTGTCAATGTACTCATTCCAATTAGTGACCGGCCGGTGGAGGGGCGGGTGGCTTGGGCCAACTGGCTGTGGTAGGGGTGCGATTTTGACGGCTGCCGGAGGTCCATAATTAATGGTAAACGAGTGATATACGGTGTTGTGCCCGTTTCACCAAGACCGACGGAGGACACTTGAGTACAACCCGTTAGATAATATGCTCATGAGGTCCCCCAACATAGACCACCAGAATCGCGAACCAACCGGTTCCCTCTCAAAAAACTTGCAAGCCCGATGTTGCTCTGGTGGGCAATGGAAACGAGGTTCGAATCAGTATGGGGAACAAGGTCTAGGGCCCGATCCGGATCCGGACAAGACGGGTAAGAGTTGAGCTGGAAGGCAGCAGATGCATCTTGGTCATCACCTTTTGGACAACGTTGTCCTTGGATATTCTTAACAAGGTAAGCATTAGCCACATGAGCCTAGAGGCAAGCCTCTTAATCTCTTTCTCAAATTCTTCGGTAATGCAACTGAAAAAAGAGAAGATATTCAAAAAGTTTGGTCAGTCGGTACACCCAAATTAAGTAAGAACCTCTTAGAAAAGCGGAAATTAAAAGGAGTAATGCTACTTGGACGTACATATTTGTTTACAAACTCTAATGCATGTACGTTTCATCAACAAGCTTGGACAGCTTTTCTGTCAAAGACTTGGGTGCATTGCACTACTTTTTGGGTCTCGAAATCACTAGAACTGCAGAAGGTATTTTTCTCTCTCAAAATAAATCCGCACTGGATCTTCTTATTAAAATTCACATGGAAGGTAGTAAGTCTTGTACTACTCCTCTTGGCACTCAAAAACTGGATCATAATCCACATGAATATCGATCAATAGTTGGTACATTGCAGTACGTGACTTGGACAAGACCTGATCTATCTTTCACTGTTAATCAATTGTGTCAATTTCTTCACTGGCCACGAGACACACACTTCTAAGCTGTCAAGAGAGTACTACGCTTTCTCAAAGGGTCAGTTGATAAAGGACTATGGTTCAAGAAGAGAAATATCAATCTCACTGCATTTTCAGATGCAGACTGGGCCGGTGGTGTATTTGATAGGAGTATTAGTGGTTATTGTGTTTATCTAGGCAGTAATCTTATCAGTTAGAGTGCGAAGAAGCAACACACTGTTGCTCGGTCTTCCACGGAAGCTGAATATTGATCTCTCGCACATACTTCTGCTGAATTGACTTGGATTTGCAAAATATTCAAGGACACTAGATTCCCCTTATCTCAGGTACCAGTTTTGTGTTGTGACAATGTTTCTGCTATTTCTTTAGCTTCAAATCCAGTTTTTCATGCTTGTACTAAGCATGTCGAGATCGATTGTCATTATATTAGGGAGCTTGTTCTTGCTCATCTTCTGAAGGTTTAGTTTGTTCCTAGTCAGTTTCAAATTGCTGACATTCACACTAAAGCTCTGTCAAAGGCTAGATTTTAGTTTCTACAATCTAAGCTCTCTCTTGGTTCCCTTCCGCTCAGCTTGAGGGGCTGTAAAGACACAGATCAACAATGTAGCTCCATGTCAGCTACACAGTCAGCAATATCTTAGCTAGGCTATCATAGTTTGTTATAGTTTGTTACAACAGAAATGTAACTAATCTTAGCCTAAGTTTAATTAGTCTTTACTTAAGTCCTTGATCATTTTTGACAAATGTATAATTACCACAGTCTAATATTCTATTCAATCAATGAAAAGATATTTTCTCAATATGTTGCTTGTCCCAAAATGCAGCTATGAGATGGAAGCCGTAGCCGGAAATTTGACCCGGTGAGCGGGCAGCTTTGAGTTTTTGGTGGGCTGGCAGGGAGAGAAGGCTTCGAGCAGCAGATTCCATGTCATGAACCAGAGACTGGGGGATGCCATGGTCTGTGAGTTGGAAGGCACCCCAAGCCTTGCATGCATGGCTAAGAGTTGACGGGCATTTGTGTCATTCAGATTGACAACGGGGACAGAGTCCGGGTCTTGGGAGGGATGCTCGTTAAGGGTTGTTCATGCATGAGAATCTGGTAACTCATGTAATGAGTTCAATTCATCAGGGACTTGGTCCAACACCACATTCACAGAGTTGCCTTCGTAGGCATCAGGGACCACTCTTGCACTTTTAGGCATGGTAGAGAGAGAGAGAGAGAGAGAGAGAGAGAGAGAGAGAGAGTATTTGATGCCCTTAGCTAGTGAATGTATAAGCATTGTCAAAGCTTCTCAAACCCAATAATTAACCCCTATCACATTTGTGTACATTTGTGTACCATATGGCGTGACAAATGATATGTTAACAATCACTGAATGAGATAAACTCATTAATAATATGTACAGCTCACTTATCTAATCAAATCGTACACTAATGTGATTTAATATTTTCCAACAATAAAAGACAAAGATTGGTAGAAAAATAAGAGGAGTCAAATTCTCTGCTCTATAAAATATAAATTAAGGAAAATGTCAAGGAGACTATATTTTTGTATCACATTTGTATACCATTATGATATGACAAGTGATGTGTATATGTCACGTCAATTAATGAATTTATCTCAATGGATGTTGATTGTATGCCTTACTTGCCATATGAAATGGTATAAATTTGTGACCTCCTTAGCAATACTCATAGATTAAACCGTTAAATTTGATTGAATGAACTAAAACATTTAAAATTGAGAGAAAATAGTGAAACACAAAAATAAATAAATAAATAAATTCATAAATAAAAGTGGGGTGTGGCTTCAATGTTATATGTATCATTTAATGTTGATAGTGTTTAAGATGTTAGATTTGATCTCCACAACTATTTAAATTTTTTATTTTCAATCTCATCCATTTACTCATGTGCTATTCAATGTTATGAAGAAAATTCCCAAAAAAATGAGATATAAAAGAAGAGGATGAAAAAGGAGTCAAAATGATGACAGGACCGACAACACAAAAATGAGTGAAATAAAGGATGAAAAATGTGAATGCACACGCATTAAAAATGTGAGAAAAGGATGAAAATTGTGAATGAATATCTTCAAAAGATGTGAAACTGATAGAAGAATAAAAGAAGACAAACGTGAGTCAATGCATAACTGAAATATTTTATCTGCAACGATTGTTTGTTTCTATGAACTTGAATATATTTTGCCAAAATATATTAGAGGATTATCTATCCATGCATAAATGTAAATGAGAAAATAAACGAGAAACTTGCCATCGTAAAGTAGTGGATTATTTTGGTAATTAGAAATTTTTTTTTTTAATTTACATTGTTTCGAGTTCAAACCTTTCCTCTTCTCTTTAATGTGAACTGGTATAGAATATCACTCGTAATAAAAAAACGAGAAACTTGCCACCGTCTATATATATGTACACAATCCTCACTCTCTCTCACACAGTCACTCCCTCCCTCTCTCTCTCTCTCTCTCTAGTTGTACTATCTACTATGTCGAGTGGAAAACTCTCAGATGCATTCAAATCCCACCCTATCTTTCTTCACAAGCAACACCCAGACGACTTCGGCTCATTACAGGAATTGCCGGAGTCGTATGCATGGACGTCACAGCTTAACGAATATCCGTCTTTCGAATCATTATCTTGCTCAGAGTCTGTGCCGGTAATCGATCTCGCGACCCAAATGTCTTTGAACTCGTAGGACATGCATGCAAGACTTGGGGCATGTTCCAAACCACAAACCATGGAGTCCCCCAAAAACTTGTTGACGACATGGAATATACAGTTCGAAGCCTTTTCTCTCTGCCACCCCAACAAAAGCTCAAAGCAGCTCGATTGCCCGATGGCATTTCCGGTTACGGTTTCCATCGCATATCTGCCTTTTGTGAAAAGCTAATGTGGTCTGAGAGCTTCACTACCGTTGGCTCCCCACTTCAACATTTTTGCCAACTTTGGCCCCAAGATTACACCAAGTTCTGGTACGTACGCATGCATGCACGTATTACTCCAACCACTAATAATTATATACGATATTTAGACATACAAAACTGGCATTCAAGGTGTGCTTTACAATATATCGTGTATTCGAGAATGCGTTCGCAATTTAGTATGTTAGTTTTTTGTCTTTAAATTGCATACTCAAATATATATTGCTTTTATATATGTATATATATATGTGTATATATTGTGTTTTTGCTTTGAATTGTGTTTGATTTTTGTTTGGTCAGTTGTGTTACAGTAGAATATGAGAAAGAGATGAAAGGGCTTGCAGCAAGATTGATGTGGCTAATGCTTGGCTCATTAGGCATATCCAAGGAAGACATCAAATGGGCGGGTCCAAGAGGTGAATTTGAAGATGCATCTGCAGCCTTACAATTGAACTCATACCCCGCTTGTCCGGATCCGGATCGGACCATGGGTCTTGCCCAACATACTGATTCAAACCTCCTGTCAATCGTCCACCAAAGCGCTAACGCCAGTGGCTTGCAAGTTTTCCGAGAAGGGAAAGACGAGGGCCGGGGGTGGCTTATGGTTCCACCAGTCCCGGGGGCTTTTGTGATCAATGTGGGTGACTTAATTCACATATTATCAAACGGATTGTACCAGAACCCCCTTCACCGGGCAGTGGTGAACCGGAGCCAGCACCGTGTATCAGTTGCCTACTTATATGGTCCTCCGGAGAATGCTCAGCTCTTTCCCCTCTCGAAATTACTCGGCCCGAGTTGCCCTCCGCTGTACCCGCCCGTCACTTGGAATGAGTACCTTGGAACCAAGGCAAAGCTTAACAACAAGGCACTTCAATCACTCCGACTGAATGCTCCTCTGAATTAGTTGCTGAGTGTAATCATATAACTATGCTGCGTCTTCCTTTGCTTTCTTCTTCCCCGTAACAAAATAATAAAACTTTTAATTTCCGCTACATAAGAAATTAAGGATCTAAATATTTCTTACATGCCTTTTGACTTGCTATAATATTCATGAATTTAACACAAGGAAAAGGATAGGAAGACAAATATAATACATTTTTGTACAAAAAGTAGAATTTCTAGTCTATGATTTCCTCATCTTCTTCCGCAGGTCTCTCAGTTCCCTCTCCTTCACCATCATCTTTATCACTGCTATCAACAGAATTCTCGACATCGTTGTTATTTCCAGAATGATTGTTATAAACTCTTCCAACCATGGATTTATCACTTCCCTTAAAAGCATCTTTCTCTATAAGTGATGACAGCTTTTGAGCCACCTCTACGTCACCGGCACTTTCTTTTACTGCTACAGTAGGGAATTTCAAAGGTTTGTCAGGACAATCTTTGAAGAAAGAGTTTGTCACCATGAACCTAAACACCTGCAGCAGGTGGCTTCTGTCTCTCCTAATATCTGCACTAAGAAGCTTCTGCAGCAAGGTTGGCTCCCTTTGTTTGGCTCCCTTTGTTGAAAGAAGGGTCATTAGACGAATCCTTTTGATGTGATCTTTGCCTCTTGGAAAACCGATCCTTTCTATCATATTTTTCTCTCTTACCAAACTTGTTTGTTGACCTCCCCTTCTTGGTCAATGTTTCATTATCTTCCTTTATATGCCCTTGATTTGAATCTGCAAGGTAGTGCGATGGTACTTCAGCAACTTGAACTCCCAACTCAGCCTGCTTTGTAAGAATATCCTTGAGTTGCTGCAACGAAGAATAAGTAAAACTATCAAATATAAGAAAATGGTGGTAAAGATTTACTTCCTCAATGTCCAGAACAAAGTCGAGGAAAACCAGTATATCACCTTCTGAAACATAAACATCAAGCATGATACCACTAATAGAAGAACATTAGTCTCTAGTAACTAGGTTTTGATTAACTTCCAACACTTATGAATCTAATTTAAAGAAGACGGATGAAAAGACTTGGAATGATCGCATATCAACTCAGAAAAAACTTGAAGAAGCAACGAAGAAGAGCAGTCTCAAAGAGCTGGCATGACACGATCCAAAATTTCAGGTTTAATGTAATACTAGTGATCTCTTTGAGTAACAAGTAGAAAGATAAGCCACGATGCAGCTTAAAGACAACAAAATGCAAAAATTAACCAGAACTAGCTCAGTTGGCCAAGGTGATAATGAGTTGAGCAAAAGCATTGCTCAGTCTTGTTCAATGATTATAGTGTAAAAATAATCAGCATGAGCACGCATACACACACAGAGATAGAGAGAGAAGTAATCAGCACACCTCTCGTCGAATGTTTGCCTCTCTTTCGATGACCTCTGAATTTATCTGCTTTTCACTTATCTTCTGCAAGTGGCATTTTAATATTAAAAAAATCTACATTTAGATGGAAAGAAAAAGCAGGCTTGTCTCACAGTCAGCCTAACCTTCTCTATGTTGGATTTCGACGGGTAGTGCTTCCTACGGTCTTCCCGCCACCGCTCAATCTCTTGTTCCGTATATGACAAGAAAAGAGGTCTTCTCATTTGAGACAAAAAGAAGGCGCGTCCATGCACATAAAAACAGCAGTGAGTTTCATTAAGAAACAGGAGAGTGTGATCACTCATAAGGCAAGATATAAGGATTATGGATGCTCAGAATGTAAAGCTACTTCATGACTGTTAAGTTTGCAATGTAAAGAACAAATACATATTATTTTTCACTCCTATCAGTGAGTTCCTAGGTACCAAGCCCATAATTGGAGAGTTGGAAGACTTTCTGGATTCACAGATGGCAGTTACAGAAACACTCTTCTTAAACTAAAGAGGAAGTTTCTTGTTACCTATCCTCTTTCTTGGAGAAACATTATGGTATCATCAATTTTGGGATTACATTAAACTGGTATTTTCAAAACCGGTCAAGTTTCAATACTAATGTTACGGTGCTGCAAGGAGGAAGAACAAGAGGGAAAAACAATAAGGACCCTGTTGGTATTATTAATACAGTAATTAGCACTAGCAGTTTAACTGAGCTAGCTCAAAAACCAACTTGTTTAGCTAAAACATTTTACATTGCAGTCTTTGAACTTCGAGTAAGCTTATTCTGGATAAAGGTTTTTAGGCCTGAAAACGGACTAAAGCATAGATCAGCCCAATTTAGGCCTCACACAGTATCTTCAAATAATTGTTCCATGTCAGCCTGCTAGTACCTCAGGCCAAATACTGATCTACATAAAGGCCATCTGACCACTTAGGCTCAGGCTAAGGAAATTGTATCTTAGTGAAGCTCAAACATTCCATCAGCCTGCCAACTGAAAATCCTACATTTGACTACTCAACTACTCAAGCAAGCTATTATATTTTGTAACACTCCCATATTTGGTTTTCAATATTTTATATTTTAGTCATAGGTAGTGAGTAGATGCAAGGGAGAAAAGAGGGAGAAATAACGGACGAGGAAGGGAGAGTGATGAATGCGGGACGAAATGTACATGAAGATGTAGTTAACCCACTTTGTTGAAAATCATCTTAACAGAGACAGGTATAATTTGATCAAGAGTATGTTGTTAAACTTATAAAGAGCAAAATATCTTCAAGACAGTGTACAAGCCCGAGTGGTGAAATTTCAATTAGAGAAAACTCATTAATTCGTATTCAAAACTATATGATATGAGAGAGCAGAGGTTACCTCTTCCTTTCCCTGCCCTGGTTTGAAGAGTTGGCCAGAGCAAACTTTCCTTCGCTTTCATTTCTCAACCCTGCAATTTTGTGGACAGAGAGAGTGAGAGATTCATGAATAAACATCATGCTTACAAAAAGTATTCTGTACTTGAAAAGAGTAACAGGAAATCATGGTTTATGATATCTCTGCAACCCACGCTCAAGCATGCACAATGACATTAAAAGAATAGACAGGAAAGATAATATATAAACTTGGTAGACAGGTATAAGTCCATACCTTTTCCTTTGTGCCCATTAGGAAATGCGAACTTTCCCTTTGCATTTTTCATATGATGCGACTGAGGATTCTGAAATCTACACAAACCATATTTATTATGAATCACAAATCATTGGTCCAAATCTTCAGAAGTAACATAATGAAATGACACTAGTATAACCTACCCCCCTTGGTGATTCTTCGGATTCTTTGTAACGCTTTTGCTTGGTGATTGTTTCCAATTGGAATTTGAATTGTAACCACCACTACTATTTGTTTTATTTCCCTGCAGAAGCTGACGATATTTTTATCAACCGCAACCAATGCATTTACTTCAAAGTAATATATTCTATTAGCAACTAACTGTTTTTAGGAAAATGTACTTAATAAAAAATGATGGCAGAATATCTATATCAAAGTTAACAGAAAAAGAAGGCAGGAAATTTTGACTGGCCAAATGATGTATTTTAAAAAAGAATGGCATTACCATATCAATATAATGTAACAACCTTGTCCATTGAATCGTAACCCACAATAAAGTGACCTACTAATCAGTATATGTAAATTAACCACCAAGTACACACATGTACACAGACAAAGGAGATCTCGGAATTTACCATGCCCTTATAAAATATTACAAACTAAATCTGTTACTAAAGTTAAAAAGAAGAAACAAAAAAGGTCCATTTTATAACCATTTTGTTTAGTTTTAGTTTTTAGTTTTCATTGTTCATTTTTCTTTTCCAGTTAGAGATAAAGGGGAAATACATGGGAGCAACAAGGGATATAGAAGGGTGGAGGAAGGATGGTGGAAGAGATGTAGAAGAAATGTATAAGGAAAGGTACACAAAACTGAAAACTATAAACATAAAAATATCAAAATTTTGTTCTCTCATTCATTTTTCTTTACTTCTTCCCCTCTCTCCTACCAACCTTCTTCGTCCCTCCTTTTTCCCGTATATTTTGCCCATATCTCAAACACAATAATAGAAATTAAAAACTAAAAACAAATTGGTTATCAAACGGATAAATAAATGTAGCGATATTCATGTAATACTTTTTGACAGAAAGAATATAAATTCAAATATCCGCAAGGCAAAACAAGGTTACCTGTGTCCCTTGCACTGGAGGTAGACCCAAGTTTTGCTGATTTTGGTTAACTTGCTGGCCTGCCTGATTAGAATGCAGATTAACCTGGTTATTTGCAAACAATGGGACATTTTGAGACATTGTGGTCTGAGGTGCTTGATTTGATCCCGGAACACCATAATTAGGATGGACTTGCGATGGATTTTGCATTTGCATTGGCACAAATTGATTCATGTTTTGCATTGAATTCGGCAAAGAAAACTGTCCATACGGCAAACCCATATTCTGGTTCATCTGTTGCTGTAAATTTAACATGTTATGCCCAAATATTTGCCCAGGCACTTGAGATGACATCAATTGATTCACTTGCTGCACCAAATTGCAGAATTGAGGCATACCTTGCGAACCGAAAAACCCAACATTCTGCTGACCCGGTTGAGATGTAGGGCCAATGGAACCGAATAGAGGCACACCCAGATGGTTATTTTGCATAGGAAGAGGGTTGTTTGGTAGATTCATGAAATTGGGTTGAGCTATCATAGAATTAGAATTACTAAATTGGACTGGAATTTGGGGATTCCTGATACCCAATTGAGGTTGCATCTGCATACGCATAGAACATTGCAACATATCAGCAATGGATTAGATTCCGTAACCTCCTGCTGCTGCTTAAACAAACCATAAAAGCGAAAACCCAGAAAGCAGAAGCAGGTTGAAGTTGGTGAAAGGAGTTGTATTTTGGAATGTGGAAGAAAATTACCTGGTGAGGAGGTGGAGCCAAGCTACCAGTTGTGTGAGTTCGGTTGGAATGGCGAGGAAGGGAATTGTAGTGAGGTAACATTTTGCAGCATCCGGATTGATACAGTGAGTTCTGGGTACTTTGAGGCAGGGGAGAAGGAGGAGCTAGGGTTTAAGAAGGGTTTAGAGTGCCTCGTTGTTCGCTTTGTCGGGGGGCGGGGGAAAGGATTTGGAGGGTGGAGGAGTTTCTGGATTGACAAAGCGAAGAAGTTGGGCTTCTTTTGTTTCTTTTTCTATTTTTTACATATTGGGCCTACAACTTTAAGCCCAAAATATGTATGAGTTATGATCACGTGACACACATTTTGACACCCACTTTATAAGCTGACTTCGTAATGTATTTTAACAATCCAACTATCTATCTTTTATGTCTTCTCTTAAATAAGATGTTTACCAAGAATTATTCAAATCGGAAATATGACAATTGGAATAAATGTACAGTCGTTTTAGAGATTTTTTTTTTTTGCAAAACCGTATTCGTCTATTTTATTCACTACAAATGAACGTCTTAAGGTTTTGGATTTATCTAAATTTTTTGTAAGGATGATCTATGAATGATGAATTGAAATATAGCCGGTTTGGATCATGAAACAAGTTACAGAGTGGTTCGTACAAATGGGTGTATCCTAACTCAAATGTATATATATGGTTAGGATCCGAGGACACTGCGCTTTTAACACATGTTTTGATGAGGCCCACTCTGTAATATATTTCAAGGACCCAATCAAAGATTCATTTTATTCACTACAAATGAATGTCTTAATCATTTTGGATTTATCTAAATTTTTGCAAGGATAATCTATGAATGATGTAATAAAATATAGATGGTTCGAATCGATGAAGTACATAACGAAGTAAGCACCACAAATTTGTGTCAAAAGCGTGTGCCCTAGATCCTAACCCATAAAGGGGTGGATTTTTTTGCCAAATTGCCGTGCCAACCGAATTGTCAACCATGTCATACCGATTTTGTGCCAATTGGCAATGGTATGGTATTGTACTGTAATGAAATTTTATAGTACGGTATTGGTAATGTATACCGTTACCACAGTATTATCGTACCGTACTAAAAATATAATATATTAGATAATTTATAAATTATATAATTATATAACACATATTTATAATATATGTAGTTGATAAGTTCCGATGAAGGAACTTATACAAGAAAGGAGGGAGCAACACCTTTTGGAGATATCCAATGAAGTTGATAAGTACTTCGCCACTCCTTATATTAGCATTGTTGTTGGTGGCTTTGATCTCTTGAGGTGGTGGAAATCAAACACAAAAGAGTTCGAAATTCTTTCACAAATAGCCAAGGATATCTTTGCAATCCTCACTTCTACCGTTGCTAGTGAAAATGCATTTAGCCTAGGAGGAGGATTGTGGACCCTTTTAGGGCATCCTTGACTCCTAAAATAGTAGAGACACTAGTGTGTACTAGTGATTGGCTTAGGGTAGATGAAGTAAACTTCTACAAGGAACCAACGGAATATATTCTTCAATTTTACAAGGAAATCGAAGAAGTGGAAACAAGTAAGATATGCTTTAATTTTTTTAGTAAATTTGTTATTAAATGGTTTTCAACTTTAATTCTTCTTGCTATTAATATGTTTTCTTTGTTTGTAATGTAGGCTTGACACAAGCTCAATCTTCTATAAGCTCAATGCATCCTCCAAAAGCTTCGACATTTCAAACTTGAAGAATTGATCAATGGATCTTTTTGAAGTTTAGTTCCAAATTTCATTTGATTTGAAACTTTAACTTCTATTTGTTTTGGTTCGTAACTTCTATTTGGATTGTAAGCTTAATTTTCATCATGAATCTTGATATATCATTTGAACTTTTGTGCTTGTGAATTGTGAATGATGAATAATAGATGAATTTAGGCTACAATGTATGAGATAAAAGTGCAAAAAAGTAAAGATTTTGCCCTTGAACTGGGTTAAAAAACAAAAACAGATTTTGTCCCAAAACAAAGTGGCAATTACCATTACTATATTATGTTAACCGAGCTATTTGGCAATACCAAACTTCACCGAAGTTTGATATGGTAATGGTAATAGATTTTGCCAAACCGAAAGTATGGTATGATAATTGGTACTAGGGTTTTGGTATGATAACCGTACCTGAACCCACCCTAAGCCCATATGTAGAGAGAGCCCCCTTCAGTTAAGTGATCCCTCCCATCGTATTTTAATGGTACAACCATCATCTTTTAGATCTTATCGCAAAGATTATACAAGCTTTTAGATCTAGATCCAAAAACATAGATGGTTTTTTTTATAAACCACCCAAATTCAAAACTATTTGATCATTGGATTAGATAATAGTCATACTAATGTTTCTTTGATAAACCGACTTTGTCTAATTTCTTCATAATAACTGGATGCCTTAATATTTTTGAATTTGTTTAATTTTTTACAAATATGATCTTATGAATAATAAATCGAAATATATACAGTTAGAATCCTGGAAAAAAAGTTATAGATTGAACTTATAAAGTGTCAAAATGTGTGTCAAAAAAAGTCTCATCCCGACCCCTATATATAGGGTTAGAATCGAGACATATTTTTGACACATTTTGATTTATGAGACTTAACTACGATACATGCAGTTAATTAATACATTAATCATCTAACAGTCAGATACATGCAAATATAATAATCTCTCTTTTTTATTGCATCTGCAGAGGGTCCTCTTCTTGGAATGAGAGTGTTGACATATTCAACATCAAAACAGGTATATATGGAGATGGAATGAATTTCCTTCCACTTGCATGCTACTACAAACTCAAATCAACCAATGAGATATAAGCAAAGTGGATCAAGTGGATTGTGTACTACTAATTATCACTCTGATCACATTCTCATAACTAATCACAAGCTCATAGTCATACCATAACAGCACTAAAACAAACACACACCAACCAATTAACACCAAGCCGACTAGACGGGAGACGAGCTGAGTTTATTCAGACTCGTTACACGGAAGCTGTGACTAGTTATGCTTATGCACGAGAATGTGATTAGAGTATGATTAGTAGTATACAATTCCTAAATCTTGACGCACCAAGGGCCCGTTTGATAACCATCTCGTTTAGTTTGTGTTACTTTTGTGTCAGCATAGAGATAGAGCGAAATACACGAGAAATGAGATGTATAAGAGGGGAGAAAGGATGGTGAGAGAGATGTAGAAGAACGCATAAAGAATGTACACAAAATGAAAACCAAAAACCCTTCTAAGTTGTTTTCACTTTCAAGTTTTTGCTTCGTATAATCTCCTTCATTTCTCCCTCCCACCCTTCATCCTTCTCCATTCCTTATTTCATTCATATATTTCCCTCTAATCTAGGAAAAATAAATTCAAAAACTAAAAGCTAAAACGAGTTGGTTGTCAAACGGGCCCGAAATTAATGAAAGCTCGTTATTTTTCAGCCACCACATCTCACATTACCAGAGCAAAAAAAAAAGAAAAAAAAATTTACCGGAAAGAACACAGAAGCAAAGCCTTAAATATCAACCCAAGAATCAATCAAACATAATCAAACTTGAAGCCGTGAAGAAAAGAGAAAACCACTGTAATAAGACATTTACGAAAATGGCGCAATAATTTTCTGTTCAATTACAAAGTCGATGTATTTGTTAAGGGCAAGGACCAGAGACGCCAACTCTCAAGAAGCACATATATGCCTATAATTCTATTATATTGGAGTCAAGTATGCCCTTGATGCATCCTTATGGAACTTTAAGTCTCTGCATCGCCTCAAAATTGAAAGTTCGAAGTTTTCCGGGGAATTAAGTGATAAATAGGAAAAACTCACCTGAAAACATTCGGCATTCATCAATTTGTATATGTCTTAACTCCTGATTTTGACAGCATTTATCCATTTATGTCAGTCTTATTTGCTTCCGATTCCAGCAGCATGAAAATGTTGAAAGGGATTACCGCACAAATCACCTCTCATCCAGAAGCAGACACCGCCCTCAACCATGTGTGATAGATTCCATAGTCTTTCACTCTGTCCAAAGACAATATACTTATTACAAACAAATAGATAATGAAAATGTATTGCATGTACATAATAAAAATAAGAGTTAGTCCTACCACCACCTTGTCATCTACATTAATTTTTCACAGAAATGCATAAATGTGAAGTAGGATAGCTTCAGGATGTAAACTTCAAGATGTATCAAGTTCGTAAGTAGATCGAGGGTTTGGGATGGTTTAAGGGAAAAACTGGGGCATTTTTCAGTGGTTCAAGGCTTGAAATTTAAAGTCACAGGATGGTTATGCTGGACTTTGACAGTGGACATTCCAACTGCTAAACCTGTCGCACATATACACTTTACACATGAGAATACGCGGACGCACGCATATGTGTGCTATCCTAATGTCATAGGGTTCCCATTTATATGTTTTTTTTGTGATGTTATTTCTCGCATTCAAAGTCTAGGATATCCCCACGTACTTGCATACATAATATCATGGCCGGAAAACAAAATATTCATTATCTACCCCCATCATCCGTCTTTTCACTTTATTTTTACCATTGGCTCCGCCACCAAATAAGTACTACTGCAGAGGTTGATCTAATGATAATCTTTTTGAAGATGCTTAAATTGTATAAAAATTAAATTGAATCACTTGGAGACAAAGTAACTAAGATTGACAAACATGTTCCTTCAGGAGAAGAGATAAAAGCATCAGATAAGGAGAAACATCAGTCTTCAAGATCAACGACAGATTTTTCACTTACAGGTACAAGTCATCTGGATCGAATTCTGGAAACAGGTTGATATAAAAGCGAAAGCCATCAGGGCTTATATCTCTGCACAGCAAACCTATATAACCAAAATTAATCAAAACTCAACCATAGAACTAATATATTTTATAGAAAACATATACTCTTATGAAGAAAACAACATCAGAGTATTGTCAAACAATGTTCTGCAAACAGGGTACCTTTGCTTTCAGCAGTAAGAAGATGCTCCTTGGCCATGCCTGGTGCAATACCTAATGTAATTGCAGCATCACTAGCACTTATCCCAGTTCGAAGAGCATCAGGCTTTGTTACAAGGGTCTTGATTCTAGCAAAAACCTGATTTAAAAAATACAGTGAGTTGTTTCATGCAACTTGAAACGGCTTCTGATGTAGAATGACAGATGTCATAATCTAAGATGCAAAATAAAGTACATTCTAGTATCGTACATGGCCAGGACGTGTTTTTCACCACTTTATCAAAAAAAAGGGTGTGTACCGTATAGCTTGAATGGAAGAATGGAATAATTCTAATTCCTCCCTATGCTAGCTATCTTACACTAAAGCAATCAAGAGAAACGCCATTTAGGACCTGCATAAAATCTATCTCATTCCTGTTCAGGAATCAAATTCCTTGTGAGGAACTTGGAATTTAAACCCTTCGCACCAAAACAAATATTTGTTTTTTCTCTTAAAATGTTAGAACTGAATCTATCTTCTTTTTTGAAACCAATATCCTTTAATCTTATTGTTTACAAAAGCAATTCATTTGAAGCAGGACAACACAAGGGTTAGTAGTGTTATGGTTATGGTGGGCTTTAATGGTGTAATAGTATACATGCGTTCCACCATTTTGGCTCGGAAGTGCAAAGCGGATGTGTTTCAACCAAAACAATTACACAATTTTATTAATATAAAACAGGTTATAATGATATAAGATCACCTCTTCGTCACTGTGGGACTTATTCTGGATGACCATGACTCCACTATCAAACTTACGAAGCATTACTGGGCTGCAAAGAAAGAATAATCAACAAGATGATATTATGGTACTCTTGCCGTACTCATGTCACATAATATTGATGCAGAGAGGTAGTCATTTTTTACACATTACAAGTAATGTGAACTAGCATTTATAGTTTGCATTATTTACTAACGTATTTCCATGCTTTCAAATAAACAAATTGAAGAAATTCCTACATACACGTCAAACTTCTCCCAAAGAGAACACGCTTGCAGCAAATCCTCTGGTGAGATCAGTTCTGCATAAAGAGAGATACTAAGCCACGTTTCACCCTTCAAAAATTTCAACATGAACTTGAAACTTAACCAATTAGAGCTAACAAAATTAAAAACAAGAGATGAGGTATTATCACACAACACCTGTGCCGCGAGCACGATTGAAGAGACAGTAGATGTCTATGAGATTGATCATTCCTCCAGCTTTCTCAAGTGGAAGTCTGACAAAATCTGCTAACTATGTATCAGAACCAACAGAAAATTAATTTTCTTTTCTAAGACAAAGAACTTGGGAAAATAATAAATGACATGATGCATTTTTCGTGTGAGCGTTAACATCCAATAAGAATGAACAGAAATAAAGCCGATTTCATTCACACAAAACACGGAAAGAAGACAACCTGACGGGACAATTGTTGGTGATACTGAGCACCAGCAGACTCCTTAGTAACGGGCGATATAATACCAACACTCAGCATCCAATCCTGCATCTCTTGTTTGGAACCCAATTCCTCGTCATTTGGCTGCGAAGTCGAGCCAGATAAAAGCTTCTGCCTCATTTTTTCTGCTAGCATCACCATCTCTTAGCCTTACTCTGTAAATTTAATATTACTCTACAACTTAAAACCATTCACAAATAGAATGCACGCACACTGAACTCCAATCGAAAATTATACAAATTGAAGAATTCAATGCAGCAATTAAAATCCCTGAAATTCTAGAAATTGTTTGTCATGGTAACCGAAAGACGACATTTTTATTACCATGAGAGCATTCAAGTCCTGGAAAGCGTCCTGCAAGCTCTTATCGGTACTCTCCCACATCTCCTGTTCTTTCCTCAATATCCCCGAAACTCCAACCATCCTCACCGTCCCTTCCCTCGTATACAACCCGGAGCTGGACGCCGAACCGGAACCCGAAACCGCATCGGAGCTGCCCGGCTCATCCCCAATCTCCCAGGCTCTACCCCGCCAGCTCTCCCAAAATTTGCTCAAAAACGCGTCCAAATCGCCCTTCCCCCTCACCACCACCGTCACAACCACCGACCTCGAACCCGAACCCGAATCCGGAACCCGGCCTTCGGGCGAAACCGAGAGCTGGAACCTGAACCGGGGCGAGGCGAACATGGACTTGATTGACTTTTTGGCGGCAAAGATGTGGGTGATGGCAGCGAGAGGGATGGCGGAGGCTGAAGAAGAGGCGGTGGCTATTGTGGTGGTGGAGTCGGGTAGCCATAAGAGGCGGTGGGTGGTGAGAATGAGGAGACCCGATTTGAGGTGAGGGAAGTTGGGGAGATCTTCGCATTCGAGGTCTACGGCGGAAAGGAGGGAACATTCGATCTCAGTTGGGAGAAGGACTGGGCGGCCGCTCGTGGTTAGCTCCGCGGCTTGCAGGCAGTTCCCGGCCATTTGACGACCATGGGAGTCGTGAATCGTGATGATGATGATAATTTAATCACTATGATGATGACTCAGTTTGGTTTGAACTGCAGGATGTGGGAATGGAAGATGAAACAGTAGAAGTCAAAATTATAAGGCTAGTGTGAACTTTTTTTATTTTTTGTTATTTTTAAATTAAACGATAGATTTGATCAGATTAACTAATGATGGATTTCGAATTTGTGCCATGTAAGCGCTTAACTCTTTTCTGCTACTGTAGTAAAAGACATCTTGCTTTGGTGTGTAAAATTTCAACATGCATTAAATTTTTTTTTTGGTACGGTAGACTCTCGCACGTTAAAAGCTTGGATAAAGAGCAAGCAATGTATGATCAAAATATAAAGAAGATACAATACTACTACTTTTCTCAATGTTATTGCATGTCTTTTCTATGCCCATTTTCGACTAACATCAGTGAAAAATAAAAATAAACCAAGTGATACATGGATCTCATTCCGCTTCAATCTCTATTAAAGATTTTCTCTCATTTTTACTTATTTATAACACGTTATCAGCACAACATCCCAATCAGTTTTTCATTTTCCTCAAAATGTTTCCCATAAGAATTTTACGGTTTCTCTTTCTTTTCTTCATCACATTTTGTGTGCTTCATTGCCACCACGATGAAGATCTGAAACCTCCATGCCTTGTCCTAATCCTCATCTTACTAACTACTTATGTTTTTAATTTCTTATTTGGTATAACACCTGACTACTAACTCAATATTTGTTATGCTAATTCTGTTACCAACTTGAGAGTGTTGCGGTATAATCGTCTATCATGCATTACATAATTCCAATAAAGTTATGTGCTACAATTGCACTCCTCATCAACTTTTTATGGTGGTAATACTCGATATTGATGGCAGTGTCTGTGTAGTGAGTATCAATAATTATCTAACCATTTTTAATTAATATCCTTATAAGTTATCCTTGAGTCTAAATTTCAATTGCTTAGTTTGTTCTGGAGTTCAAAAATGAAAATTTTGTAAGAACCAAAAGTTTGTCGCAATTGACATCACTAGAAAGAACCACCTTACATTGGTCGTAGATGCAACTATCCATCTTGAGGCAGGAAATTTTGGGGAGACCATTAGAGAAGAAAACACTACAACCTCCCAAGATTAGGCGAAAGCCATGATATTTATTTGTTGCCACATCCATGAAGGATTGAAAAGCAAATACCTAACGGTTGAAGAGCCATTGGCTCTTTGGAATGCCTTGATATAGATATAATCACCAAAAAATGGTGACTCTCTCTATAGCTCGTTATGACTGGACACACCTGTGAACCCAGGATTTTAAGTGAGTCGTTAAGTATAATTCTGCAATTTTCAGAAATCAGCTCCCAAATGAAACTTTATGAGGAAAATGTCACTAAAGCATAAGCGCCAAAAAAACATGCAATACTTTACAACCACTAATTTGCTACCCGTAGAAGCAATATAAAGAGTGTGGTTTACATAGTACAGTCAGCCAATATCAGTACTCTTTATGATTGAGCAGAACAATGTGTTTTTGATAAAAAAAAAAATCACCAACCAATTGGATCAACGCCATGCTTAGAAGTGAATGATGCTTCCCTTGAAGCAAACACTTGAGCTATCTTGCGAACTAATACTAGTTTCTTCTCTAATACGCATAAAGCCCGCTCACAAACTGAAGATGTGTTCACTTATGAAAATACTGCAATATCATGGCACTTAACAAAACAAACTCTAGTTGTTACATCTTCCAATCACCCAAAAATACTTCCTTGTTAAGATCAATGATCCATAACATTCGAAACTCATGTGGTCTATCTTCAAAAGGAAACACTCCAACTATCGTTCATGAAGATAATGTATTGTGTATTGCTCAAATGAAGGAATAATTCATCAAAGGCTATAAGACTAAACACATATATTTAAAAATTTTCAATACACATGAGCTTCAGAAGGCTAAAGTTATGAAGTCAAACAAACTCGTTCTAACAATAATCTAGTAGACCAATTCATCAAATTTCTACCAAAGTGTACGTTTCAAAAGCTGGTATATTTTTTAAAATTGCATTTTGTAAACCACATTTAATTGTTGATGGTTGATCTCCATTTTTTAACTCTTTGAATATGTCACCAATAAAAAATAAGCACGTTAATTAACACTTAATAGTCTAATCATCAACATCTACATCATTTGGTTTACAAAATTTAGCTTAAAAATTTGGTTTCCCGATTACCCTTTCTTAATTGGGTAATGCTAGAGAGAAGAAATTTTATAAACTAAATGACATAAGATTACCAAACATGTAATGCTAAAGAGACTAAATTTGTAAACAAAATGACATGGAAGTTGGATGATTGGATTATTGTTGATAAATGTGCTCATCTATATTAGCACTAAATCATTTAATTTGCAAATTTTATCTTTAACAACGTTACCCTTACTTAATTGTTGGTACTGTGGTGACTTGGTGATTTTATCCATAAAAAGATGGAAATAGGATCCTGTCCTGAGCAAATGCTCGAGATCCTCATGACCAACAAACACGGGCCGTTGAATTTTGATCTAACGGCTATAAACAGAGAACTCTTCTAAAAATTATAATAATTATAATCGTTGGATCAAAATCTAAACGTCTGTTTTGGTTGGTCATGAGGATCCCGAGCATTTGCCCAGAAAAGGATCCTATTCCAAAAGCTGACATGTGATTCTTTCCTTTGTTTTTAAAAGTCAAAGATAAATACTTTCTCCCCCATCCTCGTCGGAATTCCCAAACCAGACAAGAAGAAAATAGTTTACTTATTCATTTTTTTACGTGGAACCATCAATGTCATCCATAGAAACTTACCTTTGCCTTCCCCATCTGTAGCAAACCCTCCCTTCCCGTCCCTTCCGAATGATTACTTTTGTTTGTTGAATTCTATTGAATTTTCATTCTGGGTATCGGCGTTGGCATTGGGCATTGCATAATGATGGATCCACACACAAGTGAAGGAGGCACCCTTTGAAGAAGAAGAAGATTTTTGAGCACATCTCCAACCCCTTCATTGCAAAAATGATGCAGGTAATACAAATCATGCCTTTCTTTACAAAACTAGTCTTAAATTGTTAGGAAAACTAATGAAAGGGTTGAAAACTTTGAGTTTAATGATAAAGACAAAATAAAAGGTAAAGTGAATGGTATCAGGATTGACTTTTTAGTGTAAAAATGTAGTTTTTCGTTAAAATGAATAGTACCGGGAGCTTTTCGTTAAAGTTCCCTGAATTGTTTGCAATCAGTAAGTTGTGCTATATATGTCTAGAAGGAATTTGTGATATTTCAATTGGCCAGCACCCAGCAGGCAGCAGATTTTTCATTCTTCTTACTATCATTACCTGGTAAATGGAAATCATGATCGTAATTGATATGAATTGTAAAGAGTAGATAAGCTTTATGAATGACAGATGTTGATCTTTGAACGCGTTTAGGAGAATATAATGTCAAGAGTAATGTAATTTACTTGTATGTGAAAAATCAAAGGATTTGGTTTTTTGTTTTGAATTTGAGGATGAAGAATTCGATTTCAAAATCGTTCGTTGAACATTCTGTTGGAAAATAGAACTTACTGGTTAATTTGGTGTATTAAAGGATGAAATTGTTTGTAGGAATTGTCAACCATTGATGATCTACCTGCAAGTAATGTGGAACTCAAACCGGAAAAGATTGAAGACGGGAAGGATGGAGGTCCTTCGTTTCATTGTGATCTTTACGACACAGAATTAGTTTACAAGATAGCTCAAGTGTTCATCCCTGGATTAGCTACAGCTTGTGTTGACAACACATCTGGTGATATCTTCAGGACTGCTGGTTCAGTGGCCGCTGATCTCAGAAAGGAAATGGTGGAGTACATTACTCAGAGAAGCGAAAATTTTGTAGCGGAGTCTGTTATCTTAGAAGGTGGGACTGATGCACAAGTCTCTGATCATCCGTATGACATCATTTCTGATTTTGTTGATGACTTTGCAAGTTCCAAGAGAAATCTGTTTAGTCGGGTTACAGGATGGCTGCTAAGTGAAAAAAGAGAAGATAATATAGATGATTTCGTTCAAGAGATGGAAATAAACGGGTTTTGGTTGATTGATAAAAGAGAAGCAATAGCACAGACTCTGCTTAAGAATGTCGACTTCAAGAATGAACATCACTGCAACATGAAGTTTAACTCTTCAGAAGCGCTTGCCGAGCATGCTTCAAGCTGCAGTTTTAGGTCTATGACTTGCACAAATGAAGGTTGTACTATTGTATTTTGTGCCAGTCACATGGAGAAACATGATTCAATTTGCCCGTTCAAGATAATTCCATGTGAACAAAACTGCTCCAGTACCATCATGAGACGCGAGATGGACAGACATTGTATTACTGTCTGTCCAATGAAGCTTGTTAGTTGTCCTTTCTATGCAGTGGGTTGTCAATCTCCTGTACCACACTGTAAAGTTGAGCAACATCGTTCGGATGATCTCCATTCTCACTTGCTTTTCATTCTTCAAACTATCCACAAGGAAGCATCTGCGGAGGATCTAAAGAAACGGGTGGAGCAAGTAGAAAGGTGAGTTTCTTCGTATTTTGGTTGCGTTTTTGTTGGACATAAATTTTAATGGAAATTAAAAACAATGATATGCTAATTAAGATGAGCACATTTCATGTTTACATGGCAGGCATCTTCATCCAGTCAATTAGCAGATGCTCGAGATGTGAGATCGTTAACATCTGCAGTCAAGGGTACTGAAGAGAAACTTGGTCCAATGGAAGTGAGCAGCAAGCACCCAGAGGATGTTGAAGCAAAACCAGGACCAGTAGAATTGAACGGCAAACATCCAGAGGATGTTGAAGCAAAATTAGGGCCAACGGAAGTGACCAGCAAACCCACCGAGGATCTTGAAGCAAAACTTCAGCCGCAGGAAGTGAGCAAAAGAACCCCAGAGGCTGTTGAAACAAAACTAGGGCCAAAGGAAGTAAGCCTGCAAACCCCCAGAGGATCGTGAAACTAAACTAGGGTCAAAAGAAACGAGCAGCAAAACCTCCAAGGATCCTGAGGCAAATCTCAGGCCAAATGAAGTGAGCAGCCAACCACGAGAGGATCTTGAAACAAACCAAGGGTCAAAGGAAGTGAGCAGAAAAACCTCAGAGGATCCTGAAGCAAAGCTTAGGACAAAGGAACCGAGCAGAAAATCCCCTGAGAATGTTGAAAAAAAACTAGCGCCAAAGGAAGTGGACGGCAAACCCCCAGAGGATCATGAAGCAAAAATTGGGACAAATGAAGTGAGCAGCCAACCCCGAGAGGACTGTGAAACAAGCCAAGGGTCAAAGGAAGTGAGCAGCAAACCCCCAGAGAATCCTGAAGCAAAGCTTGGGTCAAAGGAACTGAGCAGAAAATCCCCGAAGGATGTTGAAAAAAAACTTGCGCCAAAGGAAGTGGACAGCACACCACCAGAGGATCACGAACCAAAAACCAGGACAAAGGATGTGGACAATGAATCCCTGAAGGATATTGAAGCAAAACGTGGGCCAAAGGAAGTGAACAACGAATCCCCGAAGGATATTGAAGCAAAAGTAAGGCCAAAGGAAGCGAGCAGCAAAGACTCAAAGGATTTTGAAGCAAAAGTAACTCCTAGTGAAAGCAGCAGCAAATCCCCAGAGGCTCTTGAAGCAAAACTGGGGCCAACAGAAGTGAATGACAAACACAAGGATAGTGAAGAGAGTAGGGAAACCTCAACTTCGAAAAATGTCTTGGAGGAAGCTGAAACATAAAACCTAAGTTACCTAACCTGCCAAGTATCCTGTTTTACGTAACCTCATTCGCGTTTGATGGAGCCATCGCGCTGCCAGAAACTGACATCATCTGTACCTGTCCACTTGGTTCCCACCAGTAAGTTTGATCATTACGTAGATACTTTTATGATCAGCTTAATTTTTTCCCTCATTCTTCATTCTTTGTTTACCTTAATCATTCTTTGTTTGTGATAAAGTTTATAGCTTTAACCATGGGATTTGTTTTAATTATTTTTACTTTTGGCAAATGTTGTAAACAGTTTTGTAAATGAGAGTTTGAATGCAAGAATTTCTCAATCTTTTTGCCTGTGATCTAAAGTTGAATATCCCTGGACTGTCTTCGAAGCGTTTAGCGTTTGATCGTGCAATCTTCTTCTCAGGTTAGTGATTCATTAGGTGATATGGCTGTGATGTCATTTTTTTTTTAGCTATGGCCTGTTTGGTTGGGGAGAAAGTGGAAGAAAATGGAATGGAAAAAATGGTTCAATTCATTAAGCCGCCGAGTTAAAACATCGGTGGCGGCGACATCTCTTTCTGTCCAACTTTTGTGTTCAGGAATGAGAAATATTACAGAAACAAGAGGGAATACTCATAGTATAGCAAGAAATGTTAAATCTTTCCAACAGCTTAAGTTGATAACTCCCAAGTCCTAACCGGAGAATTCTTTACCATGTCACAATTTCTTCGACTATTTCAAGACGAAAGTAGAGCTGCAAATTTAAAATCGAAATACGAAATGCAAACAGAGGACACGCAAGGGAAAACAATGACATTATAAAGAGTAGGTTCATTCGATAGATAAATGGAGTTTGTGGAGTTTTATCTAACTCATCTACTGAACCTTCAAGAACGATCCAGCTTGAAGTTTACAACTCGGAGAAAGAAACATGGCTCCAGACTCCAGTACTCTGTTATTCTTTGCCAACACAAGGCATTTGCTCTCACGGATGGAGTTACCGACAAATCTATGCATACAGATCAACGCCCCAAAACTTGGCAGGTTGATTTGTCCGGTGTTTCCTGTCTACCTTCCCAATCAGGTCCATGTCCTCTTTTGTAAGCTCAAAGTCGAAAACTTGGATATTCTCTTTCATTCTCTCAAGTTTTGATGTCTTTGGGATGACAACTGTGTTGCGTTGGATGCCCCACCTTAGAACAACTTGGGCGACAGTCCTTTTGTATTTCTCAGCCAGATTCTGACAAAAGAGGAATGTGATTGAGAGGAAACAAATCTTACTGTTAGCAAAGAAAATTAATTTATTTTCCTAGTAATTTGAAAATAAACCTAGTAATTCAAGTGATTAAAAAGAAAAAAAACAAGCTTACCTTGATAACTGGATCATCCAGACATGAAACTGAACCAAACAATTCGACGTTGGCGGCAGCACCTCCAAGAGGAGTGTGGGCAGTGACACAGATGCCATGCTTCTGACAGAATTTGACAAGAGATTCACGCTGGAAGTATGGGTGAGTCTCAATCTGATTCACGGCCGGCTTCACTTTGGAATAAACTAAGCAATCTCTCGTTAGAAAGATATCATAGTTACTGCAATTAATTGTTTCATCAGAGAACAATTCATAAACAAAAGAATTGATATTAAAAACCAGAATATAAAAATAGGAATCTTCCACTAGGGGCAGTGCACATTGCAATAAGCTGATCAAGGAGATAAAGAAAGTTGTTAAGCAGGGCCACAACTCAGAAAATGCCGGTTTATTGACATAAACCCTAGTGATATTGCGTTATAACTTGTAATCTTTCTCTAACTGCACATCATGTGTAACTTTGTAACATGCAGCAACAAGCAATAAGACACAAAAGTTAACCTCTTGCTGAACTCGACTATATAATCTCCACTGAAGCTGTAATTGTAAAAATTTATTACCATTTTAACATGCACACACACAAGGTTTCAATTTTCCTCAGCACATTCACTTACATTTTCCTAAGTTGTATAGCTAAAACAATAATAATGCATATGCAATAATAGGGATAGCTACTCTAAAGACACAATATCATTAATTTTGATTCATGTAGTCATTGAATGAGCTAAGCTTTTAAGATCACCTAATTCCAATGCTACGAACTAAACCCATAGAGACCAGCTCTTCCATAGCATGCCAGGTAGTTTCCAAAGATACAGTTGTGTCTATTTCTAGCACCCCATCCTCATCCAAAGCACTGCCAGTCGTACCAACTCCTGCACGTATGTAAGTTAATAGACAGATGAATTCAATAATCAATTTAAGGATGAAGAAATTTGAAAACTAAAAGAAAACAGTTCATATGCTAATTCAAGATGGGAATGAACATATATTTTTTTATCTTAATCATCAAGCCGCCATTTAACTCAATAGAGTTTTTTGAAATAGTAAGTCATTTGTAAGCCAGCATGCATGAAAAAGAAACTAAGGTCGTGTCTGGTACTCTTGATTCTTGAATTGGTTCTCCAACATATGGAAAGCCCATTTCCCCAATATAATAGAATGAGCACCCACTAACATTTCTCCCCCACTTCAATTCCATTCCTATTTAACACGATAGAAAAGAAAAGCCTAATACCTTCATCAACTCCTTTCCACGACCTTTTGTGCCTCACTTGCCCCTCACTGTCTGATTCTCTCTTCACTCTCCTCACACACCCTAATCAGTTTGTCCTTTCTGTCCCTCCCAAATCACTCACATTCACTTTGGCTCTCAGCCCTCAGCGAGTCATTGAGTTTAGAATTATTCCTTAAACCCTGGTTTGGTTTGGATTAGTGAATTGGAATAGTATTGCTTTCTGTTTCTTACTGAACTCTTTTAGTCTGCAGTGAGTTTGGCTAGATAACTTAGATAACTCAGGAAAGGTTATACCCTGAATTTTCTTTCCACTTATCAATTATGTCCTTGACCATCCAAGCTGTAGAGACATCAGTTGGTAGCATGTAAACTGTTTTCCCTTTTTAGTTATCCACAGTTTTCAATCATGCACTATTATTGTCGAACAAGATTTCAAAAATAGTGGAGTACATATACATAATACAGAGAATTTTTGCATAAAGCATGAGAAAAGCAAGAATAAATACCGGTATGCTTGGTGGCAACAGGAAAGTGAACAAGGTACAGATCTAGATAATCCAACCGAAGTTTCTTCAGACTATCTTTACAGGCCTCTACCACATGCCCATGATCTGAATTCCAAAGCTGCATTAAGGATGAAGAAACAGGGAGAAAAATAAATGCTTAAAGTCTGGACAATGAAGAATATGAACTAGTGAACTGGAGCAGAAAAAGAAATCTTGATTGAAAAGTAAACTAGCCTTGGTGGTGATGAAGAGATCCTCTCGCTTAACAAGCCCAGTCGAAAGTGCTTCTGCAAGTGCCTCCCCAACTTCTGGTTCATTCTTGTAATCAGCTGAAAGCAGCATTAACTCGTCAATGTATATTACAACCGCAAAGGTAAGTTGTGCTACAAGCTACAAATAATTACCGCCCATATAGGGCAAAAATGAGTAGAACCTAGATTCAAATGTTTTAGCAAGCACAAGAAAAGCCAAACCCAAAACCTGAACAATAAACTGTTTCATGACTTCTGGTGCTCAGTGGGGGCAATATCACAGTGAAGAGGCCAAATACAGTTCAGACACAAATTGGTAACTGGCAATCACCCCAGGGAGAATGCTACTAAGCGCTATAAGCCTAATAGCTTCAATTTTACTATGCAATCTTCTTAAATTTGGTGAACTTCGAATACATGCATCATGCATGTTTATCATCAGTCATCACACACACGCGCACTGATGGAGGAGCCAAGTTAAAAATTCAATAAATTAGTCTCTTTACTTTCTTTTGTAATCAATGCAGTTCAGTCTGCAAGTTCTTTGCGTTTGGGTCTCTCTATGTTACAATATTAATAATTATGTGCCATAAGCTAGTCTTTAGAATTCCTACGTATATTAATATGGATTTTTCCAATTTCATATGCCAACTAGCCTATCAAAAGGGCTACTTTGTAAGCTTTTAAGATTAGTGCTGGTGACAGAAATTCTGGAAATTCTGGTTTCTTACTTGTGTGCGAGGCACAACAACCTGGAGTGATTCCAAGGAACCTTCAGCATGAGGCTGAAGGGCATTGTGATGCCGGAATTTTTCTAATTTCCCTATCGGAGTGATTCCAATACACCTTTGGTTTAGTGTGATGCCAAAGGCCGGAAGTGAGTCGGGACTACATCAAGCACACACAATGCTTTTACTCTACCAGAAGTAGTTGATGCAACTAAAACCCAAATCACAAATTAATTGAGCTACATTACAATATAATTCATAATTTCATATCGAAACCTAAGTACCAATAATCTAAGGAACCCTCTTGACATGGTGTAATTAGAGCATTTTGAACGAACCCAGATCACAAATTATGAAATGAAAGGAAAGAAATCAAACCCATATGAACAAAAAAGAAAATGAATGAGGATGATGGATACCAGCGCAATCGAAATGGCGATAGCCAAGGTTGAGGGCATTGAAAACGAGGTCTCTGATTTCTTTTCCTTCCATGCGCCAAACACCCAGCCCCACTACTGGCATCTTGAATCCACTGTTGAGTGTTATCGCCATTTTTCGACCTTCCCTTCTTTCTTTCGAGTTTGCCTCTGCCTCCTCGTCTGCTTCACTGTGATAGTATGTGCTAATCCTCCGTAAGAATGGGATTGAAAGAAGATAATGATATTCACACGCTCGTTAATTTTTAGTCATCGATTTTTTTAAATACATTTAATCTAATAGCTGAAAATTGAAACGAATGTATAAAAATTAAAAATAGATATGTAGATAGGAATACATTTAAAAATGAGAAATGACTAAAAATATAAAGAAATTAGATATGATAGATATTATATAAAGATTTTAAATTTAGGATTCTAAATTAAAAACAACGATACGAAAGACATGAATGATAGAAATAAAAGCATTGAAAATGTCTAAATACCCTTGTTTATATTTCAATAACGTTGACTAAATGACTAAGGGACATGTATTCAGTGGGAAGTTTAAGAGATTTAAAAGACTTTACAAATTCATATGTATTTAATGAAGATTTAAATGAATTTATAGGAGTCCACTAGTATTCAAGCAAGATTTTAAGGGGTTTATAAAATTCTACAGAAATCAAATTGTATTTATTCTAAATTTCAAAGTAGTTCATAAAACTCTATGTACTCATTTGGATGTGCTTTTAAAATAATTGGAAACGCTTTTGGCGAAAATATTTTTAGAATCAATCCTTAGTAAAAATGCAAATAAATCCTGGATAAGTAATTAAAATGCTTTTAAAACTCAAAAATATTTTCTCTAAAGGCGCTTTCAGTCATTTTAAAATCACATCCAAACGAACCCTATATGTATTCAATTATGACTGGATTTTAAGTATTCTGAAAGATGAAATTTTAATGGATTCAAAGAGATTTTATAGTGTTTGTTTCCTAGGCATTAGGAAATCTTGCCTTAAGATTTCTAATGATTTCATCCTTCACAATTCAATAATCCAAGAGACTAAAGGGGTTGCATCCAATTGAAATTTTAAAGGTTTTTAAAGGAGCTATAAATCCCTGAAGTTTGATAAAGGTCTAGTGGAGTTTCATGCAATTGTAAGATTTCAAAATCTTAGGAAGAGAAGCCTGATGTTAATGCATTATTCGACGAGGGTGCAATAATAAAAAAGAAAAACTAATAAAAAAATTTGAAAACTTTAACTTTTAACGATAAGAACAAAATAAAAGATAAAATAAATAGTACCAAGATTGACTTTTTAATGTAAAAATATAATTTTTCATTAAAATGAACAATACTGAGAACTTTTCGTTAAAATTCCCTAAAAAAAAAATGAAAACATTCCATGTAAATCGCCCTCTAACTTTATGGCCACATGTAGTATTTCTATTATCCAAGGTGGGTTTGGTTTTCTTAAATTCATGTCTTTGTTAATCATACTGCCCTAGGGTAATATTGTCCTTTACCACTAGGGTAAATTTAGAAATCTGAAAATGGTTAAAAGGGTAGGTTAAGCAAGGACACCTTACCAAACGACCGATATCGATATCCATTAAACATAACTATTGCAATTTAAGGGACATCACAACTGTGGAGAAACTTTGTTTAGGGTTTAGCGCTACTAATTGGTCACCCTTCTCACCAGAAACCGGCCACCAAATTTGTTGCTTAGCTTACCTGTACTGCTGTACATACATACTAGCGCCAAAACACCGGCCAACACAAAACGATTGAATAGCGTCAAAACACAGGCCAACACAAAACGATCGAATAGGGCCACAAAAACCAGCCGGAACACAACGATTGATTAGCGCCACAAAAACCGGCCAGAACAAAACGATTGATTAGCGCCAAAACACCGGCCAAAACAAAAAAAAAAGGGTTGGCGCTACAAGTTGATCCTCCAATTGAGCTATTCACTTGTTAAGGTTAGCAGTTAGCCATGTACGGCAGCTTCAACTTCTACCTCCTCAGGCTCCTCGTCCGTTGCTGACATTAACGAAGCAGACTGAATCTTTCCAGCATGATCAAGCCGCATTAAAATAACTCCCCTGAAAACGTGTATATCGATATAAAATATGTGAACTGGCACAATTTCAACCATGGCTACAATAAGAGAGAACAAGGGTTTGACATTTTAACACATGCAAATCCTATTGTTCCATCATACTGGTATTTAAATCTAAATTTCAGAATATAAGGAAAGAAAATACCGAAGTTGAAGATTACCTCGCATAGCGGGACTGTATTGAAATATCCCGCACCTTAATTCTGTTGACTGTGCCACTTTGGCTTACTAGAACCACTTGTTCATCGCTTTCTCCATCTTCTGTTAATTTAAATTTAAGTTAAAAACAACTCATGAGAACACTCGTAGCCATCAGAAAATAGACTACAAAGTAATTTACAAACATCACCTGCCACAGAGAACCCGACCACAAAAACTGCTGCCAAGCGATCCTCTAAGGCAAACTAATAAAGAGCAGCGAAGAAGGAATGAGCCCAAAAGCCGAAGACAAACAACAGATAACAAAGCTTTTTCAACAAAGGATTTTATATGATCATATGCATACCTTGTACCCTATCAGACCAACCCTATTCAAGCGGGAGGAGTGAAACCTGCTCAAGGGAACACGCTTTCCAAATCCACTCTCGGACACAAATAACAACCACGGGCCCTTCAGACTTCTAGTACTGTGGAAAAATTAACACAAAACATAACATTAACATATCAGATAATTCTGGTTGCACTGCCTCTAGAGAATAATTATTTCAAATAACCGACTCATGTCGAATGACTCTACCTCCGATTTTTTGCCAAGCAATTCCTACCTACATTAGGTCTATTTTATTTCTTCATCTAACTTGCCTTCAATTCCACTCATCCATCACTTCCACTTTCTAACTACAGATTGCCCAAAACTGTCAACATTCTCTCCTTTCCATAATAAATGAGAAGCCACTCAGACTGGGTAAGTAACCCAAACATCCAGGAAAAAGCACATTTTATTACTAGGTTTTGGTCAGTCAAGCTAACCCAGCACCCCTAAAGTCAAGTATCAAGCTGATCAACAATTAGTTAATGACAAGCTAGAAACAACTCATTTTATTGCTAAAGAAATTACGTGTCTTGGGGAGCTTCAGACACCCTCTCCAAGTCCTTCCACATAGCTGCTGGTATAATGTCCACGCTAGCCATCTTATCTCCCTCTCTAAGTCTCATGGCCACTGCACCCCTAGTGTTTCTCCCTTGTGCTCGAATCTGGTACAGAACATGAAAAGATGCAAAATGGTAAGTAAAGATATCCTTCAGGGATTTTTACATCAATTATTAGATAAATTTTGTGATGAATTTTTCTATTGAATGACCACGATTGGAGCACAGATAGTACCTACCCCTGTACTAGTTCCAATGATTTGGGACTTGCAAGATGCTGGACACTACACTTAAACATAAAAGGGTACAAAAGTACAAGGGAGATACAAGATGACCCCAGGAAAAAAAAATATAAATACAAAAGAACAAGGGAGATAAACAAACTGATAAATGATTGATCTTCCCTTCAAGAGTGTTCACATTAGACATGACGAGAAATTCCCAGATAAGAACTCTTACAACTTCCCCAACCTCTATTTGAACTAAGCAACAGTAATGGCACAGCCCTTGGCATCACTTGTCATTCGATATAACGAAAAAAAGAAAGATATAAAGCTAGTCCATGAAGGCTATCTAGTAATTAAAACACTGATATAACAACCAAACTCCAAATTCAACTGCTATAAACTATAAAGCTCTTTGACATAACATATGGATGACTTTGATCAAAGGTAATCACGATGCAGATGCATCTACCAAAAAAAAAAAATCATAGGGAAATTGGTTTACCTGAATCTCTTGAAAGTTGCATAAGCATGACTCACATAAAACAACTTTTAGCCAGTTTTTTTACCAGTATATCCAGAAGTAGCATAAGTATGACTCACATAAGTCTTCTAGAAACTGTTCACACAATCCTAGCATTGAAATCCTGAAATCATTTAGGTACTTTCTTTTTTGGTCAACAATTTTAAAGTATTTTCTCACTTTCAAAGTATATACAATTTTGTTAAGGACATAAAATTTCAAAATTGCACTCCACTTCTGCGGTCATTTGTATCATTCCTTTCTGTACATACAAGCAAACTACAGGAGTTGATATAACAATATTGATATGTGAACAAGAAAACAAAATCAATCAAGGGTAACATTTTTTTAGAACTCTATTGGGAACCACATGTATATCCTCATATCCTGTATCTTTCTTTCTAAAAGATTATATGATATGATTAATCTTACTTAAGATTACCTATCATATCCAAACTTATTTTAATGTAGTGTAAATTAACCATATTGTTTCTACCCTTACTCGACCACCTAGGGGTGCAACTTGGATAGGAATATCCGATTCATACCCAAAACCGAAAAACCAAAAATTCGAAACTTGCATCTATTGCATACACTTAATCATGTACATAATTGACTTTGGATTTGTAATACAACGTACTCAAATATGTAACTATTTTTTCAATTACAACTCCCTTGAATATATTAATACAAAAAATGAGAATTTGAGAACTATAAAATTTAATATTATGTGGAGAGAGCCATTAAGATGACATTGTTTTTTTTTAATCTTGGTATAGATGAAGTCATACAACTCCCATAAGTTTTGAAATTCCAAAATAATATGATTCAGAAAAATACCGGATTCGGCATGAGTCTATGAAATTCCTAAATTCCAATTCCAATAAGATTGGAATTGGAAACATGTATTTCTTATCCGATCCAACCAAAAATCAGGCCTACAACCACCTTATATAAGTAGCAGTTTTGCATCAAAGTAAAATATAAATTAGCAGTTTTGCAAGCTCCGATTTTTGCTGTTGCAATGTGGCAATCATGTTTCATGCAAACAATGATCAGAAATAAGTCCTGGACTTAAATAAAAAAAGAAACGATCTTCTTTCAATGGTCACGAATAACTACATTGCTGCCTCATAGAGACGGAAAAAAAAAATAGTTGTAGTACTACTAGTAATTATAAAATAGTATTAACAGTTTAGTAGTAGTTAAAGTAAGTTATATAGGTTTGAACTGCAAATGAATGTATGAACGAGAA